ATCACTATATATCACTCGAATACTTTACATTTCTTTCAGCTTTCTCCCAACCACCTCTCCCTTTCTATGACACTAGGAAATGATTTACGTCTCACCGGAGATTCATCCGGGATAGATAGATAGATGTGCAAATCCCCCCCCCCCCCTTTTTTTTTCTTTTCTCCCATCGAGTAGGATACCGTAGATGATAATAAAAGGTGCACAAGCCCAACTCACATCATGGTAAGGCAACGTTTCGTGCCTGGTCTTTATGTACGTGTGCAGTGCGCGATGTGTGCTATCGTAGTATCATACTTGGGCAATCTGGTACGAGTAAGCGCGACATGATAGCATACGCTTCGCCTTAGGGTAGGGCACGATACGGGAGGCTAGCACTGGCCTCGTTTGTGGGGGATTGGGCGGTGTTGTGTGATGGATGAATAAGACTCTCTCTCTCTCAGGTCACTGGTTTAGATTCAATCATTTTGATTTTCCCGTGTGGGGGAGGGAGTGGGTTACCGGTGCCGTGGCTTTGAGTAGAGTTGTTGTATCATGTCATAGTTTTTCCTTTGCTTGCTTTCCTGGTATGATACTAGATCTCACCTGTTGTTAAGGCTGTGCGAGCCTGAGGATCGTGTGGAATGGTACAAGTATCATACAGTACGGTATGAGGAATCGAGGCTGACTCTTCCAGACAAATGTATCCCCGCCCGCCCCTTCCGGTTAACGGTTTCCCACCTCTGATACCTTCCGCAAGTACAGTAACTAATTAGATTATCTGGACCCCTTCAATCCGTGATGGACGGGTGGGTGGAGGGACCAATGGAAGAAGACTGGAGGTAAAAATTCCAAAAATGGATAAATAAACTGTTGTTGTAGTCCTGTAATTTTTTCCCCCCTCTATTCAATATGCCGTAGAGTACTGTACACCTGTACACACCGTGATAATAATATGGGAAATAGTCGTCGCTGTGGTTCCGTTACCCAGACCAATTGACCGGATTTCCCGATATGTTACCGTATCATGCTTTCAAGAATCGCGGGGCGCGAACAAATACATGATGCCGGCCCTTTTTTTTCTTTTTCTTCTTCTTCTCTTCTTTCAATCACCCCCCCTAAGGTTATCATCCTAACATGATATTGTACCATTCCTGAACAGGATACTCGAGCGTGGATACTCGGCTACCGGGTACGGGACAACATTTCTCAAAATCTCGGGCATATTTTCCCCGTTCCAACTTTTATCGCGGAGCAACAACGGAACAGGGATATTTATCAAATATCGCAACATCTTTCCAATAGCATGTTACATGCCGTTTCACGTTTTTATCGCAATAAAATTTTCTATTGGTACCATATACGGTACGCGTCGAACAGGGCCATACCAGTAGTATAGTACGGTAATTTACCAGTACTTTTCTCGGAGCTTGATTCTCGGCCGATGGGTCGGGATTTGGCTGTACTCCGTGAGGAGGAGGAGGAGGGGAGGAGAGAGAAAGAAAAAAGGGAAGAAAAAAGAAACAAAATCGTAGACTGTCATACCTTGCTATAATGGATCTCGTTATTAGGGAAACCTCGCTATTACGAACGAATCCTCTGTGAATTTACCCCCCTGCTCCCATGCAAACGGCTCCTGTTGTAAGGGATTCCGTTCAAAAGCTCGCATAGCGAACGAAAAATCCTGAATTCTTGGCATTCATTACAGCGAGGTGCGACTATACTCGGGTACAGCTCAGCAGTTTTCCTTACAGCATCTTACGCTATGGGGCTCTGACTCAGGCACCATCGGTGCCGTATTACCGTACCGTACTAGTACAGGCATGGGATTGATTGCCCGGTGCCCGGAGGGCCGGGCAGTACCGGTAGGTGGTGAGCCAGCGTTCTAGGCAGCCAGGAAGTCAAAGCGAGCCAGGGTGCCCAGTGCAGTACCGGTATTTTTGACGACTGATCACACGGAAGTGTGGCATCATTGTCCTACAGTATCCCTACCGTATCTCTCTATGTTAATACCCCCTAGGTGAAGAAGCCACTTCTCCCTCTCGTCGCAATCGGTAATCACGAGTGAGTTTACATGACCAGGTGGTGTGACGAGACGCTTGCGCCAGTAAAATCATGAGGCTTAAAACGCACCTTATCGAATATCTGGGCAGGATGTTGGCAGAGATGCACGAGTACTCGTGCGGTAGTGCCTTCGTCATCCGGGCTATAATAGCTTACCGTAACATAGCTTACCGTAACTCTTGGGGCAGTGGGGCAGTGGTGGAGGTAAAAGCTCCCAGGATGTTGCTGACGGTAACCAGCGTGTACGAGTAAGGTTTGTTTAGCGAGCGAGGTGTGCCCCAAAAGCGGCGCCAGCGAATGCCGACAGAGCGGCGTGGGGCAGCCTTTACCGACATTTCTCCGCCATTGAACGGACGAGCTCCTGGCTAAGTTTCATTTTGACGAGTTCGGCTTTTCTGAGGTTGGCCTTTGGCCTCTCCCTTTTTTTTTTCCATCTATTCTTGCTGCGATAAGGGAATCCTTTTCGAAGCCGCTCAGCGCAAAAGCTACTCAAACACCATACAGCACGGCGCAATCCCGCTGTGAATTCATTGTTCGGGTCTTCGGGAACGAATACGGTACCCTTCCGAGACATCGCTGCACACTCACCCGGAACCCTCTAAAGTGTCCTGCTCTTGTTGGCTGGGGAGCGAGTAGAGGGAGGGCTGCTCACAACTTTGGCCAGGATAATCGGAGCAGTGAGATACCTGAATGGGGAGCGTTCCCACCCCTGTCACTGCGGAGAAATAGCTTGCATAGGACCGGAATCGGGGGGGGGGGGAGATACGTCTTGGCTTGTCTCTCAGACAGAGTTGGACAACCAGAGCACTCGAGTTTTTATTCCTTTGGCCTATTCTCTGTGCTCGAGCACCGTACTGGCGCAGTGGGATAGACCTTTTAGAGGCGTCAAGTCGGGCTTTGATTTTCTTGGGGTGCTCGATTGTTATATTTTTAGACCACCATACTGCGATCAGCAACGGCAAGGGGAAGAAACGTCGTCCAGTAGTAACCAATCGAATTCTCGTTTCCGCCCTCGGAGCATAACTTCGAGTAAAAAGTTGACTAGGTTTCTGGGGAGTGGGAATTGCCGGCGTGGCTTTTCAAAATCATTCATTCCTTTCCACAGCAAATCTAAAGGCACAGATTCATATTTATATATATATATTTTTCGTGTTTATTGTAACCACGGGCTGAGTCGAAAAGAGAGAACCAGGGGGCTTCTGAAGTGGGAAGGGAAATTGGTGCCATGAAGCAGGAACTGCCAGCTCCACACAAGGGAGAGTGGGAAAGGATGGGCGGGGGCACAAAGGGCTTGCAGCGCGGGGGGGACTTTCTACTTCCTTTACTTTTCACGTCTTTGGGTAATTACCGTAGGCTGGAATTGTCAGAGTGTTGCGTGTGGTAGCCGAATAAGGAAAGATCTGCATTCGCGGTTGTCCATCGGCCCTGGGGGGGCTGGAAGTAGCGAAGGAAGGGGCGGTCGGCGGCTGGCTCTGCAGCAGGTCAGTGGGCTGTGATTAGACTGTTATGCACTCGGGTTGAAGTGCTCGTATGAGTACCCGATTAGTTTTGCCTCAAAGTTGTTGCTTTCTCACCATCATCACAGCTTGTCAGTGGGCAAGTCCAGGAAGTATACCGTAGTGAGAAATGATACATACGGTAAGCCTGTGCTTGTATCCCATCATAGAATGTGCGCTTGTGTAGAGTAGCGGTACTTGGAGGGCACGGTGCGGTACTCGTACTGTATAGTATACGGTGGTAGGCCTAGGTGGGTGCTGACCAGTCTTTCATATTTTGGCTGTGTATGGCCTAAGGGTTTGCATGGTATTTGCGTGGTGTCAGTGGTGTACGAGTACTCGTAGGGGGGCGGTGTTAGAGTCCTCCTGCATTTGATGTCCTGTGACACCGATGGTCATTGCCCACTGCTCTCGTCTCGACTTCTTGCTTGCGGGCGAGCGTTCGCCCCTCCTTACCTGCGCTTTCCTCTTCGCACACCCGTCCAAAAGCATGTACGGCGGTACACACCTTCCCCGTATCCCTCCCACAGTACCGGTACTCGAGTACTCATCTCACCCTCTTTTCGTCCCCTGTGCCTTTCGGGTTGATGAGAGCTACAGTAGCGGTACCGGTATTAGCTCCATCGTTCCGTCCCGTACGGTACGGTGCCCCTCGACCAGTCAGCAATCCGTCCTCGCTGGTTGCCGTTCCAGCTTTGCTCGGGCGTTGGGTCTGGCACTCCTTGGGGGTCTGCAGATGCTCGCCTGTGATACTCGTACCCGCCTTGCTCGTGGAGTCTTGGCTGGTTCGGCGATTGAGCGAACGGCAACCACGAGTGAGCAGGAAGGTATCATAAGTGCTCGATTGATTGCCTTATCATGTTATCATCGATCTTATAGGGAACACTGTAAGGTACGCTACAGTATTGTAACCATAAAAAAAGAAAAAGCCCATCATTTAGAAAAGCGTAAAGCACTGTATCGTACTCTCACTTGTACTACTCGTAGCACATCGCTTCTCACAGCCTGCAACAAAGCGCCGGGTTCCTTGCTGAGAGCCTCCTACACCCTTTCTTTCTTTCTCCTCCTTTTCTATCCTGCCTCTCTCGCAAACATCATCCATACCGGTACAGTCTGCCGTTACCTTGCTTGCCTGTCTTCTTACATAAGGTATGCCCCACGGCTTTGCCTCGCGTTGAGTGTCCCATTCCGTAATCTCTCCCACTCTCGATTCACACTCTGCGCCCACACCTTCACAACCCGCAATACACGCCCACACCCACGCCCTCGCCCACGCCCCCGCCCACGCCCACGCCCAGTGCCCTCCCACCTCCGCAACTACCCATACAGCAGCAGAATCCCGCCGTGCAACCACCACCTGCCCACCCACGACTTCTACCACCGCTGTAACCTCTCCCTCTACACCAGACACCACCTGCCACACACATCCCCCCCCCTCCATCAGTGCTCCGACTTCTACTAGCCGGGGGGAGAACTCAACAGGGCGATCATTCTCGCTGCCTCCTCCCTTCCCTCTTCCTGCTTGACTGACCCACCTAACCTACTCGTACCCCTTCTTTTCTCTTTCACCCCCCCCCCCCCCCATCACGCCCAAGTACCATATTGTCAGCGGCATCGCAATTCGAATCCAATCGAGTTTTTCCTTTTGTAAACCGTGCTGCTGCAACCTCAGCAGCTCAGCCCTGCGACCGCCAACCAGAATCGAAATCCCTCGCTTGTCGTTATTTGCAGCACACACTGGACGCACAGACACCAACCATCAAACACGCGGCTGACAGTCAACCTTACGACCGACCGAACCTCGCTTTCCTCTTCCCCTTTCCTCCCCGTGTGTGTTCTGTTGTCCTGGATCGTGGACGGTCTTGAAGAGATTATCTGGCTTTTACATTTGAACTTGTTGGGTGGATATATCGAGATAGGACGACACGACTGGTACAGCGCATCCCTGTCCGCTTTCTCTGCTCTAATTCCGAATCGCTACGGTACCTCTGCGAACCCTCGCTTTGGTCGACTGTCGATCCTCCTCGCCTCGAAAACCCCCGGAATCCCGCTACCAAAGCGTCCAACTGGTTTATCCCTCGATACATCCAAACCACCCCCTCACCCTCTATTTTGCACCCTGGTGGCCATCGTCTGCAACCCGGTGTTTGAAAACCCCCTCTACGACTGCGACGAGGTACTGCCAACACCCATCGGCAGAGCATCATCTCACAAAACCCCCCCTCCCGCCCCCCTCAGCTCTAGATTTTTGGTGTTCAACTCGTCCAGCTTTACGCCACCTCGGTGCTGCCACATTTCGTTCTTTTATATCGAAACTGGGAGAATATTTATTTATTGGGAAATCTGGTCCTTGTTCCGGTGGGGAAGTGAACTCTGAAGGTGTCGTTGTTGGGTAGCCTTCTCACTTGAGTTTCGCCTTTCTTCCGGCTGGACCGTGGTGTTATCCTTGACCTATCTTTTTTCTTTTTTCTTTTTTCTTTTTCCTCTTCTTTTCTTTTCTTCTTCTTTCTTTCAGTTTATACATCTGCGACGACAAACCTCACGGCCTTAAATACTAACTTTACTTAATACTTTAACGACTTTCGATCAGTTCGCGCGTCTTGCGCCTGTATTATCCGACTTTTATACCTGAATACTGTCCTTATAATATCTTCACAGATGGGTGCTTGTTTTTCGAGTGAGAGTGATGAGGATCGCGTCAGTGCAAGGATTGACAAGGAGATTGGGGAGGACTTGAGGAGACTTAGGAGGGAATGCAAGATTTTGTTGCTCGGTAAGGATATTTGGTGATGCCTATCATACTTGCTCGACTCTAATATTGGTGTTTAGGTTCTGGTGAGAGTGGAAAATCGACGATTGTAAAGCAGATGAAAATTATCCATCAGAATGGGTATTCTGTTGAGGAGCTCGCAATGTATCGGTTAACCATCTACAAGAATTTGGTGGATTGCGCGAGGGCACTGGTGACGGCCCTGCGGCAGTTTGACATAGAACCAGATACCACTACTAATAGGGTAAGGAGTGTGGCTTGGAATCCGCTGTATTTGATTTTGACCTTGGGGATTTCTAGGAATATGCGGACTTTATAATGGCCTTCCAAGTTGACCCCGATCCAAATACACCACTTGATCCAAAACTTGCATCGGCTGTCGTATCGTTATGGAAGGACCCTTGCATTCCCAAAGTGATGGCCCACCAAAACGAATTCTATCTTATGGATTCCGCACCTTAGTAGGTCATCTGGCAATGGGATATATGCCACTGCATAGCTAATTTCTGGGTATAGCTTTTTTGATGAGGCGCCTAGGATCGGCCAAGCTCATTACATACCAACAGAATCAGATGTTCTCCGGGCCCGAACAAAAACGACCGGTATATATGAGACTCGATTCTCGATGGGGCAGCTTAGTATCCAGTAATATTTACCCTGGGGAATGTTTGAGGGAGGAGCGTCTGTAGCTAACTTTTTCTCTTAGCATGTTTGATGTTGGCGGCCAAAGAAGTGAACGGAAAAAGTGGATTCATTGTTTCGAAACAGTAACTTCGATTATCTTCTGTGTTGCCCTCAGTGAATACGATCAAGTCCTATTGGAGGAGTCGAATCAAGTTGGTAGTCCGGTTTTCATTCGGGTTCGGGAGGGAGGCTTTTTCTAACGGGATATAGAACCGTATGATGGAGAGTCTTGTCCTTTTCGACTCGGTTGTCAATAGTCGCTGGTTTGTTCGAACGAGTATCATCCTGTTCCTCAACAAGGTCGATTTGTTCAAAACGAAGCTCGCTCGAAGTCCTTTATCAAATTATTTCCCGGATTATTCAGGCGGAAATGATGTTACAAGGGCCGCCAAGTACTTGTTGTGGCGGTTTAACCAAGTCAATCGGGCTCATCTAAACCTTTATCCACAGTATGATCTATCGACCCGCTTTGGGGGCATAGTAGCTAACACATGCATTAGTCTTACACAAGCAACGGACACGTCAAATATCCGACTGGTGTTTGCGGCAGTGAAGGAGACAATATTACAGAATGCTCTCAAGGAGTCCGGCATATTATGATTAAAATGAGTGGATCGACATTTCTCTCATTAATTCTAACGATCCTTTGTACAAAAACGTTTGCTTATTAGGTATTGGTTTTTCTTTTCTTTTCTTTTTGCTTGGCTTCGCTACCCTTCACGTTACAGCTTTTTTTTGTCTTACTATTTTCCTACATTCAGTTTTCCCTTCAAGTTGAGTACGGGTGGTGTGCACTGGATTTTGCATTCTGAAAGAAAATGGCGAGGTATTGTGTCACATCTTGAATGGGATTGCTATCGGGAATTGACCACTGCTTAATAATGGCTTTGGTCTTGCTTCTTTTCCTTCTCTTTTCCTCTCTCTTTCAGTATGGGTACAAAGCACGGGAGCATTTTTGTGAATTGGTTCGCGTGGTTTGTCAAGAATCGGAGTTTCGGCGAGAGTTATTAGCGCTCGCAATTGTGTATAGTTTTCCTTCGTAGCGTTCGAAATTCCCCCGTTCTCATTTATTTCTCTTCCTCTACCATCTATCTCGACTTCATTTTAAAGTATAAGGGGATACGGGCGGAAGTATGTAATTGGAGTAGAGTTCGTCTCATTCTCTTCTCTGCCGATTTTCCTTTTCCCGGTGCGGCAATTCTGCGACTTTTTCTCGATTTTTCTCCTTCACTTCGCATCTTTTTTTTTTCTTTCTTTCATTCAAAGGAGGGATGGATGGATTTCCATTCTTCCAGTGCTGGGATTAGTTTTTACGGAAAAATCCCATTTACTGCCGCAGTTGTACCGGTGTGAGAGGTGTGGTGGGCGAGAGAAGATGCAATGCTTTGTGTGTTTAAAGAGGGGGGAGGAAGAAAGCATCAGTCTTTTTTTTTTTTTTTTTTTCCTTGCCTCCTCTATGGGGGGCTTCGATTGATAGTGGTTGGTTTCTCGATGTGAAGGGAAGGGGGGTGTTAAAAGGAGTGATGGAATGAAAAAAAAAGGACAAGAACTGTTTTTGCTTGATTCCTTACTCCCTTATTTTCCCGGTATACGGTTCATTCTCGTGAATTATGGATATGATACTCTCCCGTTTATGATATTTGTCTTAGACAGGAAGGGGCAGACGTCTGAATGATACGATATATAGCAGAATATGTGTGCGGGTAGAGGGAGAGAGCGGGAGGCAAGGTAAGACAAGATGTCTATTTTGCCCGTTGGTACCGGATCGACTGGGAAGACTTTGGTACGAGCAGGAGTACAGCACCGGTAGTCTAAGTTTGCTTGGTGCGGAAAGGCATGCGAGCCCCTCCTGATGTTGTTGATACCCCGCCTGGACTGGTAAGGTGTTCACGCATAATTTAGAGGTTGTGTGCAGTTCTTATCGCTAGCCGGTAACGATCTGGATGTGATGTAAATGTATCGAATGCTAGGATTTCAGCTATTTTCTCTCCAAGAGCCCCTCCTTCCTCCTCCTCTCCATTCCCCTCCTCCCACACTTTCAACACGTCTATTTCCCCGCCGGATGTTTGAAATCCAATGTCTCCCGAGGTGGTGTGAACCGGTATGATAGTAGCTTACGATGCCTCTCATCCGAATGTGTCAATCCAATTGCATTTCAGAATATCCCCCTCAGGAAGGAAGGATGGGTCGAGGGGAAGAAAGGGAGGGGGGGGTCCTTTTGGCCGTATTTACATTTCTATGTAGACCGATTGTTTCCCAATATTTCTTACCATCCCCTCCTCCTCCACCTCTCCTCCTTCCTCCCACCATTGTCCCCCCTCCCCCTCCCCCTCCATCATCCTATCGTCCCTTTATCTTCCCCTTCTTCCTCCACAATTTCCCCTTGCGTCTTGATATTGTTCTGCCTTTCTTCATTCCTTGACCTCATCTTCACTTCTTATCACGATGTCGTCTTTATCGAATCCCCCCATTCCGGGCAATGTTCCAGCACCAGGCATGGCTGAGGGCCCATTCCGTCCAAAGCATCGTAGGACTCATACAGGGTTTGGGGTTCGTGAGATCAAAGCTGTTGAAGCAAGCATTCCTCAGCCTCTGCGGGAGACGTAGGTTTATCAATGCCCATCTTACATGAAGCATTGGGTGGCTAATTCGGCCTCTCGTATTTAGCTGGCTTAAGCTTGTACGTTTTCTTATATAGATTACAATGCCCTCTTGGCTTTGCGAACGAATTCTAACCCTGTTAGTCTGCCTGTGAGTTCAATGGGAAAGAGCAATTCCAGGTTGGTGAATCACCATCCGTTTCATAGGAAGACCGGGCTCTAATTGCCATTGATACTTTAGAAAGAGGTTGTCCGTCATGTCGAAACAACTTTGGCTCGCTCGATCTACAATTGCGACGATAATGCCGCATATTCCGGCACTGCCTTAGCTATCCGTGACAATCTCGTCATCAAGTGGAATAAGACCCAGCAGCAACAGACCCTCCAAGACCAAAAGAGAGTTTACTATCTCTCTCTCGAGTTCCTTATGGGAAGAACTCTTGACAATGCTATGCTTAACACCGGACTGAAGGACACGGCCAGAGAAGGTGTCGGTGAGCTCGGGTTCAGGATTGAGGACATCATTGATCAGGAACACGATGCTGCACTTGGGAATGGTGGTCTTGGACGATTGGCGGCTTGTTTCTTGGACTCGCTCGCCACCCTGAACTACCCTGCCTGGGGTTACGGTCTTAGGTACCGCTATGGCATTTTCAAGCAAGAGATCATCAATGGCTTCCAGGCCGAGGTTCCGGACTACTGGCTTGACTTCAATCCTTGGGAATTCCCGAGACATGATGTCGCTATTGATGTCATGTTTTATGGGACTGTGAACCCAGGCCCCAGGTGAGTGGTGTTGTGGGTTAGGAGAATATCTCTTTGACTAATTATTTGCATAGGGACGACCACGGAAATATCAAGAAGGTCTGGGAAGGAGGTGAAATCGTTCAGGCCATCGCCTATGATGTTCCTATCCCCGGATATGGCACCGATTGCACAAATAACCTGCGACTTTGGTCCTCAAAGCCATCCGGTGGCGAATTCGACTTTGGAAGGTTTAATTCTGGGGATTACGAGGGATCTATCCGTGACCAGCAGAGAGCCGAAACCATCTCCGCAGTCCTTTACCCCAACGATAACATCGATGCTGGTAAAGAGCTTAGGCTCAAGCAACAATACTTCTGGGTGGCGGCATCTCTGCATGATATTGTTAGGCGGTTCAAGAAATCTCACCGCCCTTGGAAGGAATTCCCCGAACAGGTAGCGATTCAGCTCAACGACACCCATCCAACACTCGCCATTGTGGAATTGCAGAGAATATTCATTGATATTGAGAATATGCCATGGGATGAGGCTTGGTCTATCGTCACTCGTACATTCGGTTACACCAACCACACCGTTCTCCCAGAAGCTCTTGAGAAGTGGTCAGTTCCACTTGTGCAAAACCTCCTGCCCCGCCACCTTCAAATTATTTACGACATCAACCTCTTCTTCCTGCAGTCCGTCGAACGTAAATTCCCCAAGGTTAGTTCCCGAACCCTTTTGGCTTCTATTTCACATAATGACAAGCGGGAACTAGGACCGTGACCTGCTCCGCAGAGTTTCAGTGGTTGAGGAGGGCACGCCCCAGGTGCTCCGTATGGCTTATCTTGCTATCATCGGTTCACACAAAGTCAATGGTGTTGCAGAATTGCACTCGGATCTCATTAAGGCTACCATATTCAAGGACTTCGTTGATATATTCGGTCAGGATAAGTTCACAAATGTCACTAACGGAATTACTCCTCGTCGTTGGCTCCACCAAGCAAACCCTAAACTCTCCGACCTTATTGCTAGCAAAGTGGGCGGTTATGATTTCCTGCGGGATCTGACCAAGCTCAACGTCTTAGAAAAATATATTGATGACAAGACATTCAAGAAGGAGGTGAGTGGCTACGCATGGGTATTGGTGGCGCTGACGTGCTAATATCGAAACAGTGGATGGAGATCAAATTGGCTGCTAAAGTCAAACTTGCAAAGTACATTAAGGACACAACACAAATGTCGGTCAACCCGCACTCTCTCTTCGATATCCAGGTCAAGAGAATTCATGAGGTAATTCCATCCGATGATGGTTAAGAGTCCTTGGCTGACAGAGCCAGTACAAACGCCAACAAATGAACATTTTTGGTGTCATTTATCGTTACCTCAGGCTGAAAGAGATGACGCCGGAAGAGCGCAAAAAGCAGGTCCCCAGAACCTCCATCTTTGGAGGCAAAGCAGCTCCTGGGTATTGGATGGTGAGCCCCCTCAACCTCCTCGGTCTCTCCGAAAGCTAACATAGCGTAGGCGAAAACAATCATTCGTTTGATCACCGCTGTCGGCGAAGTTGTTAACCAAGACAAGGAGATAAACGGTCTTCTCAAAGTTATCTTCATTGAAGATTATAACGTCAGCAAGGCAGAAATCATTGTTCCTGCTTCGGATATCAGCGAGCACATCTCTACTGCCGGAACCGAGGCTAGTGGCACCAGTAAGTTTGGTTGCTAAAAATGTGTATTATCGAACGTTTTTGACACGTTTCGTAGGCAACATGAAGTTTGTCTTGAATGGTGGTTTGATCATTGGTATGCACCTTTCCTACAACTTTCAATCATTGACACAAAAAACTGATAACTCTCAGGAACTTGCGATGGTGCCAATGTGAGTCCTAGCCAACAGGTATCAGACATAATGTGCGTACTGACGGATGTGCTTTAGATTGAAATCACCCGTGAGATAGGCGAAGAAAATATCTTCTTGTTGGGTAACCTAGCTGAGCAGGTTGAGGATCTCCGTCACCAGCACCGTTTTGGCAAGGATGTTACGATGGATCCCAAGCTCCGAGAAGTTTGTGATGCTATCGAGGCAGGACGTTTTGGCCCTGAGCAGACATATTCCGGGTTGATCGCGTCCCTCACTATAGGCTTCGATTACTACCTTGTCAGCGATGACTTTTCCAGCTATGTCGCTACCCAAGATTTGGTTGATGAAGCCTACAAAGATCAGGACGGCTGGGCTACCAAGTCCATTACAAGTGTGGCCCGCATGGGATTCTTTAGTGCGGATCGAGCCATCAATGAGTAAGATTTCTTTTGGACCCGGAAACTTCTGAGTACTAGGGGCTAAAGCTAATGTGTACGTTTTTTTTTTTTTTTAGGTATGCCGACGAGATTTGGAACGTTGAACCATCGAATATTAAGCCGTCTTAGGGATCCATGGCCGAGGAAGCTGGAACATTATCATACACCATAGTGCAAATGGGCTACTGTTTTCCTTTCAGTTGTTGTCGTCCCTGTCTGGGTTGTTATTTCTAAAGTTTTTTCTTTCTTTTCATCTCTTGCTCATTAAACGGGCAGATGGTTTGATACCACATCCACATTGGGACGGCGACGAATAAATGTTGTGCCTGCAAGCAAAGTCCCGTAGGATCACGAGCCGCTTTTGCCTTTCTGAGGATGGCGTTTCTATATGAATGAATAGTCCTTTTAAAGAAGGGATTTTGGTGCCCCGACAGCGTACTGTGCATCTGGGTGCTGGGGTGTCCCTTTGGTTTAGCTAAAGTGATATGCCGCATCCTGTCCCACACATGCCCAATTCATCTAAATAATTTATTGACCCCGGCTACCGTGCATTGCATATTTACAGACTCTTGCCCATAAAACGCCTCTTTGTGAAGCTCAACCACCACTATCAACTCGCTGTCAGTGTACCCTGTTCCGCTACCGTTGTTGGGTGGGAAGATATATGTGACAATACCTTACTCGGCTTTCCACTCCCGTCCGCGTACACCCTGTTCAACAACCTGATAACCAGCTCCTGCCTCATCTGACCGATATACCCCCTCAGCGCCTCAGCCTCCATCCGATCCCTCGGGGGCTGGTACAGAGCGTTGAGCGGGAACGCGGGATCACCCGGGAGTGCGAAGTGGTCCAGCGCCACCGTCTGCAGCGCCTTTTCGGAATCCCTCAAGCTCATACTGGGCTTGATCCTGCTCAGGCAATCTGAGATGAAGAGGATGCCGTAGATGAGGACGCGGTCGGCGGGGCCCTTGATCTCGAAGTTGCGGAAAAGCGTATTGGCACGGAAGAGCGTTATTGTCTCGTCTAGGATGTCGTAGTGCTCACTGTCCGGGTCGATGTCCAGGTCGTTGGTTATGCTGGCCGGGAGCGGGGACAGAGTGTATGCTGGCCCACGGGTGCGGGTGCGGAGGGGGAGGAGGGCGAAGTTGCCTGGGCAAATCGATCAGAAAGGGGGGGTGGAGAAGGGGTGATGGAAGGGGAGAAGGGAGGTAAGTACCGATGAGACGGACATCCGTGTCTTGGAGAAAGGCGGAGTGGTAAGACTGTTTGGATCTGTTGGTTATCTTCGGGCATGATATGGGATTTGGGTGTTAAGGGTGCATTTTGTGGGAAGAAAAAAGGGGGGATGACGTACGGGCATGGTCAACTTGGTGATCAATCAATCAATGATAAGTGGTGGTTCTTCTAGTGGTGATGGTTTGCCGTTGTTGTTGTTGTTGTTGTTGTTGTTGGAAGGGTGCACCAGTGGTATGACACCTTTAACGAAAATGGCGGGGGAGAGGCGCACTGTCGATAACGTATCGGATCCTTTTGTGGAGCTTGCGGCTCCAATGGTGCGCTCCATGAAGCACAAGCTTTCGGTTGTCAATCAAGGCCGGGTAACTTTCCTTCCCACACGGGACCCTGTGTCGTAGCTTTACGAGTATTGGCTTCAAGTTCCCGCAGCCGTTGACTACCCCCCTCCTGTAGGCTAATCCTACGGTACTTGTGTCCTCGCACTAATTATATCGTACCCTGGGGGGTATCAGTACTCGAGTAAAGGATCGATAAATTTCCCCGGGCGTCCCTCCATATCTGGCAGGAAGTACCTGGCACGAGTATGGTATGATAGCAATGTCAGGGAGGGCAGTTTTTCCCTTGTTTTTTTCTCCATGGCCTTTATCGGTACCGTGTTCGAGTACCATACCGGTAGCTGGAAAATTCCATATTTTCATCCACTTGTGAGACCTTAGAGCGCAGGTGTGACACTTGTACGGTACAAGTAGTCGACCGTATTGAATTTGTCACTTAAATTTGCCTGTCACTTGGATGGCGGATACCGTACGGTTACCCAGTAGGCGTGATTGGACGGGGATCTCCGTCACGGTGAAACCTGGTTTTTATTTGTTTAACCCTCCCACCAGTTTAAGTTATGTCACAGCGGTCCGAGTTTGAAACTCTGTCCATGAGCACGAGGCACAAGTATCACACCGCCATGAGAGTTGCACGTTATTATCATTATATCCCTCAGTATCTGCACCGTAACTTAAGAACCAGTCCAGGCAACCACGATCACGCTTTCCTTTTCTTTCTCCATCGTCTCGGGGTTCGGAATGTTTCTTTCGACTTCCATCGTAAACGCCGTTACGCCTCTCATAGATAAATACTGGGAAAAGGGTCCATTCTGAAACCTTTTCTTTTTTCTCTCTCTCACTAATAGTAAAACTGTGACAGGTGACTAAGCTGGACTCGTCATTCGTGCTTCTTTTTCATAATCCTTTCTGCTTCGCCATTCAATTCCGTCATATCTCACTTGATTGAGGCCAAGAACACCAAATCACTTTCCTCTCCTTACCGGCACCTCACCTCACCTCCCAGTGCTCCCACTGGCTCTCTTGTTCATCATAGCAACCGGGGCCACCTGCAAGAGTACCATACCCTGATAGTAGCGGTTTTTTCCCACCGGGGAGTTTTTTCCTTCTCTTTTTCTCTTTCTCCTCTGTAGGCTGTTTCTGCGTTGCGGAGGACGGATCGCGGGACCTTGCGTTTTAATTTCAAGTCTTTTGGAATTACTGGAAGAGAGAGGGAGAGAGAAGCTTCCGCTGGGAAAGAGGGGAAAAAACAAAAGACCGGGATAGAGGGGGCGTGATTGGAACTCTAACGCCTTCAACATGGCACGACAGAAGGAATTTGCACCTATGGTGAACTGGCTCTATGATCTTATTCTGTGGTCTTTCTCAAGTAAGTTTCGTGCCCTACCAGGTTTGTGTCTTTAGGGGTGACAGAGTGGATGAGGCTCTAGGGTGACATCATCTTTCGGCTATCCGCTTGTGGTGATGATGATGATGATGAGGATGCTAACGATGTTTTCTTTCAATCAATAAGTTCTTGTGGATCTTTTTTTCCGTGAGGTTCACCCCCGCGGTGCATTCCGTATCCCCCGAAGGGGCCCTATCATATTTGTTGGAGCACCGCATGCGAACCAGGTACGCCCCCTCTCCGCTTGCTGTCATTGATAGCAAGAAGGGCCTAACAACGCTACATAGTTCGTCGACCCTCTAATCCTCATGCGCGCTGTCCGCCTAGAGTCCCGCCGTCGCATAGCGTTCCTCGTAGCGGAAAAGTCAATGCGGAGGAAGTTTATCGGATGGCTGTCCCGCTGTGTGGGCGCTGTGCCCGTCGCTCGTGCCCTCGACATGACCAAGCCCGGCACCGGACGCATCTACCTACCAGACCCCCAACAACCCCTCAAGATTAGAGGTGTTGGGACCAAGTTTACGGAGGAGCTGGTTGCTGGCGGGTTGCTGGTTCTACCGCCGACAAAGGGACAGAGTGCGGCTAGTGCTGAGGTTATTGAAATATTGAGTGACGAGGAGGTCATGCTGAAAAGGGAGTTTAAGGGAGATATTGCCCTAAAACAGCTTACGCAGGAGAGTGAGGAGGATGGGAAAGGGAGCAAGTATAAGGTTGCGCCGAAGGTTGATCAGAGTCAGGTTTATGATGCGGTATTTCAGAGATTGAATTCGGGCGGTTGTGTGGGTATCTTTCCCGAGGGTGGTAGTCATGACAGGACGGAATTGTTGCCATTAAAGGGTAGAATGCTCCCCATCTTTTTTTTTTTTTTGAACTTCCGGTGTCACTCGGTGTTGAGAGAGTGATATCGCGTCTGTGATTACTTGGTTTCCAGGGAACGCTACTAACGTGTATCAGCTGGTGTTGCTATTATGGCGCTCGGTGCTCTCTCTGCCAACTCGGGTTGTGGGCTCAAAATTGTTCCCTGTGGATTGAATTATTTCCATGCTCATAAGTTCCGATCACGGGCTGTCATTGAGTTTGGAGCTCCGATCGAAGTGCCAAAAGAGCTTGTGGACCAATATTCTAAGGGCGAGAAACGTGAGGCCGTTAGGGCCCTGCTGGAAATGATCTATAACGGATTATTGGCAGTTACTGTTACCTCCCCGGATTATGATACCCTCATGGCATGTCCCTTGACCCCCGATAGACCAGCAAACTCAGAATTTAATGTTTTTACAGGCAATCCAAGCCGTCAGAAGACTCTACAAGCCGACCAACAAAAAGCTTCCCCTCCCGATGGTGGTAGAACTCAACCGACGACTAGTCACTGGATACACACATTACAAAGACGACCCACGCATAATCCACCTCCGCGCATCCGTATCAGAATACAACCGCCAGCTCCGTCTCCTCGGCCTCCGGGACCACCAGGTCGAGTACGCAAAGTTTTCCTTCTTCCGCGTTATTTTCACCCTGATCTACCGCGTCGGAAAGCTGGTCTTCCTCGGAACTGGCGCCCTACCGGGGTTCATCCTCTTCGCTCCCGTATTCGTCGCAACACGCATAATCTCCCACCGAAAAGCCAAAGAAGCCCTCAAGGCCTCAACTGTCAAGATCCAGGGTAAGGACGTAATGGCTAGTTGGAAACTCCTCGTGACCCTAGCCCTCGCGCCGATCCTGTACAACTTCTACGTCGTAATCCTCTGCTGGTGGACATACCGTCACCGTTTATTCGGGTTGATGCCGGACTGGATGCCGATAATCGGTGTGGCAGTCTTCGGCTGGATATGGTTTCCCAGCATCACATTTGCAGCCCTCCGCTTCGGCGAGATAGGAATGGACATCTTCAAGTCCCTGCGCCCCCTGGTCCTCTCACTGAACCCCACGAGCGCAAACACCCTCCACAAACTCCGCCAGAAGCGCGCGCAGCTGGCCGTAGAAGTGACCGACCTGATAAACGAACTCGGCCCCGAGATATTCCCGGACTTTGACTCTGCGAGAATAATCTCCGACCCGTTCATCAAGCCCGATGCACTCCCCACGATCCACACTACCTCCCGTACCCGCCGTGACTCGGAACTCTCCTCCGACTCAAACATCTCCCCCACCTCCGAGTCCGGTAGTGGCGCTCCTTACACCACCATCGGCTCAGGCTCCGGCATCGGAGGCAACAGTCACAACATCCCGCGCAACGAGAGCTTTGGGAACCTCGGCAGCATTGGTCTCTTCGCTTCTAGGCCCGTTAGTAGAGCGCGTAGTAGGAGTAACAGTGGTGGGTTCCCCATCAAGGCACTCAGCAACATTGAGGGCGCGGGACAGTTTGGCTTCGACGAGGTTAGCCGCAAGATTAGCTCTGCCATGGCCGAGCGCAGGAGAGAGAGAAGCCAGAGGAGGAGTGGGAGTTTGGGCTGGGGGGAAGAGGAAGTCGATGGGCATGGCAGAAGTGCTAGTGAGAGTGAGAGTGAGAGTGATGAGGAAGAAGAGGATAAAAAGATGGTTTGAGTACCGCAAGTGAATACGGTAAAGGCAAGAATAAACAAGAGAAGAAACGAAAAGAGCGCGCGGTGAGGATGGGGGGTTTACCTATTTTATTGTTTCACTTTCTATTCCTCCCTTGTTTAGCCGTTTGTCACGCTCCTTTTTTCCGTTTTCCCGTCGGTTTGGTCTGGGTTTTTTTTTTGCGCTTATTTGTTCACCCGTACCGTACTGTAGCTTCCTTTCCCTTCCACCTCACCCCCAGCACCCCACGCGCCTGGCCTGGCCCTACTCGTCAAGTTGAAGCTTGTCCTCCCGTTCCTCCACCCTAATAGTCTTGAGTCAAGGACGTTAAAATTAGTTGCGGAATACATTAGTCGTAATACGATATTCTTTGCTCGCTGCTCATGCGTAATCATTCGACCAGTTCTGTCTAGTTAGCTAAGTGTTAGCGGTAGTGGGTATTTCCTGGGATGATCTTAAACTGGGTTGATAACAATAGCTCAGCACAGAATTCAACATCACTATTGGGGGACCTGCACAGTGAGACCTACTCGAGTAGGTGGTTTTAACACAAGTTAATGGTAGGGCTTCGAGACTAGTTCTCTGGTCCCATGATACCTGGTCGAGGCGTAGAAACCACAAAAGTTGACTTGGAATTGAGGACCTTAAACATCCACTTCCACTGCGCCTTCATTAGGGTACGACTTTGCAGCCATCCTCCTTGAGCAAAATCCCAACAAGAGCAGTCCCAAGATATCTAAGAATTGGCCACTATACGACCTCTTGAAAGGGCCGTTTAATTGAAGAAACCCGACTTTAGTCAATGGTTTGGTGGGCTCTTGGTGTAGGTGGAAACCTCTGGGAACACTATTGATAGCTCCCACCCAGGTCGGGCTGCGCGAACTCTCTGTCGGACCAAGTCCGTTCAGTCGGTATTTATGATACCCCTCTCTTCTTCTCCACTTTCCATACCGTACGCAGAAATCGCCCCCACCAATCCCCCTTTCTTATCAGATTCATTTCTCATCAACTTCCACAAGGCATAAGAAAGGAACAATAGATTTCTCAAGCTAAGTTCACGTGAAACGGCTGCCCCAATTTTATTCAACCTAAGGAGGTGGGCGGGGAACGGAGCAACAGTAGAAAATAGAGTGAGATTGAGGAACACAAGAACTACAACCGCTTTCTCCCATATTAAACTAGCAAGAAGGAAAAAAAAAAAAAAAAAAAGGGACCGAATCTAGTTGGTCCCAGTAACAGCAAGTCTGTAATAGCGGTTAGAGGAATGCACAAACATCTGGAAAACGTAGAGGGGGCATTTACTTCATTAGATGTTCCATAAATGTTTGCAGTGAGACGTCGTCGGTGAATATAGTCTGAGCATTTTGCGGAACACCACCGTATCCGCCAGACGTGTGAGTTGTCGATGGGTTAAGTTTTGATAGGAGGAAACGTGCTTGGGAACCACCAGCATCGCAGACGATGAATCGTGGTAGCGGGAAGCGGTCAGCAATCAGTTCCTGCATTGGCATTTATATTAGTGATATTTATTATTGGCGACAGGATAGGTACTCGCCCTGGCGTCTTCCTTGGGCAATTCCAACAGCTCCTTGAAGTTCTCGTACCCGTCTTGGTCCTGGTATCCGACCTTCTTCCACTCGGCGATGGTCTCGCCATGGAATATGAGAATGTGGAAGAAGGTATCGAGTAGCAGGATGTGATTAGGCTGGATGGATGTAGAATCCAGAAGAACAGGACGGGGTGGCTCATCAAAAGTGTATGTGTCAAGGGTAGGTTGAATCATGATAAGAGAGTTTCCAACATCTTCACGATTGATGACATGCCGGTAGAAAGCTGTTTCGTCAGGGGAGTTATTGAAGACCTGCAAAAATTGACTACGACGCAGATGGAAGACAAATTGCGGATACAAAGTAAAGTTCTTCTCCAATCTGAATGACGTAGGATCATCCTTGCGGTAGTCTGCGAACCTCGAGCACAACCTGATAAGCATTCGGTCGACCCATCTCAGCACATCTGGTCCGTCATCAACCTCTGCCTTAAAGACTGCAATTCTGGCCATAAGCACAGCCGCAGTTTCCTGGTCAAAGGAGTGGGCGACCGATGGATCACCAGTAGGGCCGCTAAGGTCACGACCAATAGTTGTAACTCTTAGGTGGAATTGGCCGGAAGAGTGCTGATAATAGGTCAGATATTGAATGAGGCCCTTCTGGGGCCCTTGTTGCTGCTGAGCTGGGCCCGCCTGGGAGGCAATCTCAAAGTAGGTCGCGACTGAGGTTGTGGGGCTGAGTCCACACATCTTCCATGAGCAAGTATTACCGATACCGCATTCTGTCTCACCAACGGATGTTGATTTCTTGTTCATTGAAACCGCGTGGCCAATCAAACCGGTGACCTTCAATTCCTTAGTAGTCAAAACTTCCAACGAAGCATTAAAGCCCATCAAGAGATTGTCGGCAGTATCCTTATCGAAAATCTTGACAAAACTCTGCCTGAACATGGAGGATGTAAAACTGTCGGTAAGGATCATATGTCCACCAGTAGAGTTGGCAAGCGATTTCATTTCCAGCAGCCCAACCTGATCCAAACAGCCGGCAAAGATATCAATGATATGGCCGTTATGTGCCGTCCTCTTGGCCATATTTTCGTAGAACTATGAAAAGGTAATGTCAAAAAAATTAAAATTAAAAATAGAATTCGAAAACACCGCCCTTACCTTAGTAGCCTTTTTATAGTACTTGATATTGTCTCTCTCAATGTCGTGATGAGATCTAATGGGCTCTCTGAGCTCCGGCCCAACAACAATTCCGGGGCCTTCGGTTCCAGGGCCTCCAGCAAACAGCATGATCCTAGCACCAGTATTTGCAAAAGACGTCTCCAAGAGTCCTACCGCAACACTCAACGCAACTCCAGTACATCTCAATGGACGCTTGTCATTAGCCACAGGCCAGGGATCCTTCTGAAGTTGTTCGAGAGCATTTGTCAATTGGAACTCGCACTGCTGGACAGGCAAAAGGAAGCGCGACGATGGTGGCATATGAGGCTGGGGACGTCCAGGGGCCATAGGTGCCTGCTGAGGGCGAAGGCCGGCAGCAAGAAGTCCGAGCATCTCCTGAACTTGCTTGGCGGAATACTCCTTGTTCCCCCGAAAAACGTAGGATTTGGCGCACTCAGTGTATCCAAGCTCGTGAACATGGGTCTGGATTGATTTTTTTTGATTTTTTTTTAGAAACTACCGCATCAGGAAGAAACAGGAAAAATAAAAAATAAAATTACCATAGTACCATAAGTAATCAGCCCGACCAGCGCATGCGGAGGAAGCAAGCTCAAGCTCATGATCAAAGAGTCCTTGAGAGCCTTCAAGGAATCCTCCTCCTGGCAGGTATCCACCACAAACAAGAATATTGGGGGTGCCGGGGCTGGGCGAGCCAGTTTGTACTCGATTGTAGAGGAAGAAGGAGACAACTCGAGAGGCCATGAATTTGGACCAATGTCTTTATAATGAGGCGGGAGCTGGTTCCTCTGCAAACAGAAGGGGCAGATCCAAAGCTTCGCACGATAATCTACCTGACTATATCACCGTCAGAAACCCAATTGGTGACAATAGAAAAGAATCTTTGTGAAACAAACCAGTACGGATTTAGAACAGCTCGACATGGTGCTTTGCATGTTACTGGCTCGTACTGAACAGGCAGCTGCTCTTTTTCTTTAAGGGGAGTGTAGAGGACACCGATAGGAACAACAAGCCGACTAGATTCTAGGCGATTACTGGGAAAAACGTTCCAACTAAGGGCCTCCGGAATAGCGGGGGTCAGCTATCACAAACGTAGACAGATGAGGTTATCTGCGGGGGATTGTGGTTATGGGTATAGCAGTTTTTCTTTCTTCTTCTTCTTCTTCTTTACCTCAAACGAACACCATCTTGCTCCTCCGCTACAACCCACTGGTCCTTTAGCTGCTCCATGTCCATCTTGTTCCTGGCTGTCGATACGACTGGCGCACGCTATATTATATCCACAGAGCTGTAAGAATGCAGGGTGAAGAAAAGAAAAAGAAAAAACGCAAATACGTGATAATAGAACTGTTGTTTAAACCGTAATTTATGGAAGGTATGGGAGGTGGGGGACTCCTATATTCTGCGATGCAGCAACCGCCGGGAATGAAGGGATGAGCCGCTGGATGGAGAGAAGGCAAGCCGGAGAAAGATGTGATGACTTCTTGGTTTCGTTGCTTAGGACAGATTGTCGACACAAGCAGTTCTCGTGGCTAGGGCACTAGTGGAATGTGGCTAATGCAAACGAGTGTGGCGTGCTGGCTGTTAACGAGACCCACAGTAGGTTGCCATTTTGCTCGGACTTTTTTGACTCACCCAAAAACAAGATAGAATTAATCAAAGTAGCATTACATGCTTTATAACTGCTTACCCCGTTTCAGCAAAAACCATGTGATTTTTGTGGCCCTTGTATGAGTGCTGATGGCCAAAGATTTGTTCTATGAGGTGTTGGAAGGTGCCATACCTTTTCCACAGGGAATTGGTATGATTTAAGGTATATTTTGTCCATCCCAAATGCTTCCGATATTCCTCCCAAGGTCTATTAATGGGACCCAAATTTTCTTTTTGAGGCCAGGCTCGTGCATTTCTCTCCCTCGGTCATTTACTTATTAGTTGGGGATGCTTATACAGAGGCCAGCACTTTAGATGCCATACTTGGCTTGCGGTATTTGAAGTATGTGGATGCCTTGGCACCAGGATAGGCACCGATCAGCACCAAGGTGTCCAGACGTTTCGCTGCGCACCCCAGTATGATACTTGTGTCATAATATGTAATTCCTGGGCTTTCAATACAAAGTTCTTTCAATTCTTCACTAACAGTCTCAAATACTGACAGACAGAGAGATGAAGCTGCCCCTAGTCCCTTGCAATGCAAACCCCATAGAAATTTCCTGCCTTAGAGTAGATTTTGACCTCCTCTTAAGAACTTAGACTTCTAGTTTTTGCAAGATATGATAGTTCCTGCAGTCTGACATTCAGTCATGTGAATCTTTGGGTTAGGCTCCCCATCAGAAAAAGTTACTGGAGTATTCTCACTCCTCGCTGCCAGATATATGTGTATTGAAAATTGTTGTTTTGTATGGGGCACTAAGAGGGGGTGAGCTTCTTATATAACCAGGTTCGTGCTCGCGCTTGCAGCACCGTAACGCAGTCAAGGACAACAGACGGGGAAGACCGAATAGCCTTACTAAATTTGACGTTAACTGCTGGATTCTTTTGGCATATTATTCGCCGCCGCCTCCGTTCGTTGCCCCATCCTCTATGTTATAAAGACCAAGGTAGCACTAACAAGCATAAAAACTGGCTGAGCGAGTGATGTCTCATGAAGGACGAACAAGAGTAATATTGGTGGAGAAAAATATCTATGGAAACAATGATTTCTTTAACCCGCGCCAACGTCACTTTTTTTTCTTTTCTTTTGATAGTATGAAGACTTAATACCCGGGTAAAGTAGCAACTTTGGAATGAAAGAGTTTCTCAGCCTCCTCCCATACTTTGGTCCTCTTTCTATCCTTCAATGAAAGCAGACTCGGAAGCAAATCCTTGCTGAATGCTTCACTGGCCTCACGCGGGAGGAGAGTTGGAAGGTGATCAATCGAGATGACAGAAAGAGGAGGGCCGCCGCCACTGACCCTGCGATATCAGCCTATGTAGCAATACAAACTAGATATTTTGTTGTGTTTGGAAACATACCTGACAGGGACAGGGACCGTCGGCTCATCAAACGTAGTATTTATGCTGTAGATGGGGATAGGGTTATGGGGGTTAGTAGTATCACAGCTAACATCCACAACGACCGAAAGCTTGCGGTCGGGGTTTTCCAAGGACTTAGTGTCAATGAAAGGAGGAATTGGCTGATTCAGGTAAATGCAGTTGATAAAGATGTCGGCTATGAAGGTTTTGGTTATGAAACCATTCCTGTGATAGCGCTCAGCCGCAAAAGGAACACTCACATTCAACAATCTCGACAAAAGGACCGCCCTTAGCGGTCTCAGCCATATCCCATTGTAAAACATTCTCGGCCGGGACGCCGACTTTAAGTGCCAAATCAACAGCGCCTTTTCCACATCTTCCCAGAGCACCAATCACCAAAATCTTGGGATTCCTCCCTATCTTTGCACCTTTGAATGGTCAGTAATCTTAGAAAGGGAAACAAAAAACAGAGAGAATAGTAAGGTTCTGATGAATCATAAAGAGATCATACTGCTCTCAGTAACCACACTCTTGATGTGTGAAACCAAAGCGTCCTCACTGGGGTAAGGCTTAACACCACGGAATTCCTCTTCAGGATGAGCATACCGCCATGCCCAAACCTCGACACCCAACGCGGCACCGGCGAATCCAGCATGGTAACCGAACGCAGCAACTCTACGACCGCTATCATCCTGAAGAAACTCCAAGTCTAGGAGAGTACCCTTGCCCTTAGGGAAGCGAGAGAGAACGCTCTCCCAGCCACCTTGGTCCTTGTAACAATGGGCGAATTGGATGTGAGTATGCTTGAGAGGGACTAATAATCATGAGTATTGAACAGGCCAATTCAATAAAAGGGGGGGGGATGGAGAAGATGTACATACAATCATCCTCGGGGAGTTCCTTAAGGCCAATAATAATGTGCTCCGTAGGGGCCTCTGGATTGAGAATTGCAACGGTTAGTGGCTCGTGGCAAATACTTGGTACAAGATGGGTGGCCAACACACCAGTCCAGGAGCCCTCAGGAACGAGCGTAGCGCCGACCCTTTTGAGTAATTAACGAATTGCCCTCCGAGCAGGTGTCCCGGAGTGTATCAAACTTACTTCTCAAACTCACTATCATCAAATATCCTCTGCTCACTGCGCTCGACACGGACATCATAACCAGCACTCAAAAGAGCGCTGGCAGTGGTAGGGGTTACTATTGATGACAATTCAGCAATTGGGGGGGATATTAGCAGTTCCCAGGCAACCCACGGGCAGAGCGATGCTCGAGCGGTTTAGCTGTACACGGAAAAATGTGAGTTCCAATGCTTGGCTCTTAGAACCAGAAAGCCAAAGATCCCTGAGAAATTCAACCAAAAGTAGAGATTGAATTGAAATTCATGAGGAACAAACTCACACTCGGCCCTCAAGTGGAGAACAACTTTGCCAGACATATATTCTCTATGGTCTCGTGTGTTGCGATTTCTTAGTGGTTGTGTGTCTCGTACGGGGAATGGAGTTTGTTTCTTCAAGAAGCGCTGGGGAGGGGGCGGGGTTGTCATCTGTGAAACGGGGAGGTTTTTTTCTTTTCTTTTCGGGGCTGGGCACATTTTAGACCGATAAGTTACCTAGGATACCGATATCATACCGGTATCATAGCCTGTCGTAACGCCAGACCCCCCGGAGGGTGCACGCACCCCCGTTCACTGGGCCATTCATTGTACCTGCTTCCGGTAACAGGCTGTTGTCCAGAAGCTACGAGTTATCATATTTTGACCACGCTATCATGATGTAATATTTCTAGCACTGAAGATCAAGCCAAGAAGAAATTTGAGCTTCGGTTCTATGTATTGTAAAAAGTTGCCCTAAGAACGGGGCAACAGCTTCTCCACACTGGTATAGCTATCCAACCATGAACCATTGGTCCCGTACCGGTATCTTAAAAAACCTAAAGATACATATCATGCAAGCCCAAGAGAAAAAAAGGTTAAAAACAGAGATTTAGGAATTTGTTTAGAAGCAAGACGGCAAGAAAAAAAGAAAGAGAAAAGACAAAACCCATCCCCCGACATACACTGGTTTACCACCACAAACCATATACCAACCGATGCGCAATGGCGGATACCGATCTGTAGCTAGTTACAAGAAGACAATTTAGTCCTAGTAAAATTAGATATCGTTAATAGTCATTATGTCGTCTGTTGCAACAATTCCTTAGGCCAAGTAACCTGTGTCGAGAGTTAGCGAATAGTTTCGGCCGGAACAAAGGAAACAATACCTAGGCGTTCCCCATCCAAACGCTCAAGGTACTCCTTCTCTAACAAGATATCAATACACTTTTTGATATCAGGAATCTTGGGTGTAAAGCGGGACTTGATTTGCCCAATGGTCTCCTGCACCAATACAACATGTTTGAGGACCTTTCGGGCCTTCATAATACGAACAATCGCGGACTAGGAACTATTAGTGAAAGAATTCTATATCCAACAACAGATACATATCTTACCTGCATCAGAAGCTTACGGTCCTCTTCAATGGTTTTATGAGTCTCCTCAACCTCCTGCTTCTGTTCTGCCCTGACAGCCATATTGAGGTTCACACGAATCTTCTTCGACTTGAAGTCGAAATTAAGGGAATATTGAGTCCCCGGCCCAATTTTCGAGCCGGGGGGCGATATGGTCAACACCCTAGCTTTCAAGAAGACTGCCAAGGCAGGTTCCATATACTCCTTAGACAATCCCGTAGATTTTTCAAATTCCTCGTAGGAAATCTTTGTCGCATCGTTAAACAGCAAAAGCATGGCCATCTGGTATGTCGAGACCTGGAAAGTATATGGGGTCTTGGTTGCCTTGCAGTAACTGGCTTTTAGTTCCCCTTTGCAAAGATGCCATAACCAGGTCAATTTACGCCCGTTGTGCTTCCCGTTGTAGAACTCAACGAATCGAGTGTAGGTTTGAACTATAACTTCAGGTATATTGAACGGGGTTGTGGGAGGGTTCAAGGGCCAAAAAGATGTTCCGAGAACTTGGCAACTGAAGTCAACGCCATTAGACGCACTCTCGCCCTTTCCTTCTAACCACGCCTTATAACTGTCGTTGAGGTCTTTAGATATCTGCATATCCTGGAACATGCGTTGGAGTTTGTTGGTATATTCGAAACCACAAGCCTCCTTGAGCTTTCCAATCATGCTTGTCTCTGCGTCGTCAGAGGCCGAAGTAAAGTTCACCAGTCTCTTCGCCAGCATTTTAGAGTAAAACTTCTGAAATACATCTTTGTCCTCAACATATTTGAAGACTGTCATGATGGCAGAAAGCTTATTCTCGAGGTCCGATTCTTCAGCGCTCTTGGCGCTCTTACGCAAAAGTGAATCTGCATACTTTGCAAGAAGTTCAGGGGATTTTGTAGATGCCGACTTGCACACCTTGTTCCTGTTGACAAATTCACGACAGGCGTTATCCAGTGAACGAACGAACTCTGCCTCGCCTTTGAACGCAACATTCACAAGATTCTGGTACTGGGTGTGAACCTCCAACAAAGCATCGACATAGACTTTTGGGTCGAGATTGTCTCCGCCCTCATCAGCAATCTTATCAACCGCAGATGTCCCCGCCCTCCTAACATGCGCCTCAAATTTCGTACGAAGAGGTTCAAGCCCATCCGGTATACGCGAGAGAAGGTTGTACATCCGCTGTAAATCGCTCTGACGATCGTTATCTAGCAACACCTGAAACTCCTCCCGGAGAAGGGGAGCATGTTCTTGAATGAGGACTTTCTGGCAGGTCTTCATCAATGGTCCATAGATATCGGGGTGGAGATACATCTGTACACGCCCCTCCTCTTCAGCTAGCCTGGTCTCGGCCTAGAATTCATATTAGTGCCAAGCGTCACGATAAACTACGAGAGCACAAACCTTTTTCATGTACTCTACCACACTGTTCTCGGCCACAAACTGCTTAGACTCCATTTGGTAATATGCAGTGGTAGCCTCCAGGAAGGGTTTTTCAAAAAATTGACGATAGACATCCAAGGTTGATTTGGAGGAATCGCTCTCGTCGAGTCCCAGCGAAACAAAGGAGTCTACTATGCTCTTGACCATAGCAGTCTCGATGGTCTCACCATTTCGCTGCTTCTCAACGAGCTTCAAAACACCGTCCATGACATATTTTTGGACATGATCGAAAAGATCAAGTCTCCAACGGACAAGATGGAGCTACAACACCTAATATCAGCGCTAGTTCTTTGCTTCCCCAAAGAGCCAACGAACTGTATAAACATCGTAGATGTTTTTCTTGCCTTCATCCATCTCACGCTTCACCCAATGTCGATTAAGATATCGGAACAGGTGGTTAATGTACTTTGCGGCAGTAGTGTACCGATCCCAATCGCGAATGTATAAGGCGAGGAGGGCTTCATCCGCATGACCAGATGCCTCCTAAGCCCGCCAAATCAGCGAATGATCATAATTAGTAGCAGAATAGAAATTTATCCAACGAACATCCTTCAGAGCGGTCAAGTGTTTGCTGAGGTAACCAATAAGGTTTTTGTAGAGATCCTCTCCGAGTAGATGAGCTACAGCGCCTCAAAAACAAAATCAGCAAGCCAGAACTTTCTCTAAAGTTGGATGACGACAGACCACCTCGATGAACGGCACCTGAATTATGCAGCGCTTGAGGGCTAGAGTTCACTGCCTTTTGGGATGTACAAAAATTATGAACCGCACTGAGGTCAGGCAGGAGAGCAGTTAGTGAGCAAAACAGCAAAAGCGTTCTGGGAAGAATATCTTACGTATAGACGCCCATATACTAAGAGGGTGGTTAGCTTAGCGGGTACAATATCAACGGTGAAGAGCCAGATGCAAAATATCTCACCGTAGTCATATCAACACCTGTTTGGAGATCCTTCATTATCTTTTCAACACCCGCCTCGAGATAGCTCCATCTAACATGATAATTCAGCCTCAAACTATCACCAAATAGGGATACAGGAAATACTCACGTTTGGCCAAGGTCCTCCCTGTTTGGTGCCTTTGGCTGCATCATCTGGACTCCTTATTAATGCAAAGAGGGAATGTAGAATAGAAACAAAGCTGCTCTGGTAGTCCGTGAAAAATGCCGAAACTAGCGTAGTGTGCCAGGGGAATAGAGTCGGGATGTGAAAGGAGAAGAGGGAAAATATAAGGAAAGGATTTGTGAAAGTGAACTGTTCGCAAATCGAGTTCACCGGATGGCGGGGTTCTGGGCAGGTGGAGGAAGGCTGGCGATGAAAGTGGATGCTGGTGTTGGAGGGGAACTCGAGAAGGTAAGAGCGGGTTCTGTCTGGTGTGGTGTTCTGGGGCTGGGGGGCAAGGACTACCCGTAGGCTGGGCACTGTGCCATGCAACTGTGAGTCGCTCCGTCTGTTGCGGGCGTAGTATCATATCATAGAAAAAGCGGCTCAAGTGAACCCGCAACCCCCAAAGCCGAGGCTGGAAAGCTATGATAGGATTCCCAGCCCCTACTGCCGGCAATCTCTATCAGATATCCTATGGGATGGTACCTGACACCAGCCGGTAAACCGGTGCCATCGGTGCTTCGCGAGGGCGAACGGTAGAAACCAGCTTGCTATCATAGGGTAAATGGTACTTAAGCGATATGGACTATGATACAGCCACGATTTTTCGGCACGTCAGTGGGCGAGAATGCTGGTATTCTGCATCCTACTACCGGTAGACTACTCGAGTACCGTACGGTAGACTATGGCAATGCCACTTTACAATACTATAGTAATGTACCCGCAACTACGGTAATACGGGTATGATAGCAGAAAATATGAATACGGTAGCTTAAAAGCTTAAACCCTGAACCCACACACATAAACTACATACTCGTGGGCATACTCGAGTACCGTACAAGTATCATTACACGTTATCATAGTTAATAATAAGTTACCGTGCTTTGCATGAGATATTGATTACCGTACTGTACTCGTACTAGTACTCGCCCTGTACGGTATTTTATTCGAAGCATTCCGACAGATCGCACTCTATTCCAACCCTGGATACCGGTACTGGTACCAGTGTGGCTATCCTGTCTACGAGTAGGATATCGATATCAATGATTCCGCACGACAGCCGGTGTTCCCCTTGCGTCTACGGTCCACCTCCTACGGAATACGGTATGGGGGCACCTTACGGAGACAGGGAACCCCAACACTCCAGGAACTGAAGCTTGTGTCTCGGATGCCGTTATTTGAGTATCGGCAATAATTTCTACCGGAAACATAGGGATACCGCCGGAAAGCTCTATGTACCAACACGGAGGAGGGCATTGTCCATCCCCATTGGGTATGATACCGCATGGTATCATACTGTATCATGTCAGGGGCTCGGTAGAAACCCTAACTCGTGCTAGTTTCAATAGCCCTACGATACCTGTACCATAGCTACAAATCTTAGGCATCAGGGTACGATACAAGCAGTGGGAGGTATGATATCATAATATGAGTATGGTTTTATTAGAACCAGCATATGGGCACTCAACCTCCAAAAATTATTTTGGTATAGCCACCTAGATAGACCTTTATAGCATACTCCTAATAGCTCAGAAAATATTCTAGAAGCTCCAACGACCTCTGTAGCATATTTTACATACAAAAATATGAAAATTTGTCTTTGGTTGTGATACTTCAAACTTGTTTTCCCAGTGACAACCAAAAATGCCCATATGCTGGTTCTAATAAAACCACACTCATATTATGTCAAAGTGAGATCCCTCCAAACGCATACTTTCCCGTTTCCCAACACTCTACCACTATCAACCCCCCTCCCCCGGGGTGGAAAAAGAAAGAAAAAACTGACTAACTTAGATACAAGATTAACAAGATACCGACCCATGAAGCTACTTGTCCTCCGCGCACACCCAGGGATTGGGCAGCAGCAGCAACAGAAAAACACATGAAAGCTAGCATGAGCACCTGGACCGGTGAAAGGGAAAAACAAAACAAAAGAGGGAGAGCGATAATAGATGTGCTGACATAGGGAAAAGACAGTGAGCCCGCCAGAGTAATATAATAGCAAATAAGAAACCAAACCCAACCAAAGCAAAGGTACAAGTACGAAAGTAAAGAGGAAAAAGAACGCCATGTCTACCTACCCATGCATTTTCTCCCACTCTGAAAAAAAAATATAAAAGAGAAACAGACAATTGAAGGAAATACTAATAGACCCAGACCATGTGATAAAAAAGGGATATACTATATGACTACAAAATTACCTTTGGCAGAGCGTTATAAAAAGAGAGTTTGGAAGAAAGAACTTTTTGTCTCTCCTGTCAAGGCCCAATCAAGGAGTGGTTGACTATTATTATGAGCGAGCCCCAGAAGAGACTCTCTCTACAAGTCTAGAAATATAGATTTCAGTTGGTGAAAAAAATACCGACCATACTGTGAAAAACTCACCTGAACACACTGACCGTGAATGTTGATACCCAAGCACACAACGCAAGGAATAGGAAGGCTGCGAGAGCTCGCTGCCTATCGCAGATAGGATCCACCGTCCGGGAGCTCTGGATCCGTGTCGTTAGTATCCTGATCGATTAAACGTCTCACGGCTTGGACTACTGTGAGTTACATTGAGGTCATCTTTAAAATCAGCGCTACTAGCTGCGCTTCGACAACTCCATCGAACATCGAAGAGTGTGTCGAAAGCCAAGGATAAGTTGGCCGAGTCAAAAATGATAAACAATAGGTCAAGCATTACTACGATTGATTATGATATCAGTATACAGCGCAAACATGTCTGGAAGGTTGGTGATCTTACTCAATCGCATTTTCGCTTTAGGAGACCGCAAGCCAAGCGGTTTGCCGGAATACTCGTCATACGTGATGTAGATTAGGTAAATCAGGGCGACCACATCCACAATGATAGCCATGATCGTGGAGGGCTTTTGTTCGAAATTGTACTTGTTGCTCAATTGAAACACACTGCATGCAAGGGCTAGGGCGAGAAGTGAAAGTACCCAAATCAAAGCCCTAAAGGTCAAAGGGACCATCGGATTGTTCAGCAGCATTACCTGCACACTCTGTCAGCATTTAATCCCCTTGAGTAAGCAGTAGACGCACATGTGCCCTCTTGTACCATATCTTCCTAGTCCTCGAACTGACAAACAATGCACCTTCATTTTCTTCTCCGACCCCACCGCCTTGGTTTTCCATATCTCTATTGCTTGAAAGCCATGGGCTACTGAGGTCGCCTTGCTGAGACAGCCATCCATCATCAACTCGTTTTTCCGACTGGGATGACTGTGGCGGGTAAGAGGTGACCTCCACAAATCCCCGCCATCGGCTCGCGTGCTCTCGGAATGGCGAAATGGTGACGGGGGTTGTTTCTCGCTGGGCGTCGTGTACCGATCGCTCTGGAGGCCTCCGGTGAGCCGCCGGTGGAGGAGAAATCAGGTCATCTTCATCTTCCTCTCGCCGTTGAACCCACGCTACAAGTAGATGAATGGACCATTAGCCCGATATGCCCGAAAACCACGAACCGCAACCAATAAATCTTACAACGAGGGGGGTGCCAACTTGGTAGCGTCCGGACATTATCCCACTTGTGATGATCCATATAGTCCCTGCCGTCCTTCGCATTCCCACTCGCGAGGGATCGTGAAGAGAGAGAATTTGTGGAAGTAGAGTTTCGGGCAGTGGTTGTCCCGGCTAGTGCGTCGTGCCGTTTCTCGTTCTGCTGTGACGACGACAAGCCGGAGGTTGGCCTCTGTTCGGTGTGAATAGAGGGACCATGGAGCTGATGTCGCTGTTGCGGTGACTGCTGGTACTGCGCTAACTGCTGCTGTTGCTGCTGGTCAACAGGCTGGTTGGCAGCCATGTCGACACTGACGCAGCCCTTTCCTGAGTTTGTGGGTGTGAAGAGACAGAGAAGCGTGGATTGGATTGGATAGGGATGTGAAGGAAGAGGCAATGCTAGATGATGTGGTGCCCAGGGCTCCTTAATTGATTTAAGATGGGTAGCCGCGTCGAGTGTATCAACTGGATGCGGGAAATTGAGGGCTGGGTCAAGACCCCAGAGAGAGCCTTTTTGCCTTTGTGGTTCGAGTGGGAACGGCCGTTGGCCTAGCGAATGAGATTTGGGCGCGATGAGGGCACAAGGCAGTGCCAAGGGGTACTTGTACTGTAATAAACGAGCAAGGACCGGGTGTTGGCAGAGTGAAATCCATGGCGGCGAAACCCCAACCCAAGGAATGTGTGTGCCCAATCCCAAGCTTGGCTACCGCAGCGACCCAATTCCCGGTACGTACGAGTACCGTATCATACAGTACGAGTACTCGTACTAACGAATTTCAAAAGTATTCGGACACCTTGGCGCCAAGAGAAAGTGTGATGCCAAGACTTTTGAGTAAATAGGCTGAATTCATCACAAGTTGATGAACACGTCTATGACAACAAACATTCTTATCTAATGATGAGTCCGAGTAGCTTCCTAGAGTCATGGCTAAATGTATTGAACAGGAGGGTGGAAACAAGTTCCATGGCTAAATGGATGAAAAGCCGGACAGAAGCAAATTCTATAGCTAGTTATTTTGTTGGATATACCGGATTTTGGATTGCACTAAGTGCCCGTGGCCTTGGCGCCAAGGTGTCCGAATACTTTTGAAATCTGTTAGTACAGTAGGGAAGGGAGCCGGACGGCTCGAAATCACTCTACGAGTACCGCATGAGGCTGATGAAGAGGCTTTTCCTCTGTAGCAGCCCTACGAGTACAGAACTGTGGCAACCTGTATGGAACCACCGCAACGAGCATAATCTGCACAGCCACATCTGGGCAAAGCTTTTTTTTTTTTCCTTTTCTTTTTTTTCAAGGATAACAGAGCTGGATGATGACGTTTCTCTCCGAGTTCTCCCTCCGGGGGGGGACGCTGAACACTTCACAGTTAAAGCCCATCTTCACTCACTGGATGACCCACGAGAAAACCCTTCGCCTGTGAAACACTTGCCCGCAGGTACCAATTGGAACTATTTCGGCGGTTGCTCTTCAGCTACCCGTAAACGAGGCGGCTCCTCTCCATCCGTCGATTCCATCTTCCTTTCCTACCTGCGATAAAACCGATTGATCACAGTATCGTTTTAGCACTCAGCATGTCCTCCCTATAAAGTCCTCGTGCCCACCAGAATGTATCATACCTGAAATTTCAAGAAAAAAATTCATAATTTTACCCATTTCCTTTGCCCCAACCCTTCCCATAATCCCACCTTTTTTCTCATAAGCTTCGGATAAAGCCAATCGAGGAGCAGGAAAACAAGGATCACCGTATCGACAAGGACCAAGAACAAACATTGTTCTTCGGATCGAAACAGAAAACCTCATGAGGCTCTTCCTAATTCCCATCTCGACTCGGCGCACTCTTGTCTACGCCCAGCGTCTGAACAAGATAACTCATGCAGAACCATCCTACGCTGATAAAGCCTCGGCGTGAGTTAACCTCACTATCTTCGCCATGTCGCTATCCTTTTCACTGATGATGGTTTACGCCGCAGCAAGGCTGCCAATGTTTGGTTTCAATGGGTTTGCTCGCCTCTCCCGTCTTCCCAGAGCTACCTATCTATCTATATCTGAACGAAAAAATATATACATATATAAATCTGCTACATGAAGAAGTTCACGACCTGATACCACTCCCTCTCGGACGATAGGAAACCGGAAAAGCTGGCTGGCAACGATGGATTACGGATGCAGGCAACAAACTTTTCAACAGGATACCCCACGAGGAATGGTTCGTAGATACACGCTTTCGCTCCGCTTTTTACCTATCTTCTTTTTTCATGACCAAGATCCGTGATATAGGAGTCTGAAATCTATACCGCCTCTATCTGCGCGCCGACGAGACGGGGGGGTCGACAAGCAGAAGATAGAAGTGCTATATCCACCTTCGGTCATTGAGGAGAAGAATGTCTCGTCTATACTGCAAAGACTCTCTACCGAGCGTAACCAGATTCACCGTACCCGGATGATCTGGTCCATAGTTGGAATGCCTATTGTCGCTCCGTTTGCTATTGTTCCCGTCATCCCAAACGTATGGCACCCGGTTCTGATTCCTATCCATACTCAAATACTCACACTAATGGAATTCAATAGATCCCCTTTTTCTATCTCTTGTATAGAGCCTTCTCTCACTGGAAAGGTAATTACCTCTTGAGATAGTCCAAGAAGATAATATTAACATCGTGATGAAGCATTATCTGGTGCAAAACACCTAGAGTTCTTGCTTAGCCGAAATCTTCTTGCCCCTACTCCAGCAACCTCCCTAGAATCGGTATATAGACCGATAATGTTGAGGATGGAATCTGGGAAGAAGGAAAGCTGCAAGCTGGCGCATGAGGTTATGCTACTTCGGAAAGGCCACGCCCAAGAGGTAGGCACTGCAATAAGCTCTACAAACGTTCCAGTATGCTGACATTCGGCTCGCTTTCAGATTGCATCTGTCACAGGAATTCCCGCCTTGGCCACAGAATGCGAACGCGCCTATAAGCAAGTGGAGGAACACATAAAAGAGGACCTGAAGAAGAAGAAACTGGAATGATAGTGGAGCACTCATGAGCATTAGGTAGGCCTGTAAATCCCACATCGCAGCTCATTGTATCATATTTCTATGCTGAGTGCGTGAAGACAGGTTGCTAGATAGATAGGTTAACGGTTATGGAAAAACGTGAGGACAAATTTCGTGCGTGAACAAATTTCCCTTGAATGGGCAGGAATAGGCAGCGAATCTGGGGTGACAAACAATTCCGCTTTCTAAAAATCTAGTAAAAATACTGGTGCGAGTACAGTGTCAATGCAAGGCAGCCCGAAAAACCCCGACCCAAACCTTCAAGCACCTAAGGCATCATACCGAAGCTTGGGCCTCGAATCTACCACCAATCCTAGTTCCTTTCTGCAGTCCTCCTAAGCCTTAAACCATCGCCAGGTAAATTGCGCTAATGGTCGTTAACCCAAGAACAGTGTACCCAGTCCTGTAGACATCTTTGATATCCAACGCCTTGCCAGTATCCCAGAGCAAATGCCTAATCCCATTCCAAGAGTGATAAGAAAACGGCAAGGCAACAGCAAGCTTAATGCCAAACTTGGCCGCAGCCGGTAGCCCTGAGAATGCCGCTGCGATAGTAGCGCTGTCAAAATGCCATCCGAACGCCGGCGCCACAGCGTACGCGGCGAAGAAGCCATATGCACCCACCGAGAGAACGGAACCAGTAATCCTGTTCGCAGCGGACCCGTACCAGGTCAGTTGCGGCTGGTAAATGCTTAGGTGCGGGGATATAGGCCGCTGCTTGCGCTGGGCGACCAGGATTGCGCAGGCGTCGTCCGGGGAGACATTCTGTGCGGGAACGGAGGTGGAGGTTGTGATGAGGCTATGACCGATAAGCAAAAGAAAGGAAGAGTTATCATACGGTGGTTAGAATGAGCCCAGGCAATTCGAGACAGGGGTTCTAGGTTCGGTGGCCATACCGGAATTGGCTCGCCACAAGAGAGTTCCTTGCTATGAAGAACGGCTTTGGCAGCGCCGATGCTGTGACTATCATTACATTCAATCCAATCAGTCTTCTTTCTCTTGCGCTCGGCGCATTGTGCAGGGGTGCGGGACGTACGACGGGTGGAAAATCTGAACATGATTGTTTGCTACCGTATGTCAGAGTAGCAAGTGAGGCGCTTCTTTTGAAGGATTCGGATTCCGAGGCTCAAACGCAAATTGTCGGTTGTGATGCGAGAAGTTATGGTAACTGCTGGGCCGAGGGGTTGGCTGCGGTTGCGGTGAGATCCCGTGGCACAGGTTAGGTGTTATTGTTATCACTGCCCCGATTGGCTGGCAGGCATGAGCTTGGTTGGTTGGCCGCGGGGGAATGCCTTCATTGCAGAAATTGGTGGTCATGAAACATCACTCGGTAAATGGCTGCGGTGTGCTTGCTCGGGGAAGATGGTTGGAAGGGATTTCTGTACTTCGAGAAAACTCCCTGATTTGACCATGCAGTTAAAAGGGGCTGGGAAAAAGAAATTTTACTTGCAGTAGACATGAGATCTTGGCTTCATAATAAGAGTCTACGAATATGGCTATGGAACGGCCAGGGGAGACCACGAGTTGGCTGGCCCCGGTATCTGGGCTAGAGAGCGCAGCTAGGTTGACGGGAGGATATGTTACTCGTATAGTAGGTTAGAATACCCCTGTGCTGGTTTAGAATTTCATCCTGCGTGACTGTGCACTATACACTTCCCTCCCCCCCCTTATGGTGAGAAACTCGAACACTCAGACACCCACCACCGAAAATCCAAGCTGTTGAATAAAGCTTGCGTTTTCGGTCACGTTTCCCTTCCTTTACTTATATGATACGACTACGGTCGAGTGCCAGCAGGCCCTAAGCAAGCCCCTCCTAATATGACTAATATCGAACCGTGATGCTATACCATGGCACCAAAATTATTCCTTTGAATACATAACGGGCGATGAGGGTGGTGCAATAGCGTGGTTCGTGGGAGACCTGGAAACCTTCCGTCTACTAGGACCCCGCCATCGGGCCAAATGGAGATATTGGTCAATGGGAGGGAGGTCTCTCGTGAGCCAGTGTCTGTCGCCCTAAATTTAAGATTCAGTTCCTCGTGGAACTGGATGGACTGGGAAAAACTTGGGGTACGGAAAAGCGATAGGTATATATGATACGCTCCGAGATACACGCTGACTTTACCAGGCCAAAACTTGAGGAAGGAGTGATAGTGAATATTGATAATGTTCGCCTTTACCTGGAGGAGGGAAAGGAGTCTATTACTTGTGACCCGCGTGAGCATTCTATCATACTTCACGAATTTTCTGGTCTTCAGCACTGGTTGGGTGCCTGGTTATCCCACCACGGATTACATTGGGAAGCACCAAAAGGCATATACTAATTTTAATTTTACCGCGAGTATTTCCCGGTACTGAGAGACCTTATAAGGGAGGAAAGATAGCATTTGTGCAGGGCATGCATGGGAGGACACTGGTTACCCGTGTCCAAGGAACAAGTTAATGCATAGGTGTTGAAGAGAGAGCCGCAATTCTAGCGCGTTGTTTAGAACTATAGTCTAAGTGCCTCATAGGCTCGTTGCAGCTGTCCTCACCCTTGATCAGAGGATTTCGATCCTGTGGGTTGCTAGAACTTCCCACAGTATCTTGTCCCAGGGTTGTGTGACCAGAGGAATAAAAGGTCGTAAGGAAATAGAATACTGTAATAGTGTGCTTATGATATGTTGTGTTACGGTATTGAATAAGTAAAATATATCGGTATTTGCAGACTCACATAGCTAGATGCTAACATCGCGTTTAAAGGTAAAATAAATAAATAGGCCTTCCCTCCATAATCTTATTATAGTAATTATCCTGAGAAAAACACCAGGAGCTATGCCGCTAACCTCAACAGTGGGAATATGCTTGTAGTAATACATGGTACGAGAAGATGAAACACCGCCCTAATGATAAAAGCAATACAAATGGTCACCACAGACTATGGTATCCCGGACAGTGATTATTCAAGCTACTACCCCTAAACCTCCTCCTCCTGAGAGGCCCCACCCTCTGGCTCATTGTCGGTCTCCTCGGTGCTACTCTCGGGAGGCATGCTCTCGAGGGCTGAAGAACACCCGGAAGAGTAACTCGGACTATGCTGGGCCCTCGCATACTTGCGCAAGCGTACTCTCTCGGTCCCACTGATCGTCCTGGGTCTGGGCCTGTTATCCCCACCGCTACCTCCCCCCTCTCCCCCCTTCCCGTCCGGCCTCGCGGAAGCAGCACCGCCCAACTTCAAAACCTTCGCCCTGGGCGTCGCCTCACTAATGGTCACTCCCACCTTCTCAATCCTGAACTTCTTGTTGGTCTCCCAGGGCGCGTAGTACTCGACGTCATCGGCCCAATCGTGAATGTCGGCCGGCCGTTTGCGACGCCCCTTCGGCATCGCGGGCACCTTTGGCAACTCCTCCAAAATTGACCGCTCTGGCTGCTTCTCGAGGAGTTGCCAGAGGCGTTTCTCCTCCTCTTGGGAGTCCAATTGGTCGCGCGATTCGAGGTAGGCTTCCTCTTGGTCTGCGTGCGCTTGGTACTCACGGTCGAGGCGTTTGCGGATTTTGTTCGGCTCGTGGTGCACGTCTGGATTCAGGACTATAAAGTCGTCGTCCTCTTCTTTGCTCTCTTCGTCTCGTGAAGTTTCGCCGTCTGACTCGTCGTTGTCCGAGGATGGTGGTGAGGCTTGGTTGGGATTGGAAAGGCCTGGTGTTTGAGTGGAGTCGCTAGGGTCTCCATTTTCGTCTTCGGTTTTGGAATCAGTGTGAGTTGTTCCTTCTCCCCCCCCCCCTTCTTCTTGAGCTGGTTCCTCCTGGCCGGATGCTCCTAACTCCTTGGTCGCTGGGCGTGTTCTAAAGGTTTCTTCAGAGCGCATGAAACGCTCCACCTCATCTAATGGAGTAAGAACGTGTTTTCTACCGCTGAGAATGTAGAATCTGCTCTCAAGAACATCTAGACCCAGTCTCCGGGGAGCCTTGGCCCAGTACTCCTTTGTGTTAGGAGTGAGTCCTAGAGTATTGATAGCCGCTTCTACGTCAGATGGCCTCACGTCAGATTCCTTGCTCGACCTGAGTATCCTGTTGCTGGTAGATCTAAGTCGTGACTGCGCCATGAAAATGGATGCTGACACAAGTCTCCTTGTGAAGCTAATGGCCAGAGTGTGGATATCGATGAAGGCGGTGTATCGTATTGAGGGGGGTTTGCCACCTAGGGTTTGCCAGCTTTCTTTGGGGCCATTCATAAACACACTTTGATTCGATCAGGTCAGTCCATTAGTCTCAGGGGCGAGGTAGGCGAAAGGTTAATGAATGAAGGATTGAAATGTACATACTATTCGGATAAATTCAGCATACTCAAGATGCTAAGTAATTCGGCCTCCGGCACAAACTCCCTAACCTTTTCAAGGCCCTCCTCATCGCTGCCATTCTCGTAACCCTTGTATAGATCCTCGATGTACTCAGAGATGTCGCCATCCAACAACCAGAATTTTCCCCACCTATCCTTTTCCCTTCTCTGCTCATCGGCCACTGTTCGATTTTCCAAGAGCTGTGCCTCCTCCTCCAGGGCCTCTGCACACTCGTCCGAGATTTCTACAGCTGCTGGAATGTCCGTCATTCTAGGCAGTCTCCCGCTTTTGTATAACAGATTCTCATTCGCCTCTACCACTGCCTGCTTTAGGAGTTTTAAGTATGCACGGCATTCCACAATGCTCTTGGTCTTCATGTTGTTTGCGAGAGCGGCAGCGTCGTGTCTTCCAATTCTAGCCACCAAATTGAAGAATTTGTGCTTCTCTGTGTGTGACCACCAGGAGCCAACGACCCATGACCCTCGTAGGATCCCCAGGCCATCGGGGCAGAGCTCCTGCGATTTTGCCGAAGATATGGTATCATTCAGCTCCTTGATGTATTCCGGGTTGAATCTGTCGATCTGCTGCCCACGCCTTCTTCCAGGAGTGCGCTTAGGTACTTTAGGCACTAGTTTTCGATCAGAATCGCTCTCAGTGTTCTCGGTAGAATCCCCAGTGTCTGAGCTTGAGCCTAATGCCTCGCTGGTTGGGGTGTAAGGTGAGGACCTAGTATTGGTTTTCTGGTGAACATCGTCTCCGGTGATTTGGGGAGCAGACTCGTCCGTTTGAGAAAGGTCTGTGATCCCATGGTCACCATTATCATTTGTCAACTCCAAAGAGTAAGCTCGAGGACTTGCCTCTTCCATAGGTTCATCGTGCTCTTCCTCACCCCCGCCATCATCTCCTCCGCTACCGTTGCCGTCTACATAGCCATCAGATTGTGAACCGAGATTGGAATCACTGTCCTCGTCACTAAGGGGGGGCGACGTAGGCGCCGCGGCAGGCACGATTTTTTCCAAGGGTGTAAATCTAGATCTTCCACGGATTCGCCCACTATCGCCAGATTCAAAGCCAGAGCCGGGGTCATCCGGCTCTGAGGCCGAACTCCAATCTAATTCTGGTCGGTGATAATCACTAATCTTGGCTGAGTGTAGTTCGCCTTGCTGTATTCTCATCCATTCATCTGAGTCCTCGAAGGTGGCTGACAAAACTGTTTTTGGAGAAGAGGGTTGTGACACAGAGTTCGCGCTTTCCTGCTCCAGCGCGGGAGAGCTCGGCCCGGGGTCACTAGTAGCCTGCGCTTTTCCTACCGCCTCTGGCTCCGATTCCGTCTCTGAGGAAACAATTACAGGTGGCCGACGCTGCTGTGTAGGTTGCGAATTTGGACTCGAAGACGTGGTGGATGAAGTAGAGGTGCGGGATGGCTTGGGCGATCCAGGAGATTTTGAAGCCATTTTTTTGTGAATTGAAGGTGTGAGAACAGTTAATGATTAGAAGTGGGTTGGGTGTTCACTTACCGGTAATTCAAGAGCTCAACTGTAAACAGCCATTGTTCGAAAACTAAAAGCAGTAACGTCCCTGCAGATCACTTCATCCAAGAAATCGATAAGATCAGATTAGATAACTTCAGTCCAAGGCTTGGCGCTGGCTTGGCAAGCGTTAAGGACACTCTGCTTTAACCCTCTTCCACGGTGCCGGGGGCACGATTTCATGCCTAAAGCTCCGACCAAGTAACCATAACTTCCTCTGCAAGAAAAGCATCTTCCAAATCTCTCGAAAATGGCAGCAAGGCCCAAAGCTAACCTTCATGCTCTCCCGGGTAGGTCATTCACTGCCTCCCTCATATGACCTCAAAGTTCGCCCGCTAACATGTGGTTTCCAGAACTGAAAAACACATCCGATGATTCCATAGCTCCCGTTTGTTCCATCCTTTTCACCCGCTATCTCGCATAACGGCAAGGGGAAAGTCCTAATAACTGACCCGCTTTCCAGTATCTAAAATCAAAAGGCTGGAAACAAAGCCACACTCTCATGGATGTGCGCCTTATCCTGGGCTTCACTGCCGTCACAATCGCCGGAAGCACCTTCTATTATGATTATACTCTAGGCTTCGATAAGACAAAAGTTATGACTTTATATGCTGTGGCTGCTTATTTTGTCATCAACACATTTCTCACATGGTGGATATGGGGCATGGAAGGCGGTAAGATTTATGTGGGTTCAAAAGACGGCGTCACTGTGAGTAGATTCTTACAAAGCACAAGTGCCCAATGAATAAGCATTAACAACTCGGGGTGTCAAGATCACTATATCATCGCGCGCCGAGAAGCATTCGCCAATCTACCATCTCAAAATTGTTTCTCAATCGCCGGGGCAGAGGCCTACTACGACCGAAGTGGAGGGTCCCTTCACCAGCTGGTTTGATACACAGGGGTTCCTTGTTGAGAAGCCATTCATGACTTTCATCTCCAATTCCATCCCCTCGATGGCAGCGACAACACCCGAAGGCCAGCACCTAAAATCTAAGGCGAAACCGAAAAGCACAAAGAAGGCTTGAGTGGATTGAATTGGCTAGGGGGAAACTGAAAACGAAAACTAGTCTCTGGTTCTATCGCTACTATGAATCTAATAATCATAGAGTCGATAAACGGTGTCTTGTATTATTAGGTGCTTGAGTTTTTTTTTTTTTACGGGAAAATGCACTCTCTTAAGGACTTGCTACGCTGTTTCATGTAATGCTCTGTAGACTGTTTAAATACTCTCGGTCCAGCTCTACCGTTTCCCACGTTGCGATTCGTAGTGCTCGCGGAGTGTCGAAAGATCAACCGAGTGCGTCCAACCGATCTCGTTATTACGAGGGCTGAAATTGTTCAGCATCCTGCGCCTCTGTTAGACTAGACTATGTGAATGGTGCACCACAGGATCAGGAAAGAGGATGTACTCGGGGAATTTGACCTGGACGGTCTTATTAGGCTCAGAGTTCAAGAACAAGGTTCGATCGGCCGCAGCTCTCTCTATAAGCACAGTACGCCGAGCGTTTCTCTTCTCCCAAAGGTCTTGAACATCCGAATAGTATTCGATAGCTCGGGTGAGGGGAGATCGGTCACTACCGGAGATGCTTTGTTCGAGTTTGTAGAGAGCGATCGTACCGACAACTGCCGCAATCGAGAGATAGAACCCTTTTCCAAAGGCTGGTGAAACATTAATCAATATCTAACTCAAATACATCAACAGGCCCTTTCCGGTGGGACCTACACTCTTCGGGATATTCGGGCGGCGGTGTAAAGTGATGGATCTCCTGGCCGTCTGGGGCATTCGGAGGAGCTGCTTTACCCTTCTGAGCGTCGGTCAAGGTAGCACCATGGCGTCGGCCCAGAACTGTTCTCGAGGAGCAGAAAACAGCCCTGCCGCTGCTTCGGAAGGCGAGCATAACGAAGAAATTAAAGGGAGACGGTGCACGAGTATTTTGAATGAATATGGGATGAAGTTTGACTTCGGAAATGGGTTGGGGTTGGCTGTGTACCGTATGAATCTCCTCCAATAATAGCCGGGTAACCTTACGTATAGCGGACGCCGCGACTGTGGCTTTCTCTGGACAATAAACTGGTTTAATTTCTAGTCCATCCTAGCAACTCAACAGCACCATCTCATCTCTCACTCACTCCACTCCACCCCCATCTCACACAAGCTACTTCTTCTTCACCATCGAGAACTATGGCTTCTAGGTTTCCATCCATTGAGGAGTTCGATGAGGGGCAAACATCTGCTGCCACTGGTGGCGAAACCCCTTTGGATCTTGGACTCGGCGAAACAGGCGGAATGAATTTCTCTGAGCGCGAGAGACTCGCTTTGGGAGAAGACGCAGCCCTTTTTGCTAATCCAGCCGATTCTGATCTTCTTGGTGGGAATAGCGATGCCCAGGAGAAATTCCAGCAGGATTCCTATGAGGGTACTTACTTCCCAGCTCTCGATAATCCGGTAGGTGGAGCAATGCTGCAGGCCTCCCGCTTTTTTTTTTTGCTCGAGTCTTCTAGAAGAAGGTATATCTTCTAATCCTAGGGTTCCCTGGGCAGAGCATCGGTCCCGGGGGTGTCATCACTGGAACCTCGGAGCCTTACCTCCCGAATCAGAATACTTATTCCGGGATGCCAATGCAGCCCGAGGAAGAGGAACCCGAAGTAATCAAGTTAGACATCCTAAACTTCCACGAGTCTATGTTACGGACCCTTCAGCTAACCCGAAACCCATAGGCAATGGCGCGAACGTCAAACTCTTGAGATTCAGCGCCGTGATGAGCTCTCGGAAACTCGCAAGCGCGAGACTATCGAGAAAGCTCAGCGCGCCGTCGACGACTTCTATGAGAACTACAACTCCAAGCGTGACAAGGCCATCGAGGTGACCCGGTAATCACATTTATGCCAACGCTCTCTGCGAAAAGTTAACGATAGTACAATAGTGCCGAAGCGCAGGAGTTCTTGGACTCTCGCGAGAATACTACTTCCGGAGGCACTTCTTGGGAGAGGATTGCAAAACTTGTTGACCTGACAGAAAAGGGTGCAAAGGCTGGCAAAAGCGACAAGACCAGATTTAGGGAAATGCTCTTGAGCTTGAAAAAGGACGAGAAGGTAAGCATGTGAAATAGGGCTATTTCACTCCAGTTCTAGCTCTAACTTCATATCGCTTAGGCACCTGGCGCTAGTGGTTTCTGAAATCCCTGATGGGTACGGTTTATCGGTAGGTCGTCTTTTTCTAAAAAAAAAAGGGCAAAAAAAAACAAGCAAGTAGGCGGGGAGCATAGAAATTCTAATTTGTTTCCTTTTGTCCTCGTATATCTTTCTGTGCTGGGAGAATGTACGAAACTGTAGCAGGGGCGTTGGCGGACATTTCTATTTTCCTTGTAGGATACCTTTATTGCTGCTGGTGTAGCCACACCATCCACTTTCTTATGATCCATGAAATTACATCAACCCCGGACTTACTCGATAGCTTCCCGTGAGTCTTCTAGAATTGCCCATTCTAGGAATTAGAGTAAGATAGCAGGAGTAGATCTCTACTTCCATTGAACCGGAATATAGAGGCTCCGCACGGTACTTGCACCAGTGCAAGTATACTAGTAGGGATATGGTACGTTTCTATTTCTAACACCAGGCTTTACCCCAGAACCACCATACCTGTAAATCCGCAACGATAAAATTGGTGACACCCCGAGACATATGTGTGATACTGTGCTTATCTGCTGCCCACTCAACCTCCGCTAACTGGTAACCCACTCAACTCATGTCCCACGGCACAACACACATTTGAATACAGTACCGTACTAGTACACTGTCCCTGGTACGATAACCAGCTTCATCCACTTTTGCTTCGGCCGCTGCATGCGATACAGTTCACCGGGGCATACTTAGATATCGTACAAGGGATACTCTATCTATCCATTGAATTCGCTTTAATTATTTCAAATACAGCACTCACACGATAATGTACCCAACTACTGCAGTTTTATAAACGTGCAAATAGAGAGAGAAATAAATTTTTCAAGCCATACTTGCCACCCATATAAGCCATCCATCCATTCTTACTTATCCCGTTATGACATGAAAGGAAAAGAAAAGAAAAAAAGGAAAGGTTCATTCAACAAATTAGATACACCACCCGCGTTGCGTCGGGGTGCGAATTGAATCTGAAGAAGGAAAGAAAAAAAAGGAGAATGGAGGAGATAACTGAGTAAAAGTGATGTGGCATACCGCCGCCACGAGAAGTGAGAGAGGAAGGAGAAGGAAGGGGATAAGAGAAGGGGAAGAAATAAAACACTATTCACGCGCCAATGAAACCCTTTTTAGGAAAGGAAAGGAGGAAACGGGGAAAGGGGAGAGATGATGGAATAGTAGTAGTGGTAATTCGTCGGTGTATTCCATTTATCCATCCATCAATCTAAGCTTCAAACGACACATACCCGCCCGGGTTCTCGAGCGATACTGGCTTCATACCCATCTGTGGAACCGTGGCAGATAGAGCCGTAGCAGAAGAGGAAGAGCCCGCAGGCGCAGGTGTAGAAGTAGCACTCCCAACCGCCGCTGTCATTGACGTCGTGGGCTGTTCGAAAGCTAGCCTGGGACCCTGCCCGCCAACCTGTCCGGCCTGTACCGCGATCTGGAAGCCCTCCGGTCCACCGACAGATATCGCACGCTGTAACTGCTCCTGCACCTGCAAACACTGCTTCTTCATGGCCAGCCTATCTAGGAATAGTTGCTGTCTCCCCTTCTCAATCTCCCGACGCTCCGCCTGCAGGACTTGCTCAAGCTCGTTGAACTGCGTGAGCTTGAGCTCTAGCTTGCGGAGGCTGCAGTTCACGACTGCATTGACGAGTTTGGTCATTTCGCGCTCTTCATTGGAGGCGAGCGCGTGTGCGCGCGCGGCGGACGCAGCGAGGGCGATTGTACCGGCCTTCGCAAGGGGGTTTTCGGAGGTGGAGGCGTCGTCGGAAGGTGAGAGGGGGTCGCCACCGGCGGTGGAGGAGGCTTCGGGTTCGTCAACATCCATACTCTCCTCTATTTGGCCTTCGGATTTTACTGGTGGGGTTGCAGTGGTATTTGTTGCAGCATCCGGGGAGGCGGGTTTTGATGTTGCAGAGTTTTCAGGTCCATTTTCTTTGGTCTTTTGGTCGGGCTTTTTGGAACCGGACTCGATCGTCTGGCTGAGGTTCTTAGTCATTTCTTCGATGGAACTTTTGGCTGCGGCTGCGGCAACCTTGGGGTCAACGATGCTGGCTAGGAAGGCTACAACACTCATCACTGGATTATCAGCCTGGGTAAAGGGTGTGCGGTTGTATTGGAGAGGGCCCAACTGCTCGGGCTTTTCTTCGAGGTAGTTGTCCTCAATTGGAAGTTGGAGAAAGCGAATTACACATTGCTCTCTTGTTCGGGTGCCAACATGGTCTGCAACCTGGTTCCAGTCTTCGTTATAAAGCTCGAGCCCCTCGAGTAGCTGGTATGTTTCCTGGTCTGTCCACGGCGCGTCCCTTTCGACTGTTGAGTAAGAGGGGTCTTCCATGCGCACGTAATCAGTGTTGGTAGATGAAGATGGGAAACGGGCCTCTAGGAAGCAGTTGGGGCACAACTCGATCTGCTTCTGGTTGCGAGAACTCCTCGAGGAATGATAACGGATGCGGGTGCAATCGATGCCGCAAGAAAAACAATTATAGGTCTTCTTGTCCGCGCCATCCTCCAAGTCCACGGAGTGCCCATTGGCTTGAGATGAGCCGCTAATCTTATTGCCAGAAGCGTCGTAGATGTTCTTGCGGATTTCCAAGTTCAATTCGGCCTTGGAAGGGCCGGCGCTTGCTGCGCGCTCAGTTAGAGCGTGGGGTTTTCCGGCTGTAGTGACAGCTCCAGGAGCGGGTTGAAAAGGCTGGAGACCTCGAGGAGTATCCGCGGTAATCCGGAAATGGCCTGTGAAAGGCGGTCCAATATTCGAAGGACGCGTCTCCGGGTCAATCTAATAAAATATTCAGCACTGCAAAAATTAGATCAGAGAAGAAAAAAGTTAATCGAACCTGATAATTTATCAATCCCCATTGTTCCAAAAAGGCATGAACGCGCATTATTGAGCAAACATCACCTGCGAGGTTTCTCCTGCAGGCTGTCACAGTAAGATATTCGGAGGGATTTAGACGATAAGTGTTGACCATGAAATCGCGATAGTCCTTGTATACCAATTGCGTCTTGGATCTATTTCTATTGTTGAAGAACTCGGGTAAAGACTTGCGCTCAATATCCTTGACAACATTCATGTCAAACCATGTTGAATAAGAAGGCATAACCACAGTGTGGGTCTGCTCAACGAGATATCCCCTCGCAGTCTCCTCCAGCTTCTTCTTCTCCGTTCCAGGTGAGGCTGGCGCTCCCGATGCTTGCCCTCCCTCCGTCCGCGCGCTGTCGCCATTCTTCCCAGGGGACCCTGGGGCATCACTTTTTTGAGGGGAATCACCAGCACCTTGCATGATGGAGTCACCATCCTCAGGTGCGATATTCAGTTGCTGCGCATTCGCGGTTGCAGGCGACCCAGCGGTCGAAATTCCCGGAGAAGCTTTTCGCTGTCGGTCAGATGAATTTGTGGGAAGTTGAAGGGAGTGAATCGGGTTGTGTCCAGTGCTCTGCTCATCATCCTCCATAGGTTGTCCTGGTGTTAGCCCCAAAGGAGTTCCCGCTTCAGTGACGAGATGAGGCTGACCCAACGGAATATTGGTTATCGGGGTGCCAGCATTAGTTCCTGATAAAGGCGACTCGCCAAAGTCGATATTGTCCGAGTCCATAATTCTTCTCTACTTTAACTATAGGATGAAACCAGGGGTTATGGTCGCTGCGGCCCCAAATAAGTCGAATATTCACTTATTCCGGTTCAAAAAAAAAGGGGGGGGGGATAGTTGTTGATGATTTATCCCCCAGAATAAAATAAAAAGTGGACGGGTATCTCGGGTGGGTTGGGGAGGGGAGTAATGCTGGAGGAAGCGAGCGAGTGCCGAGCCGTGCAGATGAGGATGGGTTCCTGGACGGTGATGGAGAGAGGTTGTCGCGTTGAAGAAGAGCGGTTGGTGTCAGTTGCGCGATGGCGGCTGGATTTTGCAGGGAACGAAACAATGTGGCTGATAAGAACCCCAATCTGATCTTGCAACCACGACCAGACGCACCATTAGTAATCGTGATCACAAGTTCACATCCAACCAGTACATCTCAGCCTGAGCACGAGTAAACATTTCTTCCCGTACCGGCCGGTCTGTGGGAACTCCCGAAGCAAAGCCGCCGCTTTCTTCCAACATCCCCACCAAAACAACCTTCGACCATGTGTATTTGTGTCGCTCTGGCAAGAGCTTCCGTGCTTCAACCATTCCGTCAGTCTGCTCGTTCTGCCGTCTCTTCTCGTCTATTCCTGTTGAGCCCACGACCTCTCAGCACTCTTGCAATTCTTGAACACAGAGAGGGAAGGATATCAGCTCAATCATTCCCGGTCGTCACTGCTGCCTCGAAATTCGGTGGGCCTATCACGGTTTTACTTGCAGGCTCAGGTTCGAAGGAGGTATCAACGCAAGCTGCGAAACTCAATGGCGTTGAGAAGGTGATTTACGCTTCGAACAATGCCTACGACAAGGTACCCCCCCACTCTTGAGCTCGGACACCGTCTATCCTCTCTTCCAAGGTCAACACTCTCACTCACATTACCCTTAGGGATTGCCCGAGAACTTTGCACCTCTACTCGTCGAGAATATTAAGAAGGGAAATTTCACACATGTTGTCGGTGCTCACTCGGCATTTGGCAAGAACATTCTTCCACGAGCATCTGCTCTGCTGGACGTTCAACAGATCTCCGACTGTATTGAGATCAAGGACGAAAATACCTTTGTCCGACCCATTTATGCCGGTAACGCCATAGCGACGGTCAGGTCTACCGACACAATCAAGATTGTCACTATCCGAGGAACTGCATTCTCCCCAGCGGAAGAGACATCAAGTTCAGCGACCGTCGAGGAGGCGCCTGTAGACCCTGATGCAGAATGCACGACAGCTTGGGTATCTGAGAATCTCACTAGATCAGAGAGGCCAGACTTGGGAACCGCTCCAAAGGTTGTTTCAGGTGGGCGAGGACTTAAGGATAAGGAGAACTTTGATAGATTAATGCCCCCACTCGCAGATGCCCTTGGCGCTGCCATTGGTGCCTCAAGGGCTGCCGTGGATGCCGGGTTCGCGGATAACAGTTTACAAATTGGCCAGACGGGGAAGGTCGTTGCTCCTCAGCTTTACCTAGCGGCTGGGATCTCAGGAGCCATCCAACATCTGGCAGGAATGAAGGATTCCAAGGTTATCGCTGCCATTAACAAGGGTATGCACGAACCATACGAGAAATACCAAGGATAACCGCCAGTACTAATACGGTATGCGATAGATCCCGATGCGCCAATATTTCAGGTTGCCGATGTCGGGTTAGTGGCAGATCTGTTCCAGGCTGTGAGTTAATCTGCCTGTTTAAACTACACTTCCGATTATTGGCTAATAATCCACCTGACAGATACCGGAGCTCACTGAAAAATTGAATACAGGGAACAAGTAACCACATTTTTTCAATTGGTCACATTAGTAGTGCATAGATGGCTCTAAAATATCATGTCGCCGACACCAGTAAAGTGCCATAATTTATCCTCCATGGCCGCCACTAACCAAGTCAATTATCGCACGAATATACAAAGCCGTGAAAGATCCAATTTTCTTTCCCACCCAAAACATAAGCCTATTTTACTTTTTGGGGCCCCCAGGGATGATATGCGCATTATACCGTGCCTGTTTAATTATTAGAGTGGTGGATGCCAGCAGAATCTCACTATCAGGATTGTAAACAGGGTTCTCCAAACATTTACCACTGATCATGGACAGCTTGCCGTCCTATAGGAGCTATAGAAGCTACCTGCATAGTTCTGGTAATACTGTAATTGATATTATTACTATAGGCAACTTGCTTGTGCAATGTAAAGCATTCATGTATGGTGCCTGCCATCCAAAACGTGCACCAAAGTTGAACTTCCCAAATTAGATAAGCTTCACAACTAGTATGATAGCATTATGGGAGATTAAAGAGAAAGTGCAGGAGAATAAGCATGAGTTCTTTCTTTCCTATAATGCTACTAGTTGTGAAGCCTATCTAATTTGAAAAGTTCAAATTTTGGATGGCAGGCACCATATGATTCATATGATATCATAGCATTATCATGCTTTTCACAACTCAACTGGTGTAGGGGCTGAAAGAATGCCCCCTAAACGATTCTCAAGTGACCAAAGGTGCTGTGGGGAGGGCTGTTTGTGAACCACTTTGCGGGTTGCAACGCGAGAAAAATGAAAATAAATACGCCTAGCTAAACGCGTCTTTCCGTGGTTCCTGCCACCACCTCCTGACTTCACTCCCCCTTCACACTCCTTGTCGCGTTCAGTGCTCAGTTCAACACCCGCACCACACACTCTCCCTGAGAGATCATACCCACTCTTTAAGACTTTTCTGCTTATCTTTCCCCCCCTCCTCTCTCCCTCTCTCTCTCTTTTACTATTCCTATCTAATTCTTTCATCCTTTTCTTTTTCCCTTTCACGACCGAAGACATGTCTAGCGGGTCTCCTTCCAATGCAAACTCCCCCGCCGATACTCAGGCGACCTCTGTTTCACCTCCTGGTGAAACAGACTACTCCCCTACAGAGCCGATAAAGGTTGAAGATACCGGTAAGCCATTTCCTTTTATCTCCTGGCTTCCAGAAGCCCTACTTGTGTCTTCATATATATCTCCATATATACATATATATAAGTGGGGGAATTCCAATAACTGACTCAATACTATCCTGTATTAGAGGGTGGCTTTTCCAATGTTCCTGTGGACAAGATGAAGATTCGTCTCGACTTTTTAATCAAGCAGAGCGGAATTTATACCTCCATCATTGGGGAGAAAATGATGCAGCAGCAGCAAGCGATGAGGAAGCGAGCTGAAGCTATCGATAAGAAGCAAAAGGCGGAAATGGAGGAAGAGGCAGCAAAAGCCGATGGGAGCGTTAAGGTCGAGAACGTTCGCAAGAGCTCTCGCACTGCTGGTGCTTCCTCTACTGAGCAGGAGTCGCACACCACAAAGGCCAAGAGAAGGCTTGGACGCCCTGCTAAGAAGGAAACAGCCAACATTTCTGATTACTTCACCAAAGATGAATTGAAAGGCGCGGGAAATACTGCTCAGGCATTGGCATCTGCAGTTGAGGAAGCTGGGGAGACGAAATTGGGTCAACAGAAAGACCTAAAATCGGCTAGGCAGCCTAAGTTGATTACTGGCGGTATTATGAAAGAATATCAACTTCAAGGACTAGAATGGTTGGTTTCCTTATATGAGAATGGACTCAACGGAATTCTAGCAGACGAGATGGGACTTGGTAAAACTCTTCAAACAATCAGTTTCCTGGCGTTTCTGAGAGAAAAGGGCATGATGGGTCCTTTCCTGGTCGTCGCACCCGTGTCTACGCTGTCGAATTGGGTTGAAGAGATTGCGAGGTTAGTGGTTCTGTTTGGTTGCTAGTCATATTAGGCTTGATGGCTTATTTTTCGTTTAGATTCGCTCCCGAGATCCCAGCCGTTCTTTACCATGGGACTCCACCTGAGCGTGAGGAAATACGTAGGACAAGGATGGCGAGGATGGATGCGAGATTCCCCGTTATATGCACATCCTATGAACTCGTCATGATCGACCGCAAGCATCTCAAAAAGCACAGCTGGAAGTTTATCATTATCGATGAAGGTCACCGTATCAAGAATCTCAACTGCAAGTTGATCAGCGAGTTAAAGAAGTACAAGTCAGCCAATCGTCTGCTACTTACTGGCACTCCTCTTCAGAACAATTTGTCAGAGTTGTGGTCGTTGTTGAACTTTTTATTGCCCGATATCTTCGACGATCTCGCTAGTTTTCAAGACTGGTTCAACTTCAATGATTTGCAAGAGAAGGAAGGGCATCACGCGTGGTTGGAAGAGGAGAAGAAGGTTGGAATTGTTGCCAGTCTACATGCAATCTTGAAGCCGTTCTTGCTCCGGAGGATCAAGGCAGACGTCGAAACTAACTTGCCTCCCAAGCGAGAGTATATCTTGTATGCACCTCTCACCATGAACCAAAAGGATCTCTACGGAATGATCTTGGATCGCAAAGCTAAGGAGTGGTTGATAGAACAACTACTTAGCAGCAGAAATAGTAATAAAAAGCGTAAGCTTTTAACTGTTGGCCAAGAATCACCCAATAAGAGAGCCAAGAGCCCTGATCCAAAGCGGAAGAAAAAGTGTGTTTCATACAAGGAACTGTCAGATGATGAGTATTTTGAAATGCTGGAAGAAGCACCCTCTGAGAAAGAGGAGCTAGAGCCTGCTCTCACTCAGGAAGAAATGCAGATTCTCCAAGCCAGTAAGTTTTCCGGCCGGCCTGCCACTTGAATTTTTCACTGGTACAGTTTTCCCTGTCGATAGCTTATTAACTTTTTTGTTCTACCTTCCTTTCAACAGCTCAGGAGATCGGCGCTAAGAAACTGCAAAATCCTATTATGCAACTACGTCTCGCCTGCGATAGTCCTCATTTGTTTTACTGGCCTTGGGACCAGGGTGATCCTGACGAACGTCTAGTAACTGCCTCCGGAAAGATGATGCTCCTCGAGAGACTCGTGCCGGCACTCTTCGCGAGAGGCCACAAGGTTCTTATCTTCAGCCAGTTCACCAGGATGCTTGACATTCTCGAGGAATGGGCCGTGACTCTTAGAAACTGGCCTGTTTGTAGAATTGATGGTGGAATCAAACAAGAAGATCGACGTGAGCACATTAGGAGATTCAACAAAGAGGAAGGGTGGAATATTTTCTTGCTTAGCACTAGAGCCGGTGGTTTGGGTATCAATGTAAGTCTCCCCTCTCTGCCCACTACCAAGACCCTTTTTATATTTGCTTTTCTTTATTTTTTACTGACTTGAGTAACAGCTCACAGCCGCTGACACCGTCATCCTCTTTGACTCAGACTGGAACCCACAGCAGGACCTCCAAGCCCAAGATCGTGCGCACCGCATTGGACAAAAAAGACCCGTGATAATCTACCGCTTCGCCACCGCCGCAACCATAGAGCAGAGCATCCTAGAGAAAGCAGATGGTAAGCGCCGGCTCGAAAAGCTGGTCATTCAGAAGGGCAAGTTCCGGAGTGTCTCCGCCCCCTCGGCGATTGAGGAGGAAGAGATCGCCCAGATCCTCAAGGAGGACTTTGAGAAGGTCAATGTCGTTGAGCAGGGCACGCAGTTGCTCACCGACGCAGAGCTAGAGACTTTAATGGATCGCAGCCCCGAAGCGTACGCTCGCGCTGCTAAGGGTAAGGAGGAGGCTAGTGGAGCGTTTAGAGTCGTGGAGACCGGTGTGAATAAGGAGGAGGTGGAAGAGGCCTAAGCAGTCGAGGGCGGTGCTAATGACGGACGGAACTGACGAAGTTTAACCTCCCGAACTATCCCTCTTGAAGGAAGCAACGAAGGCGGAAGCGGGTTCGTGCAATCAATGTCATATACTTCCCATCCCCCCTTTTTTCCCTTCTACCTCCCCCTTTTTTTTCCCCACAAAAACATTAGGTGATATGGGTTAGACGTGCTGGCGGTAATCCGGTGCTGACTTACTTTTTTTCATGTTTATCTGTCTTGCCTTACTATTTGTCATGGAACGCTGGATCATTGCTTCCCCTCCCCCCCTCATATGTATTTTTATTCCCACCACCCCCATCATACAGTACAATTGTCATGGGCTGGGGGAAACTAGCTTTCTTCTTTCTTTCCTTGCTTGGTGTGGTTTGGTTCGTTAGATATTTTTTATTTTCTACATTTTTTATTTTATTTTTTTTAGTCAAAGTTATGATGAAGGGGTGGGTGGGTGGGCATTTTATTGCATTTTTTCCCCTTTACTACACCTGTCCCACCAAAAATGTATGTTATGTGCGATGAGTGCTGGCTGGTTGGGTGTGCAGTTAATAGCTTTTTCACATTTTCTATCATACCCTCCACTTTTTTCATTGGTGGCGGGTCGCTCAAGTAGCTTTTACCATTCAATGTTATGATATTACCTTGAGTCGTTGGTGTGGTAGGCATGCAGCCTACTGGTGAGCAGGTTACTAGAGGCCCAATTGTGTGGTAAACCGAAAACAATGTCTTTATAATTTGTAAAATGCTTCCTTTCTAACTCTGCTGTGTTGTGCATAAATTATGCCCAGACTGTCTGCCGACCTATCCATCCATCCATCCTCCACCTTTAGTCTTCATAGGACTTCACTCGCCGTGGAGTGCCCTTGCAATCAATTGCATACAGTGTCTTCGAGTCGCCGGATCATGCCATACCGGACAGACAGCGAGTGGTTGGTCTCGGAGGGGGGGGGGGTTAATCCGGCGCCGGTGGTTCTGCATTAAATGTTTGCATGAGGAAAATATGGCAGTGTGAGACCCGTGTGATAAGTGCGGAGATGATGGCTTTGGAGGCGGGTGGTGAGCGATCTGGGGACGAGTTACCGGTAATATGATTGGTGGTATATCTCAGGGCAATAGGTGCAGTGGGGTTGTGTGGCACCGGTGGCACACATTGACTTCTGGCTGGGCTAACCCAACATACCTCGCCCAATGGTTATGGGAGGGCGCCTCAAAGGGTAGTGATATCATACCACGTTGCAAGCCGCAAGTCGTGAGTTTTTTTCCCCCTATGATATTTACCGGGCATGGAGGATAGTATTCGTCAGGCATTTCTCGAGTGCAGCCGCGCCAACACATTGATGGTATCGTCTTGTGTCGACAGTCACTGAAGTCGCGAAAATCGAATATCCTTGTCCCACCCGCCCAACTCTCTTCCACCTCATCCCACGCGCTCCTTAATTCTGCTTAGGCTTAACAACTCCCTCCCCAACAACATAGTAAACAACGGTACTATCATCACTAACAACCCCCATCATCAACTTTTTTCCCTCCCTTTCCTCCTCCTTCTCCTTCCCCCTATCCCCATCAATCTCGGGCAGAGTATCAAAAACTTCGGCCCACTTCCGCAGTGACCATTTCTCGCGCAAGCTAACCGGCAGCACCCACTCCTTCTTCGTGCCCTCCGGTGGAATACCGGTGATCAGCGGCCGTGGGAGGCTCGGCGACGTGTGGATCGAGAGGGAGTGCCAGTCGGCTTGGTGTTGGAGGTTTGTGTGCACGATTTGTAAGAGGTTGTGGAGGTACTGGGGGTGTGGATCAGTTGGGGGGGTGGTTTCGGTGCTTGACATTTTGCTTGTGGTTGTGGTGTTTTCGGTGTCTGTAGTGGGGTTGTTGGTGGGGGGAGGATGGTTGGTTGAGACTCTTGGGCAGGATGGATGTATCGTAGCTTGAGCTTAGTGGTGCACCTAGCGCCTGGGTGCCAAGAGTCATCGGGTAGCACTCGGAAACTTGAAACTTCAAGCTTGGTTTTGGTAGGTCTTTGGTAACCAGTACTGGGTTCCGAAAATATCATAAACTCGTTAAATCCGCCATCGCCCATCGGTCAGGATTCCTGCCAGATCAAATATAAAATACCCCGACAGAGGATAGTGTTTTCCGGACGGAGTACTGGGCCATTTTTTAAGTAATCGGAACGTGGGTTACCCGACTGAAGTAGTAGGTTATGGCTATTCCGCAAAATTAGGTGCGCGTGGAGGCATCAGTTACACCACCATAACAGGATCACTTACGCTTTCCATTCCGAATACTTAAAAAATGGCCTAGTATAGTTGGAGGAGTGTGAGTCGTCTACCGGGAGATTTCATTAGCAGATATTCGTAATTTCGCTTACCTACTCGACTGGGCCCATTGTGGCTTGGATAGTGATTTTGATCGAGATCTCCGATGGTGGATTTAACGAGTTTATACAGTATCAGTTATAATAGAAACTTTGGCTATGCAAAAGTGGGGTTAAGCGAAAGGCAAGCGAGAAACGCTCCCTAGCTGTGCCCGGGAACCTGTCTCGTGGCGAGTGCGACATACAGCGGATAGCGGAGGTAGGGGTTCGCCAATGATTGGCGGGAAATAAAACCGGTTTACAAGATCATTGATCCATATCTAGCCGCCCAGGACCTTCCTCTTGATCATTCCGCAAAGGCTCTCAAAGAGGACAGAATCAGTCCCCCTTGTCCACCTGATCTTCACCTTTACATTCTGGTCTCCCTTCTCCATCCCAACCCGAAAGCCCAAAGCAGCCCCACTACTAATCCCCTCCATTTCCAATCCCCTAGCTTTCGCCCTTCGAGCAGCCCTTGACCATACATTCCCCTTCACACCTCCCCACCCCGCACTCACCAATGGATCCCACGTCCACTCCCCGGACCTAAGCCCGATCTCCCCGGCAAGTATATTATCGATAGCCTCACCAATGCTCATCACATTCCCTGCAGCATCAAATTCAAACTCGGTGGGGAACGGCATCAACCCTCTCGACTGTGGGCTATCATACCGCACAGCAGCCAGACGAGGTCTCCTATCACCAAAGTTCCATGCGACTCCCCACCGCCGTGTAGAACCCTGCTTGAATTCAGTGATTGCGTAGTTTTTTGTATGCAGCTTCATTGCTGGCACGAGTGATTCCACGGAACTATGCTTTCCAAGCATGCTGGTGTACCAGGTGTTCTCAAAACCGGGGTTTGAACGGAGTTGGAGGGATTGGTTGAACATTAAGGTTATGAAGGAGGTTTCGCCGCCGGGGTAGACCATTTCGGTGGCGGTGCCGGTGCAGGCCTAGGTATATCAGTTACAGATGGTTAATGGAGAGTGCAGGCGATTGAGAAGGTACCGATGAGGGCGGTAGGTTCTTTTGTCTGGCGGAGTCGAACATGTCGTCTATGGAGGCGTAAAATGGAGGGTTGCACATTGTGAAATCAAGCCTGTTATCTATTATTAGTATATCGTTCACTTGTTCGCTGGTAGGTGATAGTATGATACCTCTCAATCCCCAATTTCCCAAGCGGGAAGATATCATCACCATCAGGAGAACTATCAAAGACCGTGATCCTCTCATCTAAGTCTCCGACCTTCTCTTTATTCCTCTTGACATTCTCTCTAGCATACTCAAGTGACCTCCCGTCGATGTCTAACTCGTCAGCCAGAAAATACACATTCCCATGCCAACCCACCAAAAAAAAATCAAGCACGCAAACCTGTTGCGACAAACTTCCAACCATTTCGTAATGTGCATCCAAGAAGCGGGTATATACAACTCGCACCAGTGCCCCTATCACATACAACTCAGCGTGCCCTCGTAGGATTTTGGGGAGTGAAAATAGCATACACATCCAGCCCGACAACCTCACGGGTAGGATCAAACTCATCATTTTCAAGATTGCCGGTGGAATCAAGTAGATCTTGAACCCAAAGGATGTAATTCAACCTAAACCAAACACTCAGCCCAGGGCCCGCGTACACTATATCACCGTAACAGTGGAAATTCCAGACCTATTCGGCACGGTGGGGCACAGCCGGTCGCTCGGGAGTGCAAGGTTCAGGCCAAAATCTCGATAAAGAAGGCATTTTGTAAGCTCCCTGGTAAGTATCAGACTTTGCGCTAGAAGCTGTATAAGAGGGCCGGTACACACCGAACAGCGTCCGGGTCTTTAAAGTTGATATTCGAACTCGTATCGAGACTATTCACACCACGCTTAGAGTTAGAATAGAGCATGGCATAGCTACATTATTAGGGCCATGGCCAAATGTACTATCTCGCCAAAGAAGGGCAATCCCTTGCTAACTGTCCAAAGTCGACAAACTCTCGATAAATACTACGGGGGTGCATGCCGTGCCGTGAGTGGTGGAGCGGATATAGAACTTGAGCGTGTTGCCGTGTGAGGACCCTGCCCCCGCACCAGCCAGGGTGCCGGAATGACGTTGAAACAAGGCTTAAGCCACAAAGTCTCACTCTGAAACCGCGGCTCAACTGCTGGTCTAAATTACACTGCCCGGCACAGCAGGGTACGATACCGGTACCGAAGGCTGGGTTACTGAATATCGGAAGTGTGCGACAGGCAAGAAAACCACCAACCATGTCCGCCACAACTACATTCTCGAAACGGTTATCACCCTCAACACTGCGGCGGGCTTTTTTTCGGTCACCTGGGAGCCGATGTTTGAACACGGTAGCCGGGCGACGGGACCGGCCCTTCCGCGTGGCGGTGGTGGGAGCTGGGCCCGCCGGGTTTTACACTGCATATCGGGTCCTGAGCAAACTTGCCAGTGCGAAGGTAGATATGTACGAGTCATTACCAGCGCCGTACGGGCTTATCAGGTTCGGCGTTGCACCGGATCACCCCGAAGTCAAGGTTTCCTCTTCCCCTCCCTAACTTCCACACACCGCCACCAATCACTCACACACGCAAAAAAAATACGCCCCAGAACTGTCAAGACAAATTCAACGAAGTGGCCCAAGACCCACGCTTCACTTACATCGGCAACACCCCAATCGGCACATCCTGGCCACACCCGCCACACCGCAGCCTCCCACTGGCCGTTCTGGGCCCGCACTACGATGCCCTCCTCCTCTCCTACGGCGCCTCCAGAGACCGCAAACTCGCGATCCCTGGCGAAGAATCATTAGCGGGTGTGCACTCCGCCCGGGCGTTTGTCGGCTGGTACAACGGCCTCCCGGAGTGCCGCCACCTGAAGCCGGACCTGCACCTGGCTGAGGAAGCGACGGTGATTGGACAGGGCAATGTTGCGCTGGATGTGGCGAGGATGTTACTCTCGCGGCCGGACGATTTGAGGACGACGGATATCACCGAGTATGCTATTGAAGAGCTGAGCAGGAGCAGGGTTAAGCGGGTGAGGGTTGTGGGTAGGAGGGGGCTATTGCAGGCGGCGTTTACAGTGAAGGAGTTGAGAGAGCTGTTGTCTCTGCGGGGAGTTGGGTTTCACCCCGTGCACGCTTCTCTACTCCCCGAAGATCCGAATTCCTTCCCGAGAGCGCAGAAGCGGATCATTCAGGTCCTACAGAAAGGTCCAAAGACACAGCTGACTGGTGCGGAGAAGTCGTGGGAACTAGGCTTCCTACGCTCGCCGAAGGCGTTTATCCCATCAGCGAGTGACCCGGCTCGCATTGGAGCAATAGAGTTCGAAAAGAACAGACTAGAGGAACCGATGTTCTCCCCTACTTCCAACGCCATTGGCACCAGCCAGACCGAAGTGCTCCCGACGGATCTAGCATTCAGAAGCATCGGATATCTGAGTGAGCGAATCCCCGGATTCGGGGATCTCGGCATTCCCTTCAACGAGAAACGCGGATTGGTTCCCAACGAGGACGGCCGCGTCGTTAGACCCCTTGGCCCAAAAACCGGGGATCCTGCCATCCCCGTACCCGGAGTCTACACCAGTGGATGGGTCAAACGCGGGCCTACGGGTGTCATTGCTAGCACTATGTACGATGCCTTTGACACTGGCGATAGAATGGTCAGTGACTGGACGGGTGGTCAAGTGGAGTTTATGAGGTTTGGCGGGGCAGAGAAGAAGTCTGGCTGGGAGGCCGTCAGGAATGAAGTTGCGAGTCGGGGGATAAGGCCCATCAGCTGGGCGCAATGGATGAAGATTGACAAGGCAGAGAAGGAGCGTGGGGCTAGATTTGGGAAGGAGAGGGAGAAGTTTACGAGTGAGGAGGAGATGCTCGCCGTTTTGGAGTAATGGGTTAACAATTGTACATACAATCATGGAATATCATAGATTCAAAGAGGAAATGGACATAATGCCTATGTGCTCTGCAACCCGCTGGAAAGTCATATACCTGTATATCGCGCGCCGTAATTCCGAGATTTCATCTCAATCTTCACCCGTACAGAATCCCATCAACCATCTCCGCAATCGCCAACGAAGAAGTAAGTCCTATCCAACAATCAGCATCCGCTTCCCTTGGACGTGGAGCATAATAGATGCGTGATGGGTATGCAAAGCGCACCAGGACTTTCAATCCCCAGCAGATTCACAAATCCGCTATACCCCTCCTCCTCCCGAATGACAAAGTCCACCTGCCCAACCCCACCCAGCCCTTCAGGCACTAATTTGGGCCTAATCCCACAATAATCCGGCGCGAGCACGGCCTCCCGCAACCCGGGCAAATAAGTCTTTATGGCGGCAATCGCCGCGGCTACCCTACTCTCATTGGGCTTTAGGTCACTCGGGCCCGGGACCCACTCTACATCAGGCCCGAACCTGACGCGCCCGGCCATATCTATGGTCAAATGGGTGCCGAGTCCGGCGAAGCCTTTGATCGGTGTGGGGTAAAGCAGGGTCCCGACCTTGGGCGTGGAAGCGGAATAGGAGAAGTACGTCCCCTTGCAAAAGTAAGCCCGCTGTAACCTTTCCGGGTGGCTCCGCAAGAGCATGTTCGAAATGCCAATGGCGGACAAGCCCGCCGCGTTAACCAACACATCGGCAGAAACACTAAACTCCCCACCACCGCTCTGCCCATCACCATGCACGGTAACTCTATACCCCATATCCCCGCCCGACCCAACCGTCTGGACGTCAACCACCCGTGCGCCCTTGGCGAGGTCGCCGCCGGCGCTTTCGAAATCCCCGAGCAGGAACGTCATGAGCGCATGCGAGTCCACGATACCGGTGAGCGGCGACTCGAGAACCCCGGCTTCCGCCCGGACGGCGGGCTCCCGTGAGCGCGCCTGCTGGGACGTAAGCCATGTCATGGGGATGGAGAGAGCGCGGGCGTGAGCGTGCAAGTGCTCGAGCGATTCGAGTTGGGTGGGGTCCTGTGCTAGTATCCATTTGCCAGTACGCCGATGGGGAATGCGGTATTTTTCGCAGAGGGCGTAGAGAAGGGCGCTGCCAGCCTTGCAGAGCCTGGTTTTGTGGCTATTGGGCGGGTAGTAGAGGCCCGCGTGGATTACCTAGGGGCTGATTAGTATGCAGGAGGAGGAGGGAGGGGGGAGGGGAAGGACCTCAGAATTCCTAGACGAGGTCTCTGTGCCAATTGCTTTGTGCCGCTCAAGCAATAACGTACTCGTTCCCGGTCTCTTGGATAATTGCCTGGCGACAGCTAAGCCCACAACTCCTCCTCCTATTACCTGTACATCCCCTCACTCACCCACCCACCCTCCCCAACTCAGAAATTAGCCAAACCCCAGATCCCTTTTATCATCATCATCATCACCATTTCCTCCTCCCTCCACTTACACAATGCGTAAAATCATTCCTAGAGGGTCCCCGCCCCGCCACCGCCGCGGCAGATGCAAAAGACCTCCTCGACACCCCAAGAAACATTTTTGCCTAAAACCCCGGTCCCCAAGTATTTCTTTTTATATAATATACCGGTAGATATATAGCACGGGAGTGCCTGGTGCGTGTATGGATTTACCGTACGGTACCAGTGCGATGGGGGGAAGGAAGGAAGGAAAGAGGAACCCTGGTTCACGGAAACTCGGCTGTCGTCTTCCCGCTCGATCACGGTAACGTCGCTCCTAAGGTGTCGAGAGGGGTATAGTATCGGTATACTTGTAACCGTACCCAACAGCTGGGAAGCTACGGTGGCGCATTGGCGCCAATCCTGGCTACCGCAGATTTCTTCCTGCAGGCTCTTGCCGTGCGAGTGATGGAGGGTGATGCCTCTTGTGATTTCCCCCACTCTCTCTGCAAAGAAGACCGGTATCATTCATACGGTACAGCAAAGAACGGCAACGACGATATCAACACATCACGCAAAGGCTGTAAGAGTTAGTTATCAGCCAAAACGCAAGGTATCCTGGCGTGCAAATTTACGATGCGGGTATCCAGCAGGTTCATCTCTCTGCTGGTATCGCAATCACCTCTCAAAAGTGTTGTCCCACTTTCTAAAACCCCACCAAAAAGTGCATAAACACGGGTAATTAACTAGCCCATTTCTATATGATGAAATATTGTAAAGAAAAATGGAAAAATTTAGGTTACTTTTTATAAGTTTTATTTCATAATCTAATCAAAATAGTAAGCATTCAATATTTGCATGATCTGCACCTGGATTTATCCAGGCATGGTATGATGAAAAGCAGATCTCCACCAAAGTTAGCCAAATTTATATGGGGGGCTTGGCATTCTATATTAACAATTGGATAAAAATAAATACCAGCTTTGTGAAGCAAATAGATAAAATAAATAAAAATCATAAAATGATTTTCCTTTTAAATACCTACTTTTTAACAATTTTGAATAATCTTAGATAATTTTCTTTTATTATTTTTTTCACCTAATGAATATACAGACTTTTGCGGGAAAACGGGGTATGGGACAATACTTTTGAGAGTTGAGTTTATTGTTGTCGGGAATACAAATTCAGGCAGTGAATGACTGAGGTGCACGTTGGTAGCGATACGATGAGTCATCAGCTATTTAACCGGATGGTGAAGGTTACACAAGGCCTTATCGTTATCAGATGATGATACCACAAGGCCTCCCCATGCTCGGACCGTCTCGAGATGGTACCGGTATCCTACACGTATGATACGAGCATGGTGCCGGCCGCGACAATGACAAACCGACAATCACATACACGTTTGTGTGTTTCTACAAAACTACAAGTAAGACAAAGCGGAGGAGAGAAGAGGTGTTTATCGCCATTTTCCACAAAAAAAACAAATATCAATCGGGACCAGTATAACTAAGCAAACCAGACAAGACTGGAGAAAAAAACGCGGCAACAGAAACACCGTTGTGGATAAATAGTTATTGGAGGGTGGGATGGGAAAAAGGCCGGAACGGAAAAGAGACAGAAGTGAAAGAGACAAAAATAGACCCAGCAGTAAAAAAAGTGAAGACAACAGTAGTGCCCCTCTCCCGCGCCCTTTCATCGTACATTTAAGAAGTAGTGCCGCCCGGAGGCGCAACATCGCTCCTGGAAGTTGACTACTTGGAGCTAAGTTCCGAAACCTGTCTCTCAAGCTCTCTAATCCTCCTTTTTAGCATTTCGTTCTCCCTCGTGAGCATCTGCGCCTCCGCGACGTAGAATCCCATATCGCTATGTGAAGACCCGATCCAGGGCACGCTAGCGGAAGTGTCACTAGCATTATCTGGAATGAAGCTCCCAGTCGGAAAACTAGGACTAGAAGTCGACGTAGCCGTAGAAGTCCTGGAGGCCGACCTCCTCCTCCTACCCCTGCTGGCAGATGTGGTGGAATTCTCCCGGGATAAACGTCCGCTACGGCTATACGCCGAGACCGGTGACAGCGCTCGCCCACCACCCACAGCGGCGCCGAGGGTAGAGTTCGAATCAATGGTTGCAGCGGTGGAGGAGTTATCATCTATGACGCTGCCGCCCGAGCCTTGGTTCTGGGACTGCTGCTGGAATTGCTGCAGGCGGATCATGTTTAACAATCTATTGACCTGCGCTTCTTGCTCCGTCTCGAGTTCCTGGTGGAGTTCTGCGAAGGCAGCGGCATCCTGAGGGGTTGGCTGACGGGGCAGACGCTGCGGGAGGGATTGGTCGGCTGAGGATGGTGAGAGGATTGAGGAAGAGGGGCGGCGAGATGACGAAGAACCGATTGAGAGGGATGATGAGGGGCGGCGGGAGGAGATTGACGGGTGGTGCTGAGGGTGGTAATGGTGGAGGTTGGAAGAGGAGGCACGGGGGGAAGGGGTGGTTGGGCGGGAGGTTTGGAAGACTGGGGAGGGGAGGGGAGAGGGGACTTCTGTGGAGGTGCGGGGCATCATGGTTGTGGTTGCGGTTGTCGGTCTGGCGATGGCTGCGGAAGGAGGGGTAGGAGTGGTGGTGGTGGTGGTGGATTGTATGATGAGAGGTGAGGTGCTAGTAGTAGTGGAAGCGGCTGCAACAGCCTCGAGTTTGCTGACATCAGGCATCTTTGCTGAGTCTGTCGTTGTTTTCGGAGTTTGCAGGGGCTGTTGGAGGAGCTTAGGGGAGGGGAAAGAGGAAGCAGGTGGTGGTGGTGGCAGTGGAGAAGGAGGCAGGTAGGCAGACCGAGCGGACAGTAGATTCTGGAACCCGGGCGTGGTATCAGATCAGATAAGGGTGAAGCAACGGGAGCTACCGGTACGAGTACGGTAGTCTATGGTATGGTACCATAATATTATGATAATTTATTATGCTATTATGATACGGTACTGTATGATACCGGTCCCGTACGGTAATGTAACGGAGCATTCCGCCTAAACCCCCAAGGTTCAACAGCCCTAACCCCACTCAACCCTTCGGATGAGGAACTGCAGCCTGGGGGATCATCATTAAAAGTCTCAGGAGCAGATCGAAACAAAACGGAATATATATAGGATATAGTATCACCGATAGCAACAATCCGGCAGATCAACAGAGTTCACCCCACCACCTTCAGAAAAAGCCAACCGCAGCAGATCCCGCTCGCTGTGAAAATTTAAATAGCAATACGGGTACAGTACAGTATCCTTACCCGTACTGATATCATACGGTACTCGCACCGTACCAGCCGAAACCAAAAGTCTGTTCCTGCCAGTTCCCTGCCAGTCGCAAACAACGGGACAATTACTCGCGTCCGACAGTCTTGGCGATACTGTAGGAGAAGTTGTGCTGACAGTTAGTCTACTCGTGCCAAGGTTGTGGCTGCGCCACAACCCAGGTCTGCTCGCTGGCTCGCAACCGTGGGCACTCTCAAGAGAGTGCCGGACAGCTCAACGGTCTTGGACAGCTCAACGGTCCTTGGGTGTTGGCATGGTAACCTCCTAGCTCAATACAATATTACCTAACATGTTGCCATAGAAACATGACAGTGGTAGGGCAATACAATATAGCAATGCAGCAACACAGAATTGCTATATTTAGCTTAATAACTAATATACAAGCGACTTCTCTTAACACATTTGTCTTAGTGGTATATATGTCTTTTATTGCTTTGGTAGATGCCAATAGGGAAATTGAGTATTCACTAATAAATAAATGCCAATATTTGTAGAGTTGTATTGTAATGAGTGTAACTATGCTGTCATACAATAGCGGAATTGTAACAGAATGCTTAGCAATAATGTTTCTATGGTAATAATGTTTCTATGGTAACGCTGTTCCTATGGCAACATAGTTTCTATGAAAACAGAGTTTCTATGGCAACACCCAAGGACCGTTGAGCTGTCCAAGACCGTTGAGCTGTCCGGCACTCTCTTGAGAGTGCCCACGGTTGCGAGCCAGCGAGCAGACGTGGGTTGTGGCGCAGCCACAACCTTGGCACGAGTACCGCCCATAAATCAAATATCCCTAGAAGCCGAAGCCAGTGCTTCTGGTCGAGTAGTGTTGGGGTTTGTGCAATGCAAAGGGTTGGGGACGAGTACCGCATGACACCGTATTAGGGAGGTTCAAAGCTCTCAGTACGCTGCGAAACCGAGTACTACAGTACATAATATACCCCACAAATACTCGAGTGCTCGTACAGGTGTGCTAGCACAAGTGCTGCTTGGATAAAATGACCGTACCTCTGTGCTGGTACTGGTATGGCGCATCCCTCCTCCTGAGGTTTGCTGTGTACCGGTACCGTAATTTCCAAAAGAAAACACACCTCCACCAAAACACTTGTACTCGAGTACCTTCCGTGTAGACTACCGGGTGCTTTGAACCTTCCTACTCGAGTACTTGCTGGGTAGTTTAGTCTTGGCACAGAAGGCACACTTCCAAAAGCATCCCAAACTACGGGGCGAAATGTCCTGGTTCCCCAGTTTTGAATCTATTAACGTTTGGCGAGGGTACAGTACAAGTACGGATATGATGGCATGGAGTCGCTGCATATCATTATGGCGGAACCGGCTACCAGCACGCGCTGCACGGGAGGAAGAGCTCCCGATTTTGACCAGAAACACCTCTTTTAGAATCCTGAAATGACTTTCCCTACCGGTTATCCCCTTTCCTCATCCCCTCTTCCTCACCCCCCCCCCGTGCCGCACTTTTTTTTATACCGTGCTCGATTACAATATACAGTGTTGTACAAGTGCTCGAGTACTCGAGTATACCGGTTGTGTGTGCCCTTGTCGCGTGGGGAATATTGGTGTGGGAAAATACCGACAGGGTGGCCCCTCGTTTTAACGGTGAGGAAGTTGCGGGGCATTGGTTCACGGGCTGGGAGCTGTGCACGAGGCGGTTTGCCGTAAAGAGAGGGAAGAAAACAAAAGAAATTGAGCATGATACTTGTACGGTAGGAGTACGATACTGTAGAAAGGCAAAAAAAAAAAAAGGAGAGTGTGAGCGAGGGAAAAAGTAAAAGAAATCAAAAAGAAGAGTGAAGGAAGAAACTTTGGCGTTCAGGGGAAACGGGATGATTTACGGATGGGGTATCGTCGATTGAAGCAACCCATGGGCAATTGGATAAATTTGGATGCATGAGTGGACGAAGGGAGCTTTTCTTTTCTTTTTCATGCACAATCAAACGGCAATACCGGTAACTCGAACGACGATTCCGGCAGCTAGGAATACCGGTACTGTACTTGTACTCGAGTACTTGTACCTCGGAGTAGATTACAGTCCCATACATGGGTGGTCGAATTACCGGATTAGATATCACACCTATCAAGCTTATTATTATCACGGTCTAGAGTACCGTGGTTTACAATGATGCATGATGAGATAAGGTACGGTATAGCGCTTGCTACTCGAGTACATTGAATCGGAGTACGGTGCAAGTAATTACCAAGAATCTTACTCTGAAATAACAGGTACACGGGTGGAATTTGCCGCTCTGGTGCTCGAGCACAGGTACCGGTACTGGTATGGGTACGGGTATGTTTACGGTAGGGCATACTGTTTCTCCGACTCCATAACTGCAATTCCTTCTCGGCTTCCCCATTTACCGTACATCGATAAAGGGTTGCGAAAGTCTCGCACTGTGTTGCGTTCAATAGACTCTTTAAATACCCTACCGGCACTTGTACCACGATGAACACGGTAAGGCTGGGAAAACGTTTCTGGAGACGTCGCCCTTTGGCAGGGCGTAGACCACGGGGAATAAAGAGCCACGAGCGGCGGGCACTACGGCTGGCCGGTGGGCCACACCACAAAGAACGGCCCAAGCCACACTGAAGCGCATTGGCACAGTGGTGCTGTACTAGTAATCACTACTTGTACTCGAGTACCTGTACACAGTGCTCGTACAATACGGTACGGTACGAGTACTAGTACTTGTGCTCGAGGACCGGTAGATTTACATGAGCCCATCTTTGGCCATGGCTTGCTCGTGAGAGCGAGCTCCTCGGGTAAAAGGTGTGCTCTCGAGTACTCGAGTAAACACAAAGGATGGCGACGGATGGTGTGCCGTACAGCTGGGACCTCTGAACAGGGGCCTGGCCCCCGCCCTTGCTGGGTTTATACCGGTATGCGGCCAGCCTGATTTCCCCAATGGGAAGGGCTAAAAGGTTCAGACCGACAGGAGTTGGTGGTGCTCAAGTATCATACAGGTACTGTACTCGAGTACGGGTACTCGTACTTGTACGGTACAGTGTACAGTATCATACCAGGGGATCTCGCTCGACCCTCTCTCCCTGCACGTCCCGTTGTATTTACCGGTATTTTGCACACCGTTTTTTTTTTCTTCTTTCCTTTCTTTTTCTGTATTTTGGCCCCTTGTGCAGTTGTGGACGTTCATGTTCCTGCTTTTTTTATTTTCTTTTTATTTTCTTCCTCATTCCTGTTCCTGTGCCCGTTTTGGTGGTTGCACGAGACGAGCTCCAGCACGAGTGAGCTCCGAGCGCGGCGTACGCGAGGGCAAGAGAAAACAAGAGAGTGTCATAATTGCTCAAGGCCGGGCCATAGACTGGCTTACTGCTCGGGCGCACTGTGCGGGTACCGGTACTCGTGCGAGCGCTCGAGTACGATGTGCTCAGCAGTGAGCGAGCGGGCCCACTCACTCACTACGGTACCTTCCCAACTTGAGGAGACGAGATGCGGAAATAGTGGGGAAAGTGAGAAACCTGTGCCATATGGATCAATGGACCAATGGGCCATGAACATCGCCCTTCCCCCCCTGGCGGTGCTTTGATTGTGCACTGTTCTGCGGGCAGCAGACCAGAAACAGGGCCAGGATTCGGGTATGGAAACGTGGGAGATTTAAGCATGGGAAACGGTGAGCATCCGATCCGCCCACCGAATTGGTTCTGATGGAGAAACAAGGTAAAACAAACAATTTCCTCCACCGCCATAGCAAACCTTTCCGGATTGCATCTCCTCCCATGGAATACTGCCTCCGTCCTCCTGTCCAATACTCGTACCGGTACGTTAGCGGTTGGGCAAGTACAGGTACGAGTGCTAGTACTGTACTCGAGTACATACGATGGTGCAACATCAGTACTTACCACTTACCAGATAAATCGTGCATCAACGCTCTTGCCTGGCTTTCCCCCTCTCAATACTCGAGCACGCAGTCCGATACCGGACTCGGTATCATAGTACCCTTCATCATCATCTCCTAACCGCATCATCCTGTCCGATTACTCTGTTGGTGGGGGAGTCCTTGCCATCATACCATGGGCCACGGCTACTCGTCCCCCCTCCCCCCAAAAAACAACAACAATAACAACCTTTCCTCCTCCTCCCCAACCTGACCATTCAGCTTAGGCCAGCCCCTTTCACTTCCGGTACTCCCCCAAACATCCCCTCCGTCCTTTCCCTCTTTCCTTTTTATTTTACGGTATTCTACCGGTATTTCATTCTGGCTTTTGCTTTTTCACTCTTTCATTCTTGCTTTATTATTTTTCACCCCCCCGCTCCCCTTCTCCCCTTGTGTTCGTCCTTTACCGGTACACTCCCCCCTTCCCTTCTCGTTCCTGTTTCTGACTTCATTCATGCCCTTGTCAATCCTTACTCGCCGCCGCCTCTATTGTTTTTCACTCTTTTGATTTCTTGCTTTCCCCTCGTCCGGGGTTCCTACACATATTTCCCCTTCCTCTTCCTTTATCCGACACACCGGAATCGAGTGCTCTTGTCACCTTCCCGGCTTCTGCGTTCCCGGTTGGATGTCCGATGTTTGAACGTGGCAATGGATCGAAGTCTACAGGAACCAGCGTGTATGTACCGGTGGTCGATAACTCACCACGGCTGACCCGTACATATTTCATGGCTACCCCTCCGCTGGCCCCTCTGGTTGTGGGCTTTGAGGATTCCGGGGCTCTGAACACCCCAAAGCAGCAGAAGGGTTTCTTTTCGCTATTTTCACGTTTTGGTGGGAAAAACAAGTCTCTATCTAATATCATTACAAAGCCTGAAGCACTCGCCAAACCCGTTGAAAGCAATAGAGCTTCCGTCCCGAATACGCCGATTACACCCTCAATGAGGCGCTCTCTATCTATTCCGGTGTTTAACGCTTCCGCAACAAATGATCACTCTCCTTCCTCACCTTCCCGGAGGTCATGGGAACCTGTTCCTCTCAACGAGGCTTTTGCTCAGGCCATTCGAGTTGCCTCCCTCTCGGCCTCCTCTCTTTCGATGGAAACTCTGATCAGACGAAACTCTGAGCGAGGCAAGGGCCCGAAGGACAGGCGTGGTCGCATTCTGCATCGAAGCCACGCTTCTACTAGGTCTGTAGATTTGGATTGGACACGCAAGACTTTTGTGCTGATCGAGGGATTTCTCCTCCAATATGCCGGGGATGGCCCTCACGATCGAGGTCCGGAGAAGACCCTGCAGCTCACTCCAGCCTCCATCGCGTTTGCAAGCGATGTGATTCCTGGTAGGCCGTGGGTGTTACAGGTTTACCGAAGCGCTGGCCCCGACGGTAACTTATTGCCTGAACGAAAAGGCTCCTTCTTGTCTAAAATTGCATTCAAGGGTCCTGCAAAGAATACTGCAGTATCTCTTTTGTTGGTTTTTGACGGAGCTGAGGAAATGGATGCTTGGATGGGATGTATAAGGGCCGAGGCTGTCAGGCTTGGGGGAGGAACTGTAAATAAACCGGCGAATGAAATTGTCGTCGGTGGAATACGGGAGGAGGAAGAGGGTGAAGAGCAAGGTGACCCTCGCCACACTAGGAGATTTGTTATAGATCGCGCGGCGGGCTCGTTTAAGAGCGAAACTATTTCAGACGGAAACACCTCGAAGCGGGCTTCCACGTATTATCGGTCCTCCTTAGATGCAGGGAGATCGTTTACAACAACGGTTTCCGGGGATCACGTTCTCTTGGAGCATCTTCGCGGATCCAGGCTTTCTCTCAACTCTACCCACGGGGCCAGAGTTTCTACTGTTTCGCCAGACACGAGTCCCGAAAGGTCCTCGACACGGAACAAGCGATCTTCCATGGCTCTGTCGGCTCGATCACGTTCATCAATGGAGCTAAAACCGCCCTCCCAGAGGCCACTTTCAGTCGTAGACCGTGATGGCAATCTATACTGGATCCGGACACCTTCACCATCTGCTCCCAACTTTTCCCTCCCCATTCCCCTTTCCGGTGGTCACCCCCAGATGGGAAGCAGGCGTTCGACTTTCTCGACCACCGGAGCAATATCTCCGATGCCCATCCCGCCCATTTCCACTCGGCCGAGTTTGTCCGCGATGTCCACGGTCGGGGCCCTCTCGGAAATATCACACCCACGGACGCGGCCGCGCCAATCCCAGTCCAACCCCCCGTCCCCGTCGGTAATCGCATCACCAATGGCAAAATCAACGCCCTTACCTGTGAGGCCGCAGCGCCCTGCATCCATGTTTGACTCTCGGCCCTCGCCGCCCTCCGAGATGCAGAATCTCTCAAAGTCTCCATCAATCAGGAGGCACCATCTGCAAGCTGGAATTGCGGTACCGCCCCGGACCAAGTCCCTCCGCAGAAAATCCATGACTTCAATTGGGCCGTCTGGAACCGGAGCCGCGGGACCACCACTGCATCCGCCTCCCTCCATTCCTCTTCCTAGATTGCCATCTAGTGAGGATGGCACTTTCTACTCTTCTTCCATGCCTTCATCGCATTATCGGAAACTTCCACCCCCGCCTGGCCCTAATCCTCCAAGGAACAAGTCTTTAGGGAACAGGCATTCATTTCATGGGTGTTCGCCGAGAGAATTGCGTTTAATGTCTTAATCCCCACGTCACGTTTCTTCCTTTCCCTTTCTGCATTTCGTTTGTTAATCCCATTTGTTGCAGCATTTTCCTTCCACCAGCGCTGGCTTTGGGGCTCTCATAGACGTGAGGAACTTGTTCTGTCTCGGGTCTGGATCTCATTGGACCACTCGTACAAAATGCTTTACTTGTGAATTTCTCTTTGATTTTTTTTTTTCAGGGCTATCGCTCATCGCCCATCTTATCGTGGCTTGGCGCTATTTTTCCGTTCTTTTAGGGAGGAAATGGTTATACCCGGTTTGCTCATTTTACTCTTTTCACTTTGATTTTTACTTATTCATGGGTGTTTCTCGTTTGGGTGAGGGGCGAATCTGTAACATTAGTTGGCCCGACGAATGGGCCATGGAGGGGGGTATCATAGGTTGGGAGGGAAGATGCGGTCATCCGTTGAAAAAACAAAAGTTTGCTTCTGTGAGTTGGGATCCTAGTCTTTTTTTTCCTCCTTTTTACGTTTTGTTCGGGATCATTTTTTTATTTGCTTTTTTTATGGCCTCTAGAGCGTACAGGTAGGTGGTGGAGTTGGTGGTGGCGTGATAGCGAAAGGTGCCGGGTGAGTGAGTGGACTGACGGGTTTGTTGGATTGGGCTAACAGCACTGTATTTTTTAATGAGGTTATGCTTGAATTCGGGGCGTTCGAGAGAGCAGTGAGTGAGCGAGAGAGGAAAGCACTTTCATGTACTTGTACGGTAGACGGTATATTATATAATAATACCTTTTTCGAAAGAAAAAAAAACTCCTCCCGATAATTGTAGCGTGCGGTTGCACTCAGGTACAAGTGCTCACATTTCTGCGCGACATTTTCGTAAGGTGGGATTTGATAGGCCCGATTTTAATGTTGTACGAGTATTGCCGGTATGCACATCCTGCCGCTCTCTTTCCCCTTCCCCTTCCGAGACTACCGTACTGTATGTATGTCGGATGCAGGTACAATCAAACTGGATCGTATGCTTCCTTCCTTTTGCCAAGGTGGCTAGCATTGTTTGTACTGTAGTGTACGGTACTGTACAGTACGGTAGGTATCGTAAATATCATTAGGTGTGTTTATGCATGTGGATGGGTGGGAGGAGACACGGTATCGTACCACATGATTTTTCCACTGGCATAAGTCTACCACGGTAACTGTGCGATTGGCTGTAATGGAGTACCGGTAGTGCTGAACTTGTTACGTTGGCTTTCTTTGCTTTTCTTCTCTCCTTCTCCCCCCCCCCCCCCCCACCCAAACAGAAAAACGCTTCGGAGGCACATTTGCTCAGCGTGGGTCCGCAAAGTGTTATCGGTATGATACTCGAGTACCTGGTAGTCATACGGCAGGTGGTGGGGGTACCGTATCACGAGCATGCTGCGCTGTATCGTCACCATCATAACGGTATCACACCGGCACGAGCACCCGCGTGGAGCACAGGCCACGCCGTTCGCCCCTGGAGCCTATGATAGTACCGTACCGGTAGGGTGATTCTCTCGTGCAAGCAAGCTCGCCCCTTCCACCTTTCATGCTGGTGGCGCCTTCTGCCCACCTTTCCGGAGTCACAACGGTTTCGGTGGGGCGATGGGGGTTAGGCTATGCTCCTGGCAAGCAAGCAAGCAAGCAAGGGGTATCATACTTGTACTCGATCACCGTACGGGTGTTGGATGGGTTCCGGGTGCCATCCAGTAGCCCTGTCGGAAAATTCATGGACACTCGATGACATGATACTCGTAGATCTGGCAGCAGGGCCCCCACCGGCACTGTACTCGTACTCGTACGGTACCGTACTCATACAGTACGGGCACCACGAGCGCAGCATTTGTGCTCATTCAGGTGTCTTGGATAACATAGACTATTGATTTTTTTTCCTTCCTTTTCCCCCACAGCCTCTGCTTCCAGCCCATGCCTTTCAAGTGTTGAAGCGCTTTTTGCAGGGACGAGCTCGTTCACTCCCGGCAAGTGAGAAGGAAAGTAGACTATTATTTACCGTAGTTGTGGGCATGGGGTAGTGGCCCGATGGCATACTAGTAACTTATCATACCGGTATCATACTTGTACCGTTATGATGCTAGTAATCCCGTCCCTGTGGACCGGTCTAGTCTGCTCGTAGCATCCTCCGCGCTCCGGGTGGGGAGGAGAGTACGAGTACAGTACCGTATGATACCGGTATGATGCGATAAATACTGGTGTGGATCATAGTACCGGTAGTGTTTTGTATTGGATGTGGGGTTTCCCTTTTCTTCCTCCCTGTGTTCCATGTGCCGTTCCGGGGTTTGCTACGGTCCGGCACTCGTACACTCTTGACAAGCTGTGAAGGACAAAAGCCCAGTGTTGGGCCCACTACGGTATACGCATAGGCCTTATCTGATGATATGGACATACCGTATCAGTCTTTTCTACGTGTAGTAGATTCATAGAATACTCGTACCGATACCGGTACTCGAGTACCGGTATTGTACGGTACAGTACGTACTCCACGGTATCATACACGTGACTCTTGTGACGACCATTACTCATCCCTGCAGATCCTGCAGGTAAATCAAACAGGCTTTCTAATCTGTTGCCCTAATTAAGGGAAGCGCCCGGTTTTTCCCCCTTGGACCGCCGACGTGCGTACTCGAGTATGCTTGCTTGCTTGAATTTGCTTGGCTGGGGGGAGTTCGCTTGTGTGAGTTTCCCTTGACGTAAAGAACTGTGCCTTACCTTACCTTGACCTTACCGTACCTTGGCCCTACTGTTGCTCATAGCAAGAAGTGCTGTTTAACCCTTCTTCCTCCCTACCAGTGTATCATACCACTACCGACCTGTGAACCTGGGGAGGGGGGGGGAATTTCATGACCTTTTTTTTTTGTTTTGAAAGAAAAGAAAAAAAGCACGTCACGTCGGAGTATAACGGAGAGATTCCAGGGGGAAGGAGGTTTTTTTTTTCCCCCCTTTTTTGCCTGCAGTTTGCTGTCTGCTCCGGATGAGCGAGGATATTCCCACACCCGAGGAGGAGGAGGAGGAGGAGGAGATACTAATTGAGCAGCCGGAGAACATCGGCGGCGTCAGGCTTGATCCGAATTCTTATACTGCGCATCGGCTGGTTTGTTCATCCCTTCCTTTCTTCTTCCTCGAGGAGTTTGTGGACTTGGTGATGAAGCTGACTGTATGTATGTACGGGTGTGCTTGTAGCATCATGCTACTCCTGAACATTTACATGTCACGACGCGACGGGTGTAAGTTTTGCACCTCTCTTCTCATTCCCAGGGCCCCTCTAACGGTGTTTAGCTTTGTCGGGCCGATACCTATGGGCTGGTTGAGGAGCCACCGGTCAGAGTGGTACAAGCACCATATCGGCGTGTTTGGAGCGGGAGGGAACCCGACCTTCACCGCCGCCGAGGATGGTTGCGGGGAACCGAGGCTTGGGGGTTTGGAGCGGCGGGACACGGGCGATTGGTGGGCGGAGGAGGTTGAAGGGGGAGGTCCTAGAGCTCTCGATGGCCTCCCCGGGACTCCCGGGCCCGTTCCGATACCACGGCCGAGTACAATGGCCAGCGAATCACGGAGGAGGAAGGGCAAAGGAAGGGCTACTGCTACGGATGGGCCGGGACGGCGGCCAGCGTCTCAGGGATCACGCAAGCGCTCGAAACCGGCGGGCATGAATCGGGGGGAGTCGTTTGCGACGGCTAACGAATCCTGGGACTCTGCCGAGGAGAGGCAGGAGCAGGAAGACGAAGAGGAGGAGGAGAATGCTCCGCCAATGCGGACGATAGAGAGTTTGCACGTTGAGATGGAATTGGAGGGGTCTCTCGAAGGTCTTGTAAATCAAGCGCCAGTTCCTCTTAGCGCGGGAAGCGACGTAGCAGCAAGTTCAGTTTCCCCGGCTCGATCTCTGGAGGCATCTAATTCGCTGGCATCTCTGTTGAAGCACGACGCGCAAGCTCGAGAAAGATTATCGAGACAAGCGTCCTCCCAAGGACGCGCCCCACCTCTCGAACGCAAGCAATCGGGCGGGAAACTCGGAATTCTTTCGAGAGCTCGGGGTTCACGGTCGCCGAAGAAGAATGCTGCCGGCAGTTCCTCACCCCCGCCTCCCCCGCCTGCCGAACGTGTCGTTACTAATAAGGAGCGGGTCACTGGAGGTCTAGTACGCTTTAATACAGCTGTAGACGTCCGTGAGCGGGATAGGGAGATGCAGATGAAGCTCGCTGATCTCAGTCGGAGCAGGACGTTCCGTCAAATGGGGCGGTGTCATCACAATTTCCGGAGACGGGAAGGGGAGATTGTCAAGATGGAGAATATGCTTGTCCGAGTGGAAGTATCTGCTATACCTGTGCCTGGGGAATACGATGAGAATGAGAGCATGAAGGTCGTCACTCGATTGATGGAGAAGTGGCGGGAATTCGTCGTGGTCTGTCGCCAGACTGGGGAGAAGGAGACACCATTAGCCTTGCTACTCTACAAGAAGAGGGTCGTTCCGGCCATTGACAGGCCGAGGATCTCCTCTCACGGAGTGAGGAAGATACCGCTTAATCCGAAAACCACTAAAGTCAATCTTTACTCGACTCTGGACAAGACGCTGGTTGTTTGGTTGCCATACAAGCAGGGGTCGATTATTTATATTATGCGGCCTCGCTGCAGTTCTTCATCTGTGGAGTGGTATACATTTCTTCACGGAGCGCTGGGCTGGAACAGATCGGACAAGTTACTTATATCTGTCCCGGACTTGTCCCTATCAATCACGGTTGACAAGCCTTTTGCACGGGTGGAGCAGAAATTGCGTGAAGATTCAGACGATGAGGCACCAATTAGGGAGGAGAGGGCTGTCGCTAAAAACCTGCTGAACCGAAGCATGCAACTGCTAGGGGAAGTCAAAGAATGGGGCGATATCACAGACCACTGGAGGAAGGATGAGCGCATGGGGTTGGTGTGGAGGCGTTACGACCGCTTGGAGTGGATCCATGGGGTAGGATTATTTGCAGAAGTAATTGCTTGATCCCATTGCTAATAATGGTATAGGTGAATGAGCATAGGATGTACGGAACTATGGCTATGCAGAAGGTTTGTCTCGTGTTTTTTTAGCCATGATTGGTCACCCATTGCTAATTTTTTTTGTTGGGGGGGGGGGTAGACGCATGAGCTAGAGATACGGCCCAAGACTCATTACCCGACTAAGGTTAGGGTTGGTGGCGAGGAAATGACGGAACCTGCTCCGGTCGAGGGGTTCCTACTTCGATTGACGTCCGGGAAGGGCCACCAGGAACGCCTAGGCAAGCTCTTCTATAAGCGTTTGTACTTTACCACTCATGACAACCTCCTTTGCTTTTGCAAGCCCGCGAGAGCGTTGCCTCCGCCGCCGCCAAAATTGCCGGTCAATAAAGGGGCTATCCCAAAGCCCAGTGAGATCAAGGACGAAATCCCACTCATATATGCCGTAGCACCCTATGCCCCAGACGCGGACGGGGACATCGCTTGGATCACAAGGGGCACGGCGAAAGAGATTGGCTCCCGTGATAGAGATGCTTATGACGAAGGGGAGAGGAAGGTCAATACCCTGCTGAGGGCCGAAGGGTTCATTGATCTATGCAACGTTGTCGAGGTGCGCTGCGCCGGGCGGCATTCACAAGGCAGAGATACTGGGGCTGGTCACAGCGAATTGGCGGGCTCTGATCGGCCTGTGCTGGATACGAATCGCGAGAATGGGGCTGTTGGCGAGTTTAATGATGGGAAGACATTCGAGCTTGTCCTTGACAATGGGCTAACCTTGAGGTTGCAGGTGGGAGTTTTGCATGGCTGGGCAATATGGATGGATGCTGACCGAGATACAGGGTTATGATCAAAGGACCAGGGACGAGTGGGTGACAAGGTTGAAGGATTTGGTCAAGTACTGGAGGGTGAGGGATAAGGAGGATTTGGCTACCATCAGAAGGACCAGGGATGCGAATCTGAAGCTGCTGAACTTGGACGAAGAGATGGAGTCGGCCGTTGGGCAGTTTGCCAGAAAGTGGGAGGTGTCTCGATCGATCGCATCGGGGGAAATATTCAATGTCTGCGGGCTGTCCTCTTGCAGGGCTATTACAGTACGTTGGGTGGTGATATCGTAACACAAGACGCAGCTAACACAGAGCCACAGATGTCCGGCGTCCTATACCGCAAGCCCCGCCGTCACTCCACCTTCAACCGCTACAATGTAGTCCTCTGTCACGGCGAACTCCTAACCTTCCATAACACCTACCGCAAAAACTCCGGGGCCGAACTCCCACACATTCACCAGGAACGCCATCTCTCACTCTCCCTTCGAGATTGCTTCGTCTACTCGGGCCTGGTGACGGAAAGCGAACTCCTCTACCAGAACCAGACATTTGACTCCAACACTCCGGGTCGTCATGCGCTTCCCCGAGTGTATCAGGATGGGATGACATCCCATGACGAGGACACGATGACCTGCTTCGTAATCTGGCATGGCATGAGGAGGAACATTTTCAAGACTAAGGATGATGAAGGGAAGACTGTTAGGTATCGTGTTACTGCGCTGGGAGAGACAGGGAAGTCGATCGTGTTTAAGGCGAGGAGCAGGCTGGAGAGGGATGCTTGGGTTATGAGTATTGGGATGGAGATTGAGAGGTTGAATGCTACGGCACCGGAGGATATCCGGGTCACGGCTTGATTGTGGTGTATTCTCCCGGTGATTGGGATTTTGGGATTTTCTTCTTGATTGTTTTTTTTTTTTTTTGGAGGGGGAGGGGTTTCAAAGCATAGCGAATGGTGTTTCCCTGTTTTTTATGTAATAATTTTTCTTCCCCCGTTTCCCTTCTCCCTTTCTACTAATGTTTCATTTGTAGTCTTTGAGCCCTTTTGCTCGCGCTCTCGGTTTTGGTGTAACTCCTAGTTTAGTGTAGTAGTCTGAACATGTCGGGTATAACCTCTAATATTAACAATACTTACAAAAACTATATACATATTTACACCCCCCCCTTCATGGAATCGTTCGATCACCCCGGGCCCTGCACTTTAAGGCCCCAACCCTCCCCATAGAATCCTCCTTAACCCTCCCAGCCCTCGATGGTGGCCAAACTACATGAGTAACCTTTGCCTCAATCAAAGCTTTCGGAATCTATCCCCCAATCAGCCCCAGATACTTGTTTCAAAAAGAAAGAAAGAAAGAAAGAAAGAGGTAGAAGGGGGGGGGAAAGAAAGAAAAAAAAACCCACAGGTCCATAAACATTACTATCAACCGACCAAAAGCCTTCATCCCCCTCCACCCACACCTTCCCCGCCCCAACCTTGACCGCCTCCCCCACCCTCCCCCGCCCCTCCCCACCCACCGGCCTGACGACGACCACATCCCCCTCCAGCCCCACAACCCTCTTGACAGCGACCCTCTCGGGATCCACCGGCGAACGGTACAGCACCACCTGCCCGCGCCGGAGGTTCTCCGTAGCGTTGTGCCGTTGCGCGAGTATCACGTCGCGGGACAGGGTCGGCGACATGCTCCTCCCGTGGATCCTGTGCAGGGAGTAGACGTGGTTCGTTACGAAGATTAGGATTGGGAGGGATTTTAAGGCCTGGAGGAGGAAGGGGGGGGATGGCATTTTTTGTTTTTGTTTTTGTTTTTGTTTTGGTGGTTTGTGGTGATGGGGAGGTTGGTTGGGATAGGGTCTTTTTTTTAATTAATTTTTATTTTCTTCCCTCTTTCAAAGGTGTTGTATCATACGGTGCTGGTTCCAGTGGTCGGTCGTCGGTCGTCGGTGGTGGTTGTGGGGGGGGGGATGGGATGGGTCGGTGGATAAGATAATTTAATTATGATAACCGTGCCGTACGGGTACGAGTAGGGTGCAGGCAAGCGTTGAAGCTAGGGGTTGGGGTTGAATTGATCGACCAACCGACTGGGTTAGGTTTAGTTAGCTTACTTTAAAGTGCAGAGTCCATTAGACTAATTTTGCAGTGCTACTGTACTAGTGAATTATTAGCGTGTGGTAGTTTATACCGTATTATATCATAACTTCCACGCATTGTACTTGTATTTGCAATTTGCTATCGGGAAACACAGTGGGGTGTTTAGGGAATCCGTATCAGATTAACATCTTGGGAATACACTACTACCATGAGAAATTCGGGATCCATAGACGCAAATTTGCCATGAAAATGAAAGTGGAAGTGAAAACCAAAAAAAAACAAAAAAAACGCCGATTCTGCCGTTTGTTTGTACAAAACTTAGCACCGGTCTAGCCCATCGCGACAAACAAAATTGGGGGCAAAAGTGGTGCTAATCCCGGGTTATTGAGGAGAAGTAGGAGTAGAAGAATATGCCGGCGAAAAACCGGTCTTTCTATTGGTGTGGGGGACCACCGATTCTGCGGCGTATTGAATATTTTTTACAAGAAAAGGGAGAAAAGCAGGAGGGAGAGAAGCTTAATGCTGATATAGTTCCTCGGTAACTATGACGAATCCGCCATCCTCGTGGGCCTGAGGGTCGGAAGTAATATGCTGGTTTTGTTGGTGGTGGTAGTGGTGGCGATTCGGGTCTTGAGGTCCGGGAGTTTCCTCGAACTTTGGTGATATCAGGAGGGTGTTACTATGAAGTGCTGCCGCAGCGGAGGAGGAGGAGCCGGTCACGATTTCCTGGGGGGCTTTCTGTTCAGGTTGTTTTGTAGAGTCTTCCTTGTCGCCTGCTGGGGGGAAGTAATTCCTGCAGTAGCAGGATCAATAACCATACATCAAAGAGTATGGTAGAGGGTACTAACGGCAGCAACTCGATATACGCAATCTCATCCTTGCTCTCAAACGTGCAAAAGACTACTAATCGCAACCTCCGCCCCTCCGCCCCGCCCTCCTGCTCCTCCCTATCCAGGAAATCCCTAACAGTCGAAATCGCCACCTCCGCCGCCTCGTAACTCGGGTACCCAAACACCCCCGTAGAAATGGCCGGAAGCGCAATGGTATCTAATCCATTCGCCACCGCCAGCCTCAAAGAAGCCAGATAGCAGCTCGCGAGCAGCGAGGCATGCTCATTCGTCCTGCGCGCCCTCCAGTACACCGGCCCGACGGCGTGAATCACGTTCCGGCAGGCCAACTCGTACGCACCCGTGATCTTTGCATTGCCGGTCTCACACCCGCCCAGTGTCAAACATTCCGCTAGCAGTCCGCGTCCCGCGGCGTTGTGGATCGCACCACAGATACCGCCGGCATTGAGGAGCGATGTGTTTGTGGCGTTCACAATTGCCCCGTTCGGGAGGGAGAGTTTGGTTATCTCGCTGCGGATCAGGCCCACTCTGGTGTTTATGGTTGCGGAAGGGGTGCGCTGTGGGGCCTTGCTGCTGGGTATTAGGCGCTTTGCGTGGTAGAGGAGTGAAAGGCGGGGGATTTCGGATTGGGGGATGGACATTTTGGCAGTTGGTTTGGTGGTTCGGGGGAGAATTGTTTAGTTTGGAGTTTGTGGTTGTGGAGTGGATCGATGTTTGGTGGTGGCGGGGTGATTGTGGCGGTGGTGGGGCAAAAGATTAGATTTGGAGATAGGAGGGATGGAAGGATGGAGGGATAGAAGGGCGGGGGAGAAAGGGGGGGGGGTTTATACAAGCTCAGTCAATCAGTTTCCGTCTCGTGACTAACCCATGGCTCGGGCACAATGGAAGGAGAGGATAAGGGAAGAGAAGAGGAATTGTGGCAATGTTGGGGTACCCGAAAGGTACAGTACAGTTGTTATGATATCTTACAAGTATCGTTGTCACGAAGGAATCTCCCAAGCTACTGAAACCTGTCCTAAGCTGCTGGAGATGTTTCACAATGAAAGGAAGCTAGGCTACCAGCACTCGAGCACAGTACAAGTATCACATCATACTGCCACCGTCAAATAAACCCTGCAATTCTCGTAGCCTACCGAAGAAAGCCGGGGAATGGGGCAGAGACTCAGACACATCTGCGGCAGATTGTGGGAACTGGCTTACCGTAGCCTCCCGTGCATCACACACACTCACACACACACTCTTCTCCGCGTTATATCATACGGTGTGGTGGTTGGTAGAAAGCCCCATCTCCCTTTCCCCCACTGTCACACTCTCCCCCTGTGGACTGCATCTCTCCCCTGGCCTTCCAATGCAACCAGATAAACCACGATGATAACTCCATCATAAGTGCAACAATTGTGAGTAACCTAATCTACGGTCCATCACACATGATAACTCCAGCCACCACCACCGCGAGTTTTAAGAACGCATCATCATCATCACCTTGTCCCATAGCCACTCGCGCAGCAATCGAGCGGGCAAGGGAAAAAGGATTGACTCTTCCCCGTAAGCAGCCGCGCAACCTGTCACGAATAATGACGCGGACTTGGATCTTGATATGATACGGTACTGTAGCGGTAACGTTGACTGTTGCCAAGATAGGGTAACTCTCTATAATACTCGAGTGCCGGTAACGGGATCGGTGGTATCATACGTGGCCCGCAGCGTATCATACTGTGCCAAAGGGACTTGCCATACGGGCATTGTTTCTGTTCCCGTTACAATAGAGACAGAGTCACACAGTCACACCCTTCCCTCCCCTGCCTTCTTCTCTCTTCTCTTCTCTCTCCCCCTCTCCCCAACGTGAAGGTGACGCGTTCCACCTCCCCCTTCTCTCCTTCTCTCTTCCGAAATTACGGTATCGGGGACTGTACTGCACCACACCATTCGCAAACCCCTCCGGCCAAACTTGGACCCTCCGGACACATACAGTATGGCCGCCATTAAACCTATCGAAGGCCGCTCGGTACGTTGGAAATTCCTCCTCCTCCTCCTCTTCCTACTGGAATAGCTTGTAAGAAGAAAAGGATTGTTGTAGAAGGAAAAAATGTATTAAATTGAGTCTTGCGTGGCCGGTTTTGTGCTATCGCCTTGGGTTGGCTGGTTTTTGATAGGTTCACCAAATACAATCTGGGCAAGTTATCAGCGAGGGCTTGACTTCTGTTGTTAAAGAATTGGTGGAGAATGGGTTGGATGCTCACGCTACGTCTATCGGTATGGTGGTTGCCCTCTTCTTGCACTGCCATTCTGTATGGGTTCTGATTGTTTGTGCGTGGGAGCTGGGGGAGAGTAGAGGTTAGATTTAAGAGCAATGGCCTCGATGCGATCGAGGTTATGGATAATGGGGATGGGATTTCGCCGGACAATTATGAGAGCATTGGTAAGGGATACATTTTCCCTTATTTTCGTTTTCTTTTCCTTTCCTACTGGTGGAGATTTTTGTCTGAATACGTGCCTGTCTATCTAGCTCTCAAGCATTGGACTTCCAAGTTGACCTCGTACGCGGACCTTGATTCCGTCACCACATTCGGCTTTCGAGGGGAGGCATTGTCCTCGCTATGTGCTCTCTCGGACCTCCAGATAATCACCGCGACGGCGTCTGAGGCTCCGAAGGGCACAAGGCTTGAGTTTGAGATGTCCGGGAGGCTCAAGTCCCGCTCTGTCACCGCTGCTCAGAAGGGGACTGCCGTCCTTGTGGAGAGTATATTCAAAACGCTCCCGGTTCGCCGGAAGGAGCTGGAGAGGAATATCAAGAGAGAGTATACCAAGGTTTTGGGTATATTGCAGGCTTATGCTGGCGTATGTGTTGGCGTCAAATTCTCGGTGTTTAATCAGCCGGCGAAAGGGTATGTTGCCGCGCTTGTTCGAATGAAAGAGGGTACTGACTGAATTATCAGGAGGAGAACTCCGGTGTTTGCCACCAAAGGCAATCCCACCGTTCGAGAGAACATTTCAAATGTCTTTGGGGCAAAGGCTCTGTCTGCCTTGGTCCCGATGAATTTGCAGTTTGAAATGAAGCCTACGAGGAAAGGATTTCAGAAAGGGGTGGAACCTCAGTGAGTCCCTTCCTGTTATGTTCTATCTAACCCGTGGGTGAGCTTACCTATGATTTCGCGCTTTAGGGAAAAAATGGTCAAGATTGTGGGGTTTATATCACGGCCTGTCGTTGGGGAGGGCAGGCTGGCCCCTGATCGTCAGATGTTCTTCGTCAACGGAAGGCCTTGCATGCTACCCCAGGTACGTGACTACATCCGGGAAGTGATCTGGGCATAGTGCTCATAAGAGAACAAGGTTGCTCGTGCTATAAACGAAGTGTACAAACATTTTAATGTGACCCAATCGCCATTCATATTCGCTGACATCCAACTTGATACCAGTTAGCCCTTCTTTCTGTGCATATTGTAGACGGGCAACTCTAATCAAGAATAGACGCATACGACGTCAACGTTTCCCCCGACAAGAGGACCATCCTCCTGCATGATCAGGCGGAAATGATGGAGTCATTAAAAGTATTTGCCTGAGGCTCCTACCCATAAAACAGTACTGACGGGGCAACAATAGGTTTCGCTGACAGACTTATTCGACAATCACGAACAAACTGTCCCGAACTCAATGACTCAGTCAAAAGCGCAAAACTTGAAGCAGATGACTCTAGATAAAACTCCCACCAGACCTACTCGAGCAACGCAGCGAGTGATGGAAGATAATTCTGCTGAAGAGGATGACACAGAGTATTATGCTCCGCCCAAATTGCTCAACATTCTTTGTTCATCGCCTTCCCGTGCTGCCGCTTTTGATTCCCTCTCGTTAGGACATTCTCCAGAAGCAGGTTCCAATGCGAAGGGGAAAGGCAAAGAGATCTATGCAGCACCTTCCTCCCGGGACACCAAGAATCCCGATAAAGCTTGCGGGCCACCCGAGGGGCCCGATGCTGCTGGTACCCAAGATTCTGAAGATATGGAGGAAGATGTCACGCTTCCGTCTCTGCACCTGGAGTCTCATGGCTTCGTGTCTCGGGCTTCTACGGGTGCCGTTCCTGCTACTTCATATAGGTCGCCTAGGAGGCCGCAGAAGGCCGCAGCAACGATCAAGATTGGTGACCGAGAGCCGGTGACCGCCGGGGAAAACAGCCCCCCACACTCGCCCACTAAACGGAGGAAGATTGGCAATGGACAGGCGAACATGAAGGGCAAGAAAATTGGTATTTCCAAGTTCTCCAGTGCGCTTAGTCGGTTTGCAGCGCCGGGAACTGAACTGCCACCCCCGACCGCGGACGACGAGGAGTCTGAAGAGGATGATCTTATGGACGAGGGCGAGGATAGTCCAGAAGCTGTGGAGGGTGGCGAGAGCGGTGACGAGGCGGTTCAGGAGCCGGTGGTGGAAATTATGGCGTTAGATGGGGACGAACGAGGTGATGAGAGCAGATGTGACACCGAAATGATGGGGACCGTGCCACCTGCTGAAGGCGGTACTCCCCTCTTCCTCCCGAATCCGAACTCCGACGTCGACCCTAACAACGATCCCGAAGAGGACGAAGAGGTTGCCCTACGATCCCCAGCCCCCGAAAGCGATGAGGAATACGTAGAAGAGGGTTATATAGATGAAGAGCAAAACCGTCGGCAAACCGCTCAAACAGCCGAACGCCTCCTCAAAGAAGCCGAAGAGAAGTCTGCACAGCCCACAACCGAAGCCCTCGAACGGGCCCTGCGAATTCTAGAGGACTCGCACCAGATCTCCACAAAGAATGCGGTCCGCTTCGTCCCTACATCGATCGACAAGCTGCGGGACCGAGTGCATGACTTATCCAAAGTAGCCTCGACCATAAAACACACCACGTCATCAGGCCGGGGTGGGACTGGCCTGGAAGAGCGTGATGAAGTCGCAGAAGAGCGCTTAAACCTAACCGTCACAAAGCAGGACTTTTTCGAAATGCAAATAAAGGGGCAGTTCAACAAAGGATTCATACTAGCGACTCGGGCCGACGACCTCTTCATAATAGATCAACACGCCAGCGACGAGAAATACAATTTTGAGAAATTACAGCAGGTGACGATCGTGCAGAACCAACGGCTGGTAGTTCCGAAGAAGTTGGATCTGATGGCGGTGGATGAGATCGTCGTGATAGACCACATAGATACTTTCAGGAAGAATGGGTTTGTGATAGAGATTGACCCCGACGCACCCGTTGGGGAGAAATGTAGGCTTGCTAGCTTGCCGATGAGCAAAGAGACTGTGTTTGGTTTGGATGGTACCATATCCCCCCCGCTCGAAATATGTGGGTTCAGTTCTGAGGCTAAATTTGTGAGGATAGATCTGGAAGAACTGATTCATCTAATAAGCGAAGACCCCGGGAACTCTGCCGTGCGCTGTTCGAAAATGCGGAAGATGTTTGCTATGAGGGCGTGTAGGAAGAGCGTCATGGTTGGGAGAGCACTTACGGAGAAGGGAATGGAGAAACTCGTCAAGCACATGGTGGGTCACTCTGGCCGTTCCCAGCAAGTCGCTGTAATGCGTACTCACGAAATGATGTATAGGGAGAATTGGATAAGCCCTGGAATTGCCCGCACGGGAGGCCAACGATGAGGCACTTGTCGGATCTAGGTCAGGCAAAGTACTGGAGGGGTATGGATCAGGAGAGAGATGGTGGGTTGAAGTGGGGTAGCGAGTCGTGGGCCGAGACATGGCTCACAGTTGAAGCACCTGGGGAGGCTGAGTGATGAGTTGTGAGTGGGTGACAGGTTGTGAGTGGGGATGGGATTTGAGCGATTTAGCGGTTTTTAGCTTTTACATTCTCAGAGCTTTTTTTTTTTTGCAAACATTAGGTTTGGGCAAGTGCGGTACGGTGTGGTTTTACAACCGTCGTGGATTTTAAGGTGGTAATTTGGGGTGATTTTTTTGTTGAAATAGTTTTGTAAACGAGTTATACATGCAAACTTGAACCCTAACACCACCGCTAGTCCCTAAGAAATACAGAGGAAACGAGGAAACAAAAAAAAAGTCCTTCGAGTGGACCAAAAAAATTACAAAACATTCCAAAAGTAATTTGCATAAAAGAAATGTGAGAACTTTCTCTCGATATTGACGATGTGTACATCGCCCTTTGAAGAGTTTCCTGCGGAAACAGGAAAGCAATTAGCACCATCCCACCAAGGTCAGGAGGCAAGGAAAACTCACTGATAACCGCCTTCGAATACCCCGCCGCCCCATCCTCCTGCAAGTCGATTCCCAGGGACCTGTAAACCTTCAATTTCAGCAACGTCCCATCCTCAGCCCCAACGAGTGCGCTCTGCATAGGGTCCTCCCCATCAACCTGCTCGAGCTCCTCCTTCAACCTGGCTAACTGTCCCTCGAGTCCGTGCGCGCAGCTCTCAAGCTCATTGATGCCCTTCGCCAGCGCGAACTTCTCACGATCCAGCCGCAGCATATTAGCTCCGTGCTCCCTGCGCCCCGCTGCGCTCGCGGTCGCCTCCATCGACTGCTTCGATATCTCCATCTTGCGTGACAGCGCGCGCAACGTCGCACGCGAGTCGTCTTGGGTTTTTTCCCGCTCTGAGGAGATGCGCGCCAGAGTTTCGTTGATGCGTGTTAGGGAGTGCATGTCGCTGCTTATGTTGAAATTTGAGAGGACTTCATGTATCAGGAACTCTATACCCGAGGGGGAGTGGTTAGTAGTAGTAGGGGATAGAATAGTGGATGAGGGGAGGGGGGGTTACCGGGGGCTTCATCTAGGAGGACCATTTTGGATTGTTTGGGGTTTGTTTCGTTATTTTCTCTATTTTTTTTCTTTCTTCCCGTGAAACTGCGGATTTTCGGAGGGGTTTTCACTTCTTCTCGTCGCTGAGGGATTGTAGTGGATGGGGGTAGAGGAGGGGGAAGGAGTTGTGATGAAGCAACAGCTCTTGTCAGGATTCAGCATGAAAATTAGGACTGAACTTCGTTACCACAGCAACTCTCCCTCCTCTTCAGCCACTCAAGACCCTGCCGCTCGTCAGCCACTCACCCACTCTTAAATGCGGAATCCCCTGCCACGAATGCCATCATTCGTAACCCCCGTCCCATCCCACTCATACTGTATCGCTGCTCGCTCGCCCGCCACTCTATAAGTGACTGGCTACTGTATCGACCGACCCGCCGCTGCAGTACAATACCTTAACCCCCAATAATTTCTCCCCCAACAGCTTATCCTACTATCCACCATACAAGAGACTGCTTCACATTATAATTTTTTTTAATACCAAGCCCCCCAATTAGAACACGATGTCGTCTAATAATCTGCCACGTGAGTTGCTTTGTTTCCCCTCATTTCTCCTTTCGATCTCCAAGTGAGCTGGGAACTGAATACTTCTGGGGGGGTTAGATGCTGTTGATGCGGAAAGGTTTGTTTGCCCCGGGATAACTTTCACACTTTATTGGGCACGGTAGAGGCTGATATTCGGTAGCCCTCTCAAGGAAGCAGAGCTCCAGGTCCTCCGTAACCAGTTTGAGAAAGAGGGACAGTTCGTCGGTGTCCAGACCAAGTTCAACTACGCATGGGGTTTGATCAAGAGTGAGAAGCGGCTGGAGCAGCAGATGGGGGTCAGGTTATTGACCGGTTTGTTCCCTCTCCCTCCTGCTCCGCTTGGGCGGTGGATGGATGGAGCTGATCGGGTGGAACAGATATCTTCCGCGACCATACCGAACGCCGCCGTGAATGCCTTTACTACCTTGCTCTCGGAAATTACAAACTTGGGAATTACGCCGAGGCCAGGAGATATAACGATAGGTTGCTAGAGAATGAACCGGCCAATTTGCAGTCGCAGAGTTTGAGGGGGTTGATCGATGAGAAGGTTGCTAAGGGTTTGTTCCCCCAGGTTCTGATCACGGTGGGGTTTCGGGTGCTGATGTGTATGAGCTCCCGCAGAGGGCATGCTCGGCGTAGCCATCGTCAGCGGTGTAGCGTTAGCAGCCGGACTCGTCGGCTCCGCGCTCTGGAGAGGTATGTCCAGAAAGCGGTGAGCGGTAGTGGAAGTGACATCTGGTGTGCGCGTTTGACTGGGTAAAGGCGCTTGAAAGAAAGAAAATGATACGAGGGGAACGACTTCCATGTATTGATGCTCCGTTTCTTGTGATTACCCGATTGTGGCGGGAGGAGTGTCGACTAAACTTGACGTGAGAATGATGCATGGTGAGACGGTGGTTTTTCATGGAGGCATGTAATAGCTGTGATATGTTCTCTCCGCTCGATCGTTGATGTCTCTTGTGCGTTTCCTCATCTTACGTTATCCTTCCTTCACTTGGTACTCTTTTGTGTTGGGGGTTTTGATTTGGCAGGATGGAGGGGTTATATCTGTATTACCGGTACGGGCAATAGATTTTTATTTATTTCTATTCCCCCCCCTCTCAAAACTCGGCTTCCGGTAGTCGTGGTAAAGAGTAGCAGTACCAGTACCCTATAATACCTGCTATCGTGCTGGAGCACCGCCGGCAGTCCTGGAAATAGAAGTCGAGCACCGTAGTCCCCCCACAAGTGCTCGGATAGCCTAGATATATAGGGCAATTGGGTAATCTGGACCCCAACAGCAACTTACGGATAGGGTAACATGCGGTCTGTTCCAGCACCGCACTGCAAGTACCCGCCCGGGCGGAAGATGCGCACTGCAAACAAATCTCGACCAATCAGACCGTAAAGACTTGCCAGTTCTCGCAGGGACGGAACAGACTGCACGATAAGTTAAGTTACGAGAGTGCCGGTATTAGCCAGAGCTGTCCCCTGCCGTAAGGCAGTGCCGCCACAGGTGTGGCTAGATGCCCAGGGAACATTCCAGCGGTTTCGGCCTAGAGCCGGGCTGCATCCAGAACGTTTCCGGTAGCCGGGGGAAAGTATCGAACGATGCCTTAGTGGGAGGAAATTTCCAAGTTACGCTGCTGCGCTGTAAAAGTCACTGTCCATACTCGAGTAGGTTATGGTAAATTAAATTTAGCTTTCAAATCATATTTGGCAAGAGCGGCGGCGAGGGGCGGGAAATCTCGCAGGTGTATTATCAGGCCTATCATACCGGTGGCTGCGACCAGCGGCCGATAGGGCCCCGAAACCGTGGCCGCCAATCAATACACTCCCGTAGAGAAATCTCTACCCCATACTGTACTGTGCTGGAAAATGCATCCGTTACCGTCACTGCACCTCTAGCTTAACCTTCCGCCACCTTATCTTGCCGTATCTGGCGATAATACATTGGTATCAGAACCCTGATTTAAAGTCTGGGGGGGTGGTTGTGCTCCTCCTTCCTTTTTTCACCCTGCCGTCTAGTGGTACCCTTCTATCACTATCACCATCTCTCCCTCTCTCCCTCTCTCCCCCTCCCCCTCCCCTCCCCCTCTTTCTCCGTCCGCAGCACCCGCGGGGCCCGTGTACCCAACGAACCCAGAAACCGAGAATTCCATTACAAGACACTCTTTGGAAGTACGGCACCCTCAATATAATTGAGGGCGATTTTTTTTCGGGTTACAAACTTGCGGCTGATACCGGTACCTCCAGCTATACAACCCTGGAGCTCGTTGCCCCACCCGGCCTCCAGCCTATCCCTTGCTTAGTCGACATCATCCCGATCCCTCGTTCCTCCCCCCCCTCTTCCCCTCCAAGCTTGCTTCAAACCTACTCCACACCATTAGCCTACGACAAACGGGAACCTTCGTCCGCTCCTCCCCTCGATATTCACTTGACTTGGTTTGATATTGTGGTCCCTTTCCGCCCTCCCACGAGTTTGGCTCCAGAGAGGACAAATTAATTATGACTTCAAACCAAAGCCGTCCCGTCCAGCGAGAATTAGTTTATTGCCACGCCTGTAGGGAGGAGTGGTACAGAGATGAACATGGCTTGGTTTGCCCGCGCTCAACCTGCGGTAGCGACGCTGTGGAGATTGTGGGCATTCCGTCCCCTTTGTTCCGCTTTTCTTTTATGGGACCACCATTGCGCTAACAACTGATCCTGCTTCTTGCAGATCGAGGAAAATAGCGATCCCCGGTCGGATCGGGGTGGATTTACTTTTCATCACACATTTAATGATGCCGGCGATGATGACGACGATAATGAGAATGATCACAGACACCGTGCCAGTGCCACCTTGTTTCATTTTGGTGGCCCAGGCTTGAGAGTCACTTCTGCACAGCGAGGTTTCAGAAGCACTCGTAGTTCCGACCAACCGCCAAGACAGGGTTCGGCAGGTTCGGCCGGCCCAGACGATGATATTCCTCTAGTTGCTACAGAGGATATGATGAATATGTTCACAACCATCGTTCAGACTTTGGTTGGTCCCGTGGCATCACCTGGTCAGCCGCCACATCGCCCAGGTGAGGGCGGACCGCCACAACCACCCGGGGCTGACGAACATAACCACACCCGCTCTCATGCGCATGCCCACGCACATGCGCACATGTTTGGTCCGGCTGGGTTTGGTGGCTCGGAGAGATTCTTCTATGATTCTGGCGCTAGATTGAGCCCGAGAGATGCTGATGCGCCGCAACCGGCTGGGGAACCGCGGGTGGTGGATTTGGCAGCGTACGTTACTGCAGCCATCACTTTCGAGATTTTGATAGTTTCACTGTCAGCCATTGCAGCGTGAAGTGTATTGTCGCTGACGCGTTTTTAACTACGCTGATAGGATCCTTAGTTTATTTGGGCCTAGATCGGAGGGGGGTGGACCTGCACTTGGCCCTGGCCCTGGCGGCTTGCTCGCTCGATTAATGGGGATGCCACCCGGTACGGAGGGTGACTTTGTTTACACTCAGGCGCAGCTTGATCGAGTGCTCTCTCAACTCATGGAGCAGCACCAGGGAAATGCCCCACCTCCAGCTTCGAGGGAAGCCATAGAGTCACTGCCTAAAGTGAAGGTTACTCGCCAAATGGTAATAGATGGAGATGACTGTGCCATATGCAAGGAAGAGCTTGTTATGGATGAAGAGGTCTCGCAATTGCCATGCAAACACTGCTACCACTTCCAGTGCGTCTCGAGATGGTTGGAAGAACACGATGTAGGTATTCGTCACCCCATATCACTCGCTGACCCAAGCTAACCCTTCCAGACATGCCCTATATGCAGGCATCCAATTACACCGGGAGACCCACGGCAGCCGCCACAGCCACCAAATGCACAGCAGCCTCGGTCAACTGTATGGCCATTTAACACTTCCACTCTACGCCCACCAAACGAGTCACAATCGCCTGGTGGTTCTTCGTCCCCTGGAAATGGCAGTAACAGTGGTTCCAGAAGTAGCGGTGGAAGCAGACTTGCAGACCTGTTTAGGCGGAACAATGGCGACCGTTCTTCCTAGTGGTAGATTGGGAGCTGGCGCCCGGTTTTTTTTTTTATAAAAAAAAGGAAAAGCGAAAAACAAAAAGCGAACAAACGGGGGTTTCAGGCGAACTGTGGGAGTTGGGTTTCATCGTTTTTTCACCTCCTTAGTCCTCCTTTCCGTGTCAGTTCTCCATTTTCCTCCACCTTTGCGTTATTTACCTCTTCGCCGCTTCGGCCCTCAACTGAAAGTTCGTCCTGATCAAGTAATCCTGTAAAAAAATCAATTCTGTTCCGTGGGTGATTTATTTTTTCCGTTTTTCCATTCTCGTTTTCTCTCTATATATCTAAGCTGGGTATCGCATTCTTTCTTCCATTCTATTTGCTCACTGCTTTCTCATTCAAGGATAGAGGTTTACCTTTTTGTGCGCCTGGGTCTTGAAGCGCAGAATTTGACTTGTTGGTATGGGGACATCTACGACACGGTGTCCATGGGCAAATATTTTTTAGCGGTGGCTATTTCTTCTGTACTTAGTCCTGTTTATTGGCTGATGTCGCTTGTGTGCCCCTGAAACTAAGTTGAGGGGGTTTAATGGTGCTTCCGTGTTAATTTTTGTCTCTTTCGCGAAGGCATAGCACATGGCTTTTTTTTAAAGCAGCGGCAAGTAGTAGCCGGAGGGCGGATATCACGGCTATTTTTTTTATTTCCTACAAATAATAAGGTCAATACAAGTTCCGAGCCCATGGTATAACTGATAATGTGTGAGTGATTTTCTGTGATTCTGTCTGTGTTTAAAGTAGTCTCACATTGTGCCGGTTCCAAGGCCGCGCACCCTGCCTACCCACCGCACAGTGCCTGATGTGGCGATTGTTAGGGTTCTGCGTCGTATGTATGGTGCCCCACTGCGGTATCGGACGGGACTAGGCCGGACATCAGAAAAAGGCGAAGCTGTAGTGTACTGTACTCTGCCGAGTGGTTGCTCGTGGAGAAGTGCCCCCCCCTCCGGTGACGGGACGGGAGATGCGGTGCAGGGCATCTGCCGTGCTGTCTGCATTGGGAAATGCTGGTTTCTCTTCACCATTTCCAAGCTGGCGGTGTACGCGTTGACGCTTTTATCGTGTGGTTTAACTCGTTCCAGCCTGGCAACTCTCCCGTTCGGGAATCATCTTATCATGAGCCGCCCTGCTCCGTTCTGCATGATATCTCCACTCGTATAACACTATCGCCGCGAGCACAGTAGTCAGTAGTGGTGGTGTTGACTAAGCTTTTGAATGTTTCCATCCATCCATCAACATTCGCCCACCCTGCGCTTCACGGCAGTCTGCCGCCAGTAATTCAATATTCCCGCAGAACCCTTTCAAAAAAATTACCCGCACCCAATCTCTTGGAGGGCCTGAATCTTTCTCTTCTTCTTCTTCTTCTTCTTCTTCTTCCCTCCCTTTCCCGCTTTGGTCCATCATACAAATCCGGATCACTGCGGATGCCTATAACCTAAGTGTTTATCAGAGCCTTGTGCCAAATGTGGGGGTTACAATGCCATCCGGAGGTCGGAGGGTACAGTGCGAGTACTCGTACGGATGTCGCATTATCACATTGTGAGGCGGGGTGGTATCGGTAGGCACTGGTACTCGTACAGTATGATACTGGTAGATCGGCCGGCTCAAATGTACTAGTACGGGGGTCACAAAGTCCCAAAAATATGAATGCGTTGCGCCGCCTCCTCGGGTTTTGTCTTTTTTTTTCTCTTTATTTTCTCCTTTTCTTCTTCTTCCAGTCCAATCGAGGAAGGGAGGGAGAGCTGCAGGTGTACCGGGGGTTTGGGTACCGTTGGTGCAATTACTCATTCACTTGGACGCTCCCGTTGGTGTTGGATCTATGGATAGTCTACCGCCAAGCTACGAGTACCGGCAGCTCATACAGTATTAGGCTACTATACCGCTTTGGACGCAAATTTAGTCAGTAACTTGGAATAACTTTTAGTGAAATCCGGACAAACGCACCTACGCATAGCCCCTGTTTCCCCGACTGATGGCCCTTCCCTGGGTCCTGCATTCCTGGAACACATCTACCGTACGTAATTAACGCCCCGCCTACAATCACTAAATTCCTCCTCTAGGACGTACCCTCCCTCGCCCGTCGGAGCAACTTAACTCCCGCTTCCGGAGCCTCCATAGCAATATTCTTCACCAATTGCACCCCAACATACTCAACCCCTAGAGACACCCCAGCCCTCGGCCCCATGATCGGCGGTATCCTCGGCGGTGTGGTATTCCTCGTATGATACTAGCAATAACAACATACATAGCTATTCAATCCCGGCGCGCACGAAGCCGAAGTCTGGGGAATAGACTAGCCGTGCGTTCTGGACCCTCCTCCTTCTCCCCGTCCATGCCCTACGATACGGCGGGCAAGAGACCACGTACGCGCTCTTTCGCAGCAAGTATGAGCCTATCAGCCCCAAAGAAAAGCCGGCGCTATCACCCCGCAAGGGATTTGTGGTGGAGGGAATCTGTAGGGGAACTATAGCAGATATTCCGTGGGGGATCTATAGTGGGAAGGTTCCGTAGGAGAGCCAGTGTAGGAAAGGGTCCATAGGGGATTACAGTAGGGGGAACGGTAGGCGAACTATGGCAAGCTGTCCTGCAGTACTAGGGTTACATACCTGGTACTAATACTTGATATAGAAGTTCTTAAAGCAAAAATCAGGCTAATAGCCGCATCCCTTCTCCTGGTGGTAGGGACACTGATCCAAATTGGGGACACATGCCTGCAACGGAGGGACGACAGGATCCGAGGGGATGAACGGGCTACGGCAAGAAACGAAGTTGATCTCCTCCGTGCAAAAGTTTTGCAAGAAAAGCTGGAGGTCCTCCAGGAGCAACGGAAGGCGGGCCCCTCACCGAACGCCAGGGGCTCAGCAGGAGGGGGGCTAGACGCAATTTTTCTGTGAAGAGATGGTGGTTCTAGTGCAAGTGGTTGTGGGGCTAGTGTGATCAACGAGAGGGTGGGGGCGAGGCCATAACAGGTGGCCGACTCGTAATTTTCTAGCGTTTTTTTACATACGACTGCTATTGCACACTAGAAAATCCTGCTGCTCTGGCGCATTCCAATAGTGGCTGTGTGCGCAAATGTCAGAATATTACGATTATAGTAGGCATTATAAATTTGCAGCGGCGCCGCTTCTGGAGAAAAAGATGCAAAAAGTCATTTCCCGCATGTTAGGGTCAGGGTTGTTTTGTGTTTACTATATCCTGCTGGGTAATGATAACTGCAAGCGGATGCTGTAAGAAAGAAACAAAAAAGACCTGCGAAAGATTAAGACTAGTCCACTTTGTGTGTAGACTACACCCTGTCCCGCCTACCAGACTGCCCCCCCCGGCCTCTCCTTGCTTACAACTACGAACCTCTTCACGCTTCAAGATTTGATATCGTGGTATCGGGATGTTGGCGCCAAGAGCAGCAGCGGAAGAAGAAACCCCGCCCCCTACTTCTATAAATTCCATTGATGTTGTGATGCCAACTCCGCGCTCTTTCTCCGGCCCTACTTTACTTCCAGCACCGGTATTATCGCTGGTTTCGCTTATATCGGGGTCGACAACTACGTCTGTTCGGCCGGGGTCGATTATTGGCGGGACTGTTCTTAAGTCGGCACGGCTGGGGACGCTTACGGGTTGGAGAGGTGGGAATACTGCTGCGGAGGTAATCCTAGTGAGGGCGAGGAGGGGAGGAGTGCCCGGGGTGATGGGTGGGTAGGCGCGTAAGTATCCACCTTTTTTTTATCTATGGAAAACTAGGGTAGTCTGAATCAATAGCTCAGGGTAGATAAACTTTGTCAGATTATTAATATCACTCACACAACTTCTACTATCTGCCGGTTTCGAAATCGGCTCGACTACTCTTGCTACTGTTAGCAGCCCCGCTGAGGCCTACGCTCTCACCCTTGGTTCTATATTCAGAATCAGGGAGAGCTCACGGACAATTTCTGGAATTATGGGATTGATCAAGAAAGAAATCGAAGGGGGGGGAAGCGGGGGCAGGGAAGGTTGGAGTGAGTGATTTTGTGATTGGCTGGTCTTGGTTTTCTATACTACAGATGGAGACTAGGAAGAGGAGAGAGCTTGAGATTAAGCGGGGCTTGGAATGGGATGAGGTGGTTGAAGATATCGCAGGCGGAGCTACATGGCATTGCTCTGTCTCTCCCTCATCTGCATTCCTCTTGGAAAGTCTCCTGCAGTCTCATTCCCATGAACTACCACCTCCAACAGTGGAGACGAACTTCTCGCCTAGGCATGCAAGGTGGAACTGGGTCCGAAGCCGGTGACGACCCATCTCCGGAAAACATCATATTAGACCCTGAACGTTCGCTCCAGCCCCTCCCCATTTAACCACCACCCTCTTTTGCCATAGCGGAGGAAGGCGTTGTGGCTCTGAAACAGGTGCAGAAATAACCAGCAATTCATCAGATGCCGCTGCACCAGCGCTCCTTGGAGGCACTGGCGAGGCGGGTACTTGGCGCTTCGGTTCGTTTCTGGCAGGCGGCAGTGACGGTGGGACCGCTTTCCGCTTGGGCACACTTATGGGCGAGGTCTTCCTGGTGGGATGGGAGGGAGCGGGGTTTTGCATACTCTGAGTCGGCATATCCGCTGGGGCTCCTCCGGACACCTTTCGGGATTTATACCAATTCCTAACCGCTGTAGTCAGGGAGCCAATTTCTGCGACCGTTATTTTGTCAGGTGTAGTCTTGATTGGACGCGAGCTAAGTATAGAGCTCGAGCTCGATGCATTTGTCATCGCTCTTACAATAAAGCTCCGAGGGGGCATTTGATAGACTACTGTTTGAGGTTGAAGGATAAACCGAGTCCTTATCAGTTTAGGCCAAAGATCATCTATCTCGGCTTGTGAATGTATAATACCAAGGAACTCTTGATACAGGGTATCTGTAAACGAAGTGTCATCGTAATGGGGGAGAACGAGCGTTTCTGCTATTACTTCACGTATGCGGCCCTCAATAGTTCGTAGCACAGGGCTTCCAGTCTTTTGAGAGTAAAACTGAGGGCCCAGTTGACCTCTCTTGGTTTAAAGCGAGAAGCCAGTTGCAGAGTAACCTTGGCAGCCACTTCCTGTAGGATCGTGTGATAAGTGGATCCGGACGTGATATTAGGGGAGGTTATTGACCAAACTTACCAGCCGGAAATTCCCATCATATGTAAGGTCTGCCTCAGCGCATAAATCACCATACAGTGTCATTTCTTTAACCCGGAGCTTCTGATAGAAAGAAACCCCTCACCAACATGCACCTGCCGCAGCACTATGTAGGAAAGAAAATTGGGTTTATTAACTAGAGCTATCTTTTCGTTATCCTTCTCTGTACAAACTTCCCAACATCGGAGGTCTTGCATATAGATAAGACGTTCGAGTAATCCATTCACCCAGTTGGTTTGTGTGACCATTGCACAAGGGACAGGATGTGCTTTTCCTCATACCGGAGAGGTATAGGCGGGGTGATGATTCTATCGGACTCCTCTAGATTCTTTAGAAGCGCAAAATAGAAGTCTTCTTTCCGAGAGCAGTTTTCCGAAAACAGGTAAAATGGCATAGCTTTTCAACCCATATCGAGCGTTCTATCAACAGCATTGCCATTCATTGAAAGGGATATGACATTGCGACGAATGTAGAGTTGGCCCTCAGGTATTTCCTCACCTCCACCGTAGATGCTAACGGAATAGAGACTAAGCGAGATAACATGTCGAGCCTCAGACTGATCCGAGCTGTCATAAAGAATGAGGTAAGGAAAGTACAGTAGCCAGGCGACGATTCAGGTTCAACAGGCAACGCACCTAAGAACAACGAAGAATTCATTGCGTGCTCTCCGGCCGCCCTTCTTCGCAACATCGGCAGTCGCGGGGCTGTGATACCTTTTCTCTCAAGAAGGCTACGATACATAGTCTGATAAACCGAAGGGGACTAGCTGACAGGTTTGGTATTGCCAGCCGGGGATGTTCCTTCGGGAGGCTTCCCATTTACACCAGCGGGGTCGTGCCCGGATAGGGTACAAGGGATAGTGGAGTGTCCAGTAATCTGGCCCTTAAAGCCGGATTTCCCCGGTAAGGCGCCATGTGCTTGCCAGGAGGATCATCCCGAATGTGGGACCTGATCTGCATGTCGCCATTCTGCGTGGGGAGAGGATACAGGATTAGAGTCCAGCGGGACGGGGGGGTTATGCGTTAGTTTGCTAGACTTTGTACTAGTATCATACATGGTATCATATGAAGCACATATGTAGGTTGTTAGGGCTTCGTCCTCAGTAAGCTCTGCCGATCCCATTCCTGCTGTCCAGGAAGGGGGGAGGGACTGCCTCCTTTCTAGATGTCTCACATCACACGGCCCAATTATTGGAGTAATAGTGATCCCCCTAATAATTTCCCCCGTGGAGCCAGGGACTGTAAGGCGTTGGACAGACCCAACTTATTATGGAGGCATTCCAGCCAAATCCTTGGGCGTGTTCACAGAGGCTTGACACTCGGGGCAATGTGTTCCTGGCGGGCAAACATTACACGGAAACACAACAAACTGGCAAAGGCTAATTTCAATCAAGTTGGGACACTTGAATACAACACGGAGCCGGGCATCCCTGTCACTGAGAGGATGCGCTTCCCGCTGGAGACGCCTATCAATAGGTGTATTCGCAAATACCTATTGGCCGCCCGCTGCCTATGGTATGGTAGACCATGTTTGCATCGGCCAGGCCCACTTGATCCACATTTTACAAATTATCCCTTGCATTTGCAGAACGAAACTTATAGCCCATGAGTAGAATCTCGGATGATCATGTTGAGAGGATACTAGCAGCAGATTCGGAGCAGCCTTGGGATTTGGATGAGACCGTGGGAAATGGTAAGGGGCCGGAGATGAGATAAAGGTAAGAGAGGAGTTGTAGGGAGAAAAGGGGGGGGCTGGAGGGGACCGAAAAGAGGGAAAACCTAACGGGAAACATTTCCATTGAAATGCCAGTTACAGATGGCTAAGTAACTCTTTCGTAAGATAGTCGAATACAGGCAGAGGCGAGGAATGTCTACGAAAAGTATAATCTGGGCGGACAAAATCGCACATATAGATGGATCCCAGGGGAAATCAAGCGACCTGCCGAACGCGAACCCTACGAGTACACGTGGATGGAAACGAAATATCCACAGCTTGCAGCTCGCAGAGATATGCGAGCTGGAGATTGGTGTGAGCCTCGAAATCACTATCAAGAAGAAATTACCGCAGGAGAATAAGAGGTGTGCCCCTTCCGTGAATGGGTCCATTCTCTACCCATACTAAAATATAGCTCCCTCAGGAGGAAACAACAGCCATCAGCCACCTGAAAGGTTAATAAGGGATAGGACATTTCAGGCCATGGGACTATCATAGCAACGGTACATACAGGAGTTATCGCAAATATTGGAGGACCTGTTTAGGGAATAGCGAAGGAGTTTTAGGGTTAGCCACGGCATGGAGCCGTATGATATTTTCTACTTTTTATTTTCGTTCACAAGAATCTACATACATTTACAGTAGTGGGCGGGCTATACCGCAGCGCCTGGTTTCGGTCCGGGATGTTTTCACACAATCTACAAAGTGGAGCGACATGGAAGCACCACCTCCAGCCAGGGAGATTAATTTAATGCCGAGTGATATACTGTGACCGCCCATCATTCTCCCCTGCCCGGCTGACTAACATGCTTTTTACGAATCCACACCCCCGGAGCCCGCAACACATCGGACCGGAGCCAATACCCGTAGAGGATGCATGTCAGAGGAGGCAATTTCGAGTGATAGCAGAGGTTTTGTCTGGTGCTTATGTAATCAGTGCGCTGACCCGGAGTGGATGAAAAACTTGTGGGTGAGTGTAACTTACTATGATAGTGCAGTACTCAAGTCGCCGGTTTGAAGTCGCGTTTCCATGAAATACCGGTACCGGACAAGCACACCTTAGGAGTGGTGACTGGTAGGAAGAGATACATTTTGAAGACTACAAAATCCGATTTCAAGTCACTTAACCAAGTCTCCGGGAATGCGGAAGGGATATCGCGCTCCTCTCTCAATACAAAATATTTTCTCTGATTTCAGATATGACATGGCTTCGTGCTCATCCGTTGCCGTGCTTAAAGTTATGTGCACTAAAAATACTAGACTACCATACCAAGAACCCCGACGCCGTTAATAAGGAGATTTAAAGCTCTCGGTACACGGGCAGTACAGGTGTTTTGGTACAGGTGTATTACGGTACACCGCAAATATCCTCGGGAGGAGGGGGGCAGCATACTGGTGCAGAGGTATGGTCACCCCGTCCATCATCCCTATCTAAACTATTATAACTCACACTTTACTTAATCTGGCACACCAGCAACACTTACCAGGCAAGAACAAGCAAGCCAATATACCAGTCCTTATGGCAGTTCATCAGTGACGTTCAAAGCGGTACACCTGTATTTTAAGGGTATATTGTGTACCGGTTCGCAGTCTACTGTACCGAGAGCTTTGAATCTCCGTGGTGGAAACGCGACTTCAAACCGGTGACTTGAGTACTGAGTTAACCAGTATACGGAGAGGATACGAGCACGATGGAAAGGCTGCATTACCCTGCCATCATATCCTCTCGGGAAACGAGGACCCTAGAGGCTTGCCAAGAAGGTCACAAATGGTAGCATGATACTTACATAGTATGATACAGTATGGTAATCTATTTTGTGTTTTGTGAATATCAGGTTACGCGCGAACCGCCCTTTCCGCCAAGTTACAGTACAGTACGGGTACACCCCGGTAGGTGGGACAGTGGGACAGGAAGCAAGGGTCCTCTCCAGTAACAAGCTTTTCCCACTCACTTGCCGCCTCCCAATATCAACATACTTGTTCTTCTAAGTCATCTTTAATCTCCTTCCTTCTTTATTTCTTCCTTCACTCTCTTCGATTTGGGAATTTGCGAATTTTTCTCTCTTCTCTTTCTTACTACTGCTTCTGAGGCACTAACGTTTTTTTTGTTGCTGTAGGCTTAAAGTTACCTTGCTTGGAGCTCGCACCTTTCTCTCAACAACCCCCCCCCCCCCCCCACCGCGCTCTCTTCCTCCTTTCCTTCCCAGCCACCCACCTCCCCCCGCCTCTCTCTCCTTCTAGGTTTCTCTATAAGTCACTCTGGAATTCAGGATTCCGCAGTTCTTCACTCCTTCCATCATTTGATTCTACCTTTGAATGTACTCTGTCCTTCTTTCCTCACACGATTTCCCACACGCTCTCTCCGGCTCGTCTTTCCAGATTGTCAAAGCTACTCAGTAGACAATGAGCGACCATTACGGAACTATTAGCAGTTCTTCCAAGCGTCCCAGACTAGATGATAACCCTTCCGAGGAGCTTATCGTCATCGCTACCGATCCTTCAATTGTCTCTGCTCCTCCGAATGTACCGCAAGCTTCACTGACTCACCAGGTTCCCGAGCCCATAACCTCCGCTATCGGGCCGGCTGCGCCTTCGGTTCCGCAAAATGTTCCCAATGCCCAGCCGCAATCGCCGCAGGCTATGAAACAGCTTTGGGACAGGCTTTGGGAACCACCACCGAATCCATTGGGAGGAGTTATCAATAACCCGAACGGTGGTCCGACCTTTGGTGACGCTATTACAAATTTCGGAACGCCCATACGGGAATACCGACCTCCGGATTTCCAACGCCCCCTTCCGCCTCAGACCTATTATCCCTTGTCGGCTCCTCCCGTTAAGCATGGAAATGAGAACAGGAAGCCCAAGAGCAATAGCGACAGCAAAGGGAAAGCGCCCATGGCTGGGGCTAGCGTTATAGATCTTACGGGGGACGACGACGATGACGTCCAAATAGTATCGAATAGGGTTGTTACCAGAGAGCTTCAGATTGTTCATCCAAATGTTTCGGAGGTGTGCTTTGGATTGATGGAAAAAATGTATGTCACAGCTCATTCTCTTCCCGTGCCGATCCCATTGGATGACCGGTTTACCACCCATTGGCCGAGAATACCCGTCTCGCTGAAATGCCACGGCGGTGGTTCGTCGTTGTGCGTAGGGGTTACGGACCCCTTTGGAAAGGAATTCGGTTCCCTGGATACCAATAGTGCGAGAGTTTTGGTTCCGTTGCTAGAGAGGAACCTAGTACGGCTCCAGACAGTTGTCCTTCCGAGAAAGAAGCAACCGGATCACCTCCCCGGGCCCGAAACCGATGGTAAATGTAAAACCCCGCTCGAGATGCAGGCCAATCTGTATGGGCCCGTGATGAATTTGGGTGCAATAGCAAAAGTTTTGGCGGACAAGAATGGACGTCTAAAGAGGCCCTCTCAAACTGATGGGTTGGAATATGTCCCGCCCATGAGCGCCCCCGGCTTGTCTCGGGTCCTGCCGGCTCAGGTTGATACAGAGGTGGCGGTTTTCAGCATGCTTGAAGAGCTGCAGAAGCAAGTTGAGAATTTGCCTGATGCCGGGGCTGATCCACGGATCACTACTCCACTCTTAAAGCACCAAAAGCAAGGGTTACATTTTATGATGAGCAAGGAGAAGGACCGTGACTACACTAGCTCGAAAGGCAATACCTCGCTCTGGCGCTCGTTCGGGCATGGGAATCGTACAATATATGAGAACGTCGTCACCTGTGACAGGAGAGAAGAAAAGCCCGACGAGGTCTACGGGGGTATTCTCGCGGACGTCATGGGTCTGGGGAAGACCCTACAAGTGATTTGCCTAATTGTCGGTTCCCTCAACACTGCGGCGGCATTCGCGGCTCCGGTTGAAGGCGAGCGTCCGCCTAAGAGGAGGAGGGTCAAGACGACCCTGGTCGTTAGCCCTCTCAGCACCATTGGAAACTGGGAGGGGCAGATCAAGACCCATGTCAAGTTTGGGACGCTCAGTGTTTACGTGTATCATGGGCCGAAGCGAGAGCTCAGTATTGAAAAGTTGGCTCAATACGATGTCATCCTCACGACTTACCAGATTGTCGGGGGAGAGTTTGCTAAACTCACAACTAGCAGCAGTAGTGCGAGTGCTTCGAAAGGCAATTGTCTGTTTCAGAAGCTTCATTTCTTCAGAATTGTCCTGGATGGTCAGCCAACCTCCCCCCATAGGCACGCACGGGAAAAAGATTTACTAATTAATGTAGAGGCGCATATGATCCGTTCGCCCTCTATCATGCTCACAAGGGCTATACTTTCTTTGAATGCTCAGAGACGTTGGGCCGTTACCGGCACCCCAATTCAGAGCGAGCCCCCCCTTTTTGCGTTTTCCCTCGGAGGGGTTGAATGTAAACTAATTCTCCGTAGACCGCCTTGGGGATATTGCGACTCTAGTCAAGTTTCTCCGCATTGCGCCTTTTGATGATAATACCGCCTGGAATAAACATATTGCAGCACCATTTAAGGTGAGTTTCCCCGGAACATGAAATAGTGATATTTTCGCTAATTGGTTTTGTGTATAGAACGCGAGTATTGAATCTATTACGAATCTCCGTCGTATACTGCATAGCGTAACTTTGCGACGCTCGAAGGGCATTCTTAATCTACCACCTCGGAAGGACGAAGTAGTAAGGCTCTCTCTCCCTCTTAAGAGTACCTAGTGCTCATGTATCCTTGGAGGTCTTTCTCGATTTTTCCAGCTCCGAGCAGCAATTGTACGAAGCTACCATGCGGATGTCCAGGCGCAAGTTGGATCTCGTTCTGAAAGAGGGCCGTGTCGCTGGGCGGAATTACGTTCATGTTCTACAGAGTATCCTGCGTCTACGCTTGATTTGCGCTCACGGAAGCGAGTTGGTGGGTGATAGCGACACCGCCGGAATCACTTCCTCATATGCAATTAACGTCGACGAAATTGAGGATAACGCCAGTGAGCCTCCATGGTCTATCAAGGACGGTTATCAAATCTTCCGGCTCATGTGTGATGCGAACGAGGATATTTGCGCTCTTTGCGAAACCAAAGTCGGTATTAACGGCACAGCCGGCAGCTCCGGCGATGAGGATCCGCCCCCGAACAAGAAGGTTGTCGTCATAGGCCATCTTACCGCATGCCCTCACCTGCTTTGTAAATCATGTGGGCCGAAATTTGCTGAAGGATTCGATAACGCCTCAATGAGTGCCGGAGGCAACCAACCTTTGCGTGGGAATTGCCCACTCTGTGGAGAACACGTCAATGCCGCTCTCGTTGATATCAAGAGCGATTACAACGAGGATTCACTCCAAGATCTCCCGAGGAAGAGGAAGCTAAAGGGGAGGTACAGCGGGCCTAGCACTAAGGTCAAAGCGCTTATTTCATCTCTCCTTGAGAATAAGAAGGCGAGTACGGCTAGCGATCCGATCAAGAGGTTTGTTTACACCCACCCTTCCTTACTTCCCTCCTACCTGTCTGCGTCTACGCAATGGATCATAGCTAATTGTCACACAGCGTTGTTTTCTCGTGCTGGACCTCCCACATGGACCTTATTGAAATCGCGTTCAAGGATAACGGCATCAGCTTCGTCCGCTTAGACGGCAGCATGACCCGTGCCCAGAGAAACCGTGTGATGGAGGACTTTGAACAGGCCCCGGAAATCTCGGTCATCCTGATATCCATCATGGCTGGGGGTCTAGGGTATGTCCAACTGCTATTATCGCCACCGCCATCCCGCCCGGTCACTAACAAGGGCTGTCGTACAGATTGAACCTAACAGCAGCCTGCAAAGCCTACGTCATGGAACCCCAATTCAACCCTGCTGCGGAATCCCAGGCAATCGACCGCATACATCGCTTAGGACAGACTCGCCCTGTCACTACGACCAGATATATTATGCGTGATTCCTTCGAGATGAAGATTGTTGAGCTTCAGAAGAAGAAGACCGAACTTGCCAATCTTTCCATGTCCGGGAAGCTTAGCGGGAAGGATGCTATGGCGAAGAAGTTGGAGGTATGATATGATTTATTTCCCCCTGGTTTGAGATGGTTATGCCTGACTGGGGTTTGCGCATAGGATCTCAAGACACTATTTAGATAACTCTTTCTAACCCTTTGTCCTCATTTCATTCTCTTTCCCATTACTCGTGCTTCCCTTCTTTCATTTTCTTACTTGCTTTTCGGCATGAGCGTGAGCGTATTACTATATGGGCTTGTCTAAATGCATACATTGCCTAACCTTTTCTCTTTTTTTAAAAACAAACCTTTTTCTTTCCCACTTTCTTGACACCCCTTTCCCATCACTACCTCTGTATTACGGTTTCACACGACATATGATATGGCTGTGTCGCCCTTGGTTTCTAACTTTGATCCCTGCCCTATTGCCATCTTTCTTTCCTTTGTTACTGGGAATACGGTTGGAAACGGGTTTCTTATCATTATTCATTATTTAAAGGTGGTCCCCGGCGCATCCCTTGATTTATTGTTAGCTAATTTTGTGGGTTGGAGTTTGGGTCAGGGAATCCGATAGCTTATTACACCCTAAATCTAGCGGTGAATGAAGAAATGGAAAAATAGCTGAAATAGAATCGGATAAAAAATGGTGATGCCGGGTTCCCGCCATCCGGGCATTGTGATTGAAGCGCTATGGGAACCGGATGCCGGGGGAGGGAAAGCGTATTGTGCTTGGCTCGGGATGGGCTCCGAGGAATTGAAGGATTTACTGTGTTGAGTATGATTATATTCTCTTCCTTGATTTCATCCTATTGTGCTGCAGTATGTGTGGTACGTGCTATAAAAGTAGGACTGGGACGGAGGTATGTTTTCACACCTGGCCATTGCAGGCACAGTACAGTAGTATAATAACATTATGATATAACAGGTTCGGCACTCGTGCCTAGCAACCAATTGACGAGCCAGCTTTATACTACGGTGCTAGAGGAATTCTCTATCCCCTAGCCGTCCGCTACTCTCGTCTCCCCTTCGGGATTAAACCTGCCGAGTGCGCCCCCCGAATACCGGTGGTCAATCACTCTTGCGCCCACGACAAATTTGGAAGCGCAGCACGAAAATTTACTCTTGCCCACCATCCACCCTCTCCAACCACACCTCCTCCAGATATCAAGATATCCAAAGGTCCATGAATTACGGTCTTATCATTTTTTTTATATATTTTACGACAGCTACCACAGGCTATTTTCTCGAAGCACGAAAAGCAGCTTCACAACTATCACCCCCCCCCCCCCCCTTCATATCCACTAAACAACTCCATAACCTTTCCAACAGCGACACCCAAACAAGCGCTAGAATAAATAATAGTATCGTACGTACAGCTGGCGGAAGGTTTCCACGAGCCATACCGAACAGCCCCATTGAGTTCCGCATTGTATGTATGATACAGCGGGGAAATATCCTACGAGTGACAGCGCATGTCTGGTCTTCTTGTGTGTTATGTATATCAGAAGTATGATATCATATAAACCATTGTGAGTTGCGATAGATAGATATTAAGGGCGTGTCTGGTCGTCCCAAGTTTTTCAAACCTTGATAATCACAAAACCTGATTTGCAGGCTGCAACTGAAATAATCGCAAGTTGTTATAATTGGGAGTTTTCACACTCCCAGAGGTGTGTCTGGTCACCTGAAAAATCGATTCCAAAAAGGTCACTCAAAAAAATCAGAATAATTAATGTGCGAAACACATTGGCACCTGTATTTCAATACTTATTTTTTTTAATTTTTTTACTCCACTATTGGTAGTAGGAGTGGGTTATTGTAGCCAATGCGTACTGCTCCAAAATGAGAGTTTGTGAAATACTGGTCAGACCAGTATTTCAGAAACCTTTCATTTTGATATCATTATTGCATTTTGAATATTGTGTTTTGGTGTTAACCAGACATGCCACTCAAAAGCAAAATAGCATTTTGTGACAAACCTTCATAACCGGGGTCAAAATGAAGGTTTGAGGTGGCAACCAGACGCGACCTAAGTAGTCATTACCCGTCACCTAGTGTTGCCGTTTCCGGTACCGCACTATACTTTACGATACTCGCACTATACTATCGGAGGCCGGTCACGCATATGGTTTTGAGGTGTCATAATATTATGTAGATTAGAACTCAATCTATGGATGGATACCGTAGAAGATGGATTGAAAAAAGAGGCCTCGTGTTTTCCCTCTTTCACAATTTACATGTATCTTACATATCTGAGTCCACCCTATATTCATTTTATCTATATATACAGTACAGTGCATCGAGATGACTCCTGTAATTATCCACAATATTATCGTGCTGCCATAGACGGTATATCATACCAGTACTGGTAGTATCATACACGGTAACCTTTGCGCGGTGCGAAGTACCGTATGGTACTGTACGAGTACGGTATCATAGTGGAAATTCGCCGCAAGGCACGCTAAGCCTGCCCCGGAGGGATCTGTCGAGTTCATTTCCCACTTCCCATTTGCTGCGTCATTTAAGCACTACGGTACTTGTAGGAAAAAGGGGAAAAATATCATACTCGTACGGCATCATAATACCGGTACCAAATCCTGACCAAGTACAGTACCAGTGCGAGTACCTTTACTGTTTCACACCGTCCAAGGGATATTGTACCGACGGTGCAGTGGTGGTTCCGTGATACCGGTAGTCTACCTGTAGTCGGGTTCTAAGTTACTCCCGTTTCTGGTATTCGCGCGGGCCTTTTTCTTTTTGTTTCCCCCAGACCATGCGTGCGTTCCTTTGATAGTTTTATTCTGCTCGCCCTGGCCAGTGTACTGTATTGTACTCGTACTGTGCCGTAGTCTACCGCCCGCATCCATCATACATACCTGCAAGACGAGATGAGGCGGCTCCGCTTGCGGCCTAACTTGAACGGACAATTTAAGCTTTTCCGTCCCGTCGCGTGGAGGGTTAGTCTAGTAAAAGGAGGTATCATAAGTAAAAAAAAAAAAAAAGGGAAAAGTCTTGACCACCCATGCATAGTACCACACTGCACTACTCGTACGCTGTGCTATATCCGTACGAGTACCGGTACTAGTACTCGTACAGCACAGTACGGTTATGATCCGATGCGGTACCGTATGTACTAGTACGTACTCGAGTATATATATATACATGTAAATTCCTCCCCGTGGAGTGAGAGCCGAGTGGTAAAACGACTTTTTCCTTCCCGTGAATATTGCACACAGTACTGAGTACAGTACTCGTACGGCACTTGCACACGTGCCAGTATCAGACTAGATCTGTTGGCCGCGCATTCCATTATGCGTATATTCACACCAAAAATGATATTTCTCACGGGTTGGACCTCACGGCGCGACCGGAGGCTACGGTATCCATTGCATACATGTTCCGCCGGATGAAAATTTTGACCCGTCGTAACGGGCGTGTCAGGAACTCGACAAGCAGAAGGGGGGGGGATGGTCGCCCTTTCGAAGCCTGTGTGAGTATGATGGATGGCTCTTTCTACGTGAGCTGGTGTGTGTGAATTCTGGTGTTTGGACTGGATTTGCGGGATCGGTGAGGGTGGTGGTGGTTTCCTAGCGGGGGATTTCTCGGGTTCGTCAATGCTTATCCCGTGTTCTCGGCTGCTTTTGTATGTGCGTGTGTATCTTGGTTTGGTGAGAATTAATTCGTGAGGGGGTTTAACGTAGCGGACTCGACCGCTCGAGTCGATGTTGGATGGGGGATTTTGCAGAATTGGGCATTGCGGTCGTTATCTCTATCGCGTACCGGTATGATACGGTACGGTAATTATGTGTGAGTAAGTGCGAGGGCACGCATTTGTCCGGCTGCTGGGCAGGGTTATGTGTGATTCGTTAGATTGGAAGTCGAGAAGGATACAGCGCCAGTACGAGTACTCGAGTACATGTGGACCGGGGAGAACGTATTGGTTCTCTTCTTCCGTCCCGGTTTATGGCGCTTCTATGGATTTGGTTGGGAATCTTTGGGTTTGTCGGAGGATTGGGTCCTCTACCGTATCTTCTTTAGGGAGAGAGCACAGTACGGTGCAGTGCTCTGCACCCAGGAAGAACTCACTTACCGTATGATACCGGTACTTACAAACACTTGGGCCGGAGGGGGGGGACGGGTGAGATTAGAGAGGGTAAAAAAGAAAAGAGAAACTTGGTGGCGGCCGAAACAGCCGGGGAGGGGGGGAGAACTGGGGAGGAAATGGGTTAGAGAGATGGAGGAAGAGGAGAAAGGGGAGGGTGGAATAAGCAGAAGCGGTAACTGTCCGGAGGAGTTTTCTCGTTGTTGCCCGTCTTTTACTATTACCGGTATGGTGAAATATATGGCGGTTGCGATAATTGCTGCAGTACTGACTTCTCACTTTATCGTGAAGCTAATTAAACCTATCCTCGTCTCGTACCATAGCTGTGAATTCGCTTCATCATTCACTGTCACTCGAGTTGAAATCGTTCCCTCCTCCTCCTCCTCCTGCCTCTCTTTCTCTCTTCTCTCTCTCTCTCCCCCCCTCTCTCCCTCCCTTTCCCCCCAACAAAGTTTGGAGGTACGACAACCGCCCAACTCAACCGCAACCGCAACCGCAACAGCCCCGGCAACGCGCAATCAGACCGACTTACCCTCCCTTGACCCCCCCCCCCCCAAACCAGAGACAACTCCAATTCGACGCCCGTTTTTCCCCTTCTCATCCTATCTTCCCGTTTCAACCGCTTTTTGTCAACTTCCCTAGCCGCCGCCGTGCGACTTCATCGTCCTGCGCTTCTCCCCCCCTCCCCAGTATAACTCTCGTTTTTCTCTGTTGGTCTGTCGGTCTTTGTCTCTGCCTTTCATTTCAGTGACTTTGCCGTAAGTCTGATCTCTTTTATTACTACTTGTTCTCTGCTGCCCGTGTTGGTGTTGCCTGTTCATCCCCACTCCAACCTGCCCTATTCCCTCCTTCCTCCCCGCTTCTGTTATCTGCCCTACACCTGACCACCGCACCGCCGTGTTTCCCTACTCTTCGCCTTTCTGGTTGGGGTTTAGCTCGGTGCGGATCGAGGAGGTGGAGGAAAGGGGAAGGGATGAAAAGGGTCTACTAAACGCTGACGAATTCCCTGCTCACTGCTTTTCTTGGTCACTCTTAGCTATACAGATCAACAGGAGGTTCACTCGTTATACTTCTCAACATATCTATAATACAACCACCCGCTATCCCGGTCCGCGCGGGATAGGAGAATAAAACACGCAAACCCCCGTTCCCAGCAATAACCATTCCGTCTCCCGCTTCCCCCCCTGGACATAACGTTGCTCGGAAATCTCGAGGCTCGGCATATCTCCGTGATTGATGCGGAGTCGACGCTCTTCCCGAGACTCGAAGGCCTCGATCACTGCTGAGGAAAGCGAAGACAGCGAGTCGTCGTCGGTTGATGGGCACGGGGAGGGCCAATTGGCCGCTGCGAACGAGTCACGGAGTCCTGGTGGTGAAAGGGAAAAGTTGGACGGCCCTTCTGCGAAAGTCCTTTGGAATCCGCCGCAGAATCGGGAACCTCTCGACGCGACGGCCCCGCCAGCCCTCTCAAAGGAGAAGATGGAGGATACCCGGAATTTTAGGAGACCGCGGTTAAGGTCCGCTTGGTTGTGCCCGTTGTCGACACTGGGGGTCACACTTCTCTCCGCCTTCGTCTTATGGACTACGATACAATCGTTCAGGGAACGGCAGTGTGATATCAAGGGGTGCCGGATGCCGCAGATGTCCCCCGTGTACATCCGGGAGAAGGATTTTGACACGGAACACACGAGGTTCGCGAGCAAATATAATCTCTACCTTTACCGGGAACACAGCGTGGACATTGAATATCCGGTATGTTTTTACTTTTTCTGTTTCCTTTTCGCCTTTTCCTTTTTGTTCCTCCTTTCTTGTTCTTCTCTTTTATTGGACCGTCATTTGACGTTTCCCGGCTTGTCGCGTAAAGGATCTTTGGCCGGTTTTAGAGGCAAGAAGCGAGTTTGCAAAGAAGAATAATCGCCCTGAACTCAATGACGACCCATTCACCATTGATTGCTCTCGATCCCAAGTTCTTCCAAGTCATTTGCTAAGGTGCTCGCAGCCCAAAGGGGTTCCGGTGCTTTTCATCCCCGGGAATGCCGGCAGCTACAAGCAAGTACGGCCGATAGCAGCGGAAGCCGCACGATATTTTAAGAATGCAGCGGCCAAGAGCGAGTCGTTATTAGAAGCGGGGCAGCGGGGACTTGATTTCTTCACGGTGGATTTTAATGAGGATATAACAGCGTTTCACGGCCAGACGATGCTTGATCAGGCTGAATATTTGAATGAGGCGGTTTCATACATTCTTTCGCTGTATCACGATTCGCGAAAGTCGACAATGGATTCGGACTTGCCAGACCCCAGTTCTGTTATTCTGTTTGGCCATTCGATGGGTGGCATTGTCGCCCGCACCATGTTGATCATGCCCAACTACCAGTCGAATTCCATAAACACCATCATAACAATGTCTGCCCCCCATGCTCGCCCGCCCGCACCATTCGACAAGCAGATAGTGGAAACATATGACGACATTAATAATTATTGGCGCAGGTCGTTCTCGGCAAAGTGGGCCAATAACAACCCACTTTGGCACGTGACTTTGGTCTCAATTGCCGGCGGAGGATTGGATACAATTGTGCCTTCTGACTATACTAGCATTTCATCTTTGGTGCCTGATACCCATGGTTTTACTGTGTTTACGTCTTCTATTCCCAATGTGTGGGTTGGCGTAGATCATCTTGCAATTCTTTGGTGCGATCAGCTCATGAAAGTTGTAGCTCGCTCTATGCTGGATATTGTTGATGTAAGGAGGCCCGGGCAGACAAAGGCTCGTGCGGAAAGGATGAGGATCTTTAAGAAGTGGTATCTCACTGGCATGGAGCCAATTGCAGAGAAGACACTACCGCATAAAGGTTCGATATCAATGCCGCTCTTAGTGGGGCTCTACCGTACGCTAATGATATTAGACCCCACTACTCTTTTGACACTTGACAACTCTCACTCTATCGTCAATCTTGGCCAGAGGCTTGTCCTTCGGCAATTGGGGGAGTCGCAGAAGCCCCGTGCCTATTTGATGCCCATTCCGCCTTCACGGGAGCCGGGAAGCACGAAGTTTACATTGATGACTGACCAGAAGCTGGATGGAGCAAGGGATGGGAATCTGGAGGTGCTCTACTGCAGCGTTTTCCCCCTTCAAGCTGGTCAGACCGCCGCTTTATTTTCCATGAATATGGATCTGTCTGGGGATAGTTCTGGCTCGACGCGCCTTGCTTGCAAGAATGCTGCTGAGGATGTCATTGATCTTCCCGCTTCCGTGCGAACTTCCAGACAGCCGTTTGAACAAGCCCAGCCGTTTTCTTACTTGCAATATGACCTCGAAGACATAGCTGAGCATCAGTTTGTGGCCGTTGTGGATAAGGCCAGTAGGGTAGCGCAGGGCTGGGTGATTGCAGAGTTTGTGGAGAAGAAGGACTCGTTTATCCGATCGAATGCTAGCCTTCGTGGCTTGTTGATGGACGGTGTTCGTACAACCTTGCCGGCGGAACGGCCCTTCGTGACAGAAATCCATATCCCTGTGATGCACAGCAGTCTGCTCACCTACAAGATGCACGTGGGCGTGCAGTCCTGTGGGGAGGATGGCCAGCTCTTTACTCCACTACTCCGCCAGTACCTTGTCGACCCGTATGAGTCCAAGTTTTTTGTCAATGTGCATTCTGCGGATATCAATCTTCACGGGTCCGCCCCGTTTATTCCCCAAGTACTCAGGCCCGGCTCCAAGCGCGGCCTCTCGCTGCAGCTTTGGCTGGATCCTACGTGCAACAGCACTGTTGAGGTTTCGGCTGAGTTCGATTTTCTCGGGAGCCTTGGAAGGCTCACCATGCGCTACCGGACTGTCTTTGCTGCGTTCCCATTGCTGGTTGTCGCGCTTGTTCTTAGGATTCAATTTCAGGAATATGATAACAGGGGTATGATTTGTCGGAGGTTGTGGTTGTGTATAGAGCGTTGTTTTGTTTGCTAATTATGCGTAGGCCGCTTTATGAGTTTTGGGGAAGGCCTGGACAGGCTCATTCCCAGGACCCTGCCATATGTTCTGGTGGCGCTATCGGCGTTGGCTATCTCCCTTTCGTTCACCAAAGCTGAACAGGACAATCCCGTGCCGTCACCTCTGTCAAAGTCCGCGACGGAGCAGTCCACCACTGCTATGGAGTTTGCGAAGAACGATTTACTTGTTGGACTGCAGGATCCGTTCTTTTGGTTCCTTGCACCGCTCTTTGCCCTGATTGCCGTTGGCGTTTGCGTTGTTTTGAATTACGGTGCGATGTTGGGTTTGCACTCGTTGACTATCCTCTACACGTTCTTCAGCAGGTGGCCGACCTGGATTAGCAGTGAGCGAAGGTGTGTGTAGACTATGGGGCGATGTGGGGGTGGTGCTGACCTCAGTCTGCAGATCACCAGCGATCACTACTGCATTTTCCACTAGCAGTCCCAGGCGACGGATAATGACGACCTTGATGCTCCTGTTTTTTGTCGCGACGCTTATCCCTTACCAGTTCGCATATATGGTCGCCTGCATTGTACAGATTGCGACTTGTGTTAGGGCGTTGAAGTTTGCCAGGGAAAATGTACGTATCGTTAAAAGTTTCCGGGCCCTCACCCTTTTTCTCCCTCCCTTTCACTAACGTGGCCGTAGGGGTACTCTGAGCGATCCGGCGCGTACTGGGATTTCTACCATTACGCGCATTCGATTCTCATCGTAATGCTCTGGATCCTGCCAATTAATCTTCCAGTACTAGCTGTGTGGATACACAACCTGACAGTCCACTGGCTCACACCGTTCTCATCCCATCATAACCTTCTCTCAATAATGCCGTTCATCCTGCTCGTCGAGACATTGACTACGGGGAATATGATTCCCCGAATCAGGAACCGGTATGCTACTCCCCACCCGCCTGTTTTAATTCTTGGTGTTGGAAGGTGTGACTAACAGCGAATAGACTCTGGCTGGTAACGGACTTACTCCTTCTAGGCCTAGCAGCATACGCTGCCTTATACGGCGTAACGTATGCCTACCGCCTCCACCACCTGGTGAACCTCATCGCGGGATGGTTCGTAATTGTTCACTTTAGCACAGCGCCGCCGACGATATCCGGCATCATAGACTTATTTAATGACGATGGGGACGATGATGGATCGAAGAAACGCCATCAGTGAGGCACTTATAGGAGACTGGGAGATATTTGCGTACCTATCTGCCCACCTACCTGCCCAAGCAGGGAGCGATGGGGGAGGAGGGGGCCGGGGGTACATCAAGAACTTGAGAACTTGTAGGATTATTATAAGCAAGAGGGGGGGGTCCTTTATTTTTTATTTTTTTCTGTCACCTCTTTTCTCTCCTTCATGTTTAGAAAGTTCATCGAGCAGCAAAGCGTTGGACTGTTTTGGATGGCGTTATGTATTCATTTTTCTTACACTTTTCTTTTCTATATTTCCTTATTTTCAGCTCTTTTACCATTTCACTTTGTTCTGATGCTAACCCTTCTTACCGTTCTCCCCCTGCCTCCCAGCCTAGCCCTTCACTTCTATAGTATCTATTCCACCCCACTGGCTTGATCCGACTTTGGTTTGGCGAGCTGTGGGATTGCGGACAATCCATTTACTTTCCCTTCCCTTCCCTTCACCCCTCCCCCACCTATCTATCATACTTACCTGGTCATTGTATACTATCCGTTTTCACCACCCCCCCCCCCTTTTTTTTTTCTTTCTCTTTCACTTTCCCTTTTGGCTGGCTCGTTAGTTGGTTTAGTATTACCGGGATCGGATGGATGGAACATTGCCTAATTACTCTTTCTTCTCCTTTTTCGTTGTACATATATTTTTCTACCTCCCTTGACTGACTGCTGGATATCTGTCTCTTGCACATGTATTGCTGTTATCGCTACATATCATATCACCACATATCAAGAATAAGTTTTTGAGGAGCTGGGGGTTCTCCCATTTCTTGTTTTATGTTTTTATTTATCTATTTATCATGAATGTGCGGGGGGGGGGCGAGTGTGTGAGTGCCGCGTATCGTACATAGCTTGCTTTGGCAGTTATTTATTTTTTGATACAGGCTGAGATAAGGTAATGTATATATAGCGGGGCGGGTAATACCAGCGATTCGAGGAGGGGATTGAAATAAGCCAAGTTATTTATTTTATTTATTCATTTGCCTTTCCTTTCCCTCCCTTCCCTTTCCTTTCCTTTCCAGTCCGGGGTTCGGGTTGGGATTAAAATGGCCTGTTGTAGTAGCAAGGGTGGTTCCCCCATTAGCCACTGGTAAGTTGCACGTCTCGATGGGATAGTATCAGGCAGTAGAAGTAAAGGAGGCTAGGGAATAAGGACGGGATGCAAACCCAGTATAATCCCCACTCATGTCCCCAACGCCCTGCAACTTATCGCCCTGCCTACTGACCGCGGCTATCTTGACCAATACCCCATCGCCAATCATGATACCTTTTCCTCTCCCTCTCCCTCCTTCTTCCTCATCCCCCTCCTTGCCCTCCTTCTCCTTCAACAACCTCTTCAACTCCTGACTCTTAGTCTCCTTCCTCCCATCCCAGGTGATCCCCTCCGCACAAAGCGCCACGCCAACAAAAACCTGCATAGCAGCACCACACGTAAGGAAGATCCCAAAGGGGCTCATCCCGATAACAGTGCCGAACATGACCTCTCCCGGAAAGGCGTGGAACATGAGCGCCTCAAAGGCGATAGTGAAGTCGGCTCCGCCGTCGCTGAAGATGTCGTTGCCGGATGGGGGGATGCGCCCGCCGGAGACGTTGAAGATTTGGGTGACGGCGATCAGAGTGCTGTTGTTTGTGCTGGTCTTGCCCTCGTAGGAGTAGAGGATGTCCAAGAGGGCGCGCATGTAGTAGCAGTGAAAGTGTCTAGGGGGGAGGCGGATGGTGACGCTTTCGGTGGATCTGTAGAACATGGTTGTTGGTTTGGGTTTGGATGTGGTGTTGTGTGGTGTTGTGTGGTGTGGTGTGGTGAAGTGTAGTGGTGGTGATAGAGAGGTGAGGGGGTGGTTATATTGCGGGGAAGATGAAGTGATGGGAGCTATGGAATGGTGAGAGGGAATACAATTGTGACGGTGTTTCGTGAGTGGAGTTGGGTAGGGCAGCCATTTTTATTCGGGGTTTCGCATCCCATGGGGTGAGGGGGAGCAGTTGATATGGGCTTCAGGTTTGGCGTTTAGGCTCCTGACAGCCCTGACTGATATATCGGTTCCATCATGGAAACTCACTCGTGCACTTTTTCACTCTGGCGTCGGCTCTGGAAGTTTTCTGTACTCGGCCTTCTATCGCTTGTTTTTTTTTTTTTTGCGAAACATCGAGATTTCGCTTGCCCGCACCCTCATCCCGTAAAATCTTGTGCCATGATCAATAGCACTTGCAGCATCTTGCGGTGGGTCGAAGGGTTTATGTGAGGCCCTGTCCGGATTGGTGTGGCGGTCAGCAATAAGGTGGCTGGTGGCTTCATGATTAAAAATCTGCAACTAGCCAACGTGTGGCACCGCCGCCGAATGCATAGAGTACCCAAGTACCCGAGTAGTTCGAAGTACTCAAGACGCGCTTTAATCTTGGACCCACTTGGTGACTGAGTGAGTTGGCGAACCATCGTGCCTCAGTCAGGGAAGAGGAGAAGCATCGTGCTGAGTCCATACACTTGACGTTGGCATATCTCAGAGGTCGCAACCGCAGATACCGGTCAGAGGTGCCCTTGTGCACAAGATCGAGATCTCACAACATAGCTGTTGATAGTATGAGTCGCCCAAGATAAAGCCGAGTCTGGGTATTCATAAGCTTTTTGGATTGATTGATCACCTCCTTCTTTCTTTCCTTACTCTCGAGCAGTGAGCAAACCTCACTATATATTACCCTTACCGTACTCCACATTAGCGATATCGGAAGTTGTATCACCGCTGCCACTGTGGACTATAGGTGCCTCCTCTTTCTCCCCCCCATTTTTGGCTCCCTTGACTGTCTCCTTTTCAGGTAGGTTTTGAGAAAGAAGACTACGAAATTCGTGTCCATGAATTGTGAGGACTATCTCGACCCGGCCCTTTATGTGAATAGCCCTGACTCCCACACCTGGAAGGAGCACAGAGGCTGGCGCATTCCAGATTATCTGCTCCACAATTCTCCTTTCTTTCCTAAGGCAAAGATACATTAAGGGCCGGGGTGACATGGCCATGTGTTTCCGTATACCCGGCGAGCAATGCTTTGGCGCAGCCAGGATGCCAATGGTTTCCGGCTTCTTCAATGAAGCTGCGCCGTCGAGCTCGCGGATAGCAGCGGGGGCAACCTTTGTGCATTTGCACTGTACCAGGGCATCATAGACTCTGGGTTTTTGGGATTGCTCGGATGGTAGATTCGGGACTGTCCAGGTACCGCGCAGGTCCACGCCTCTATCGTCTCTTCCTCCGGTCCGCTCTAGTGAGATGCCAAATGACTTGAGGGCTTCTTTCACAGTGTATCTTCAATCAATTTAACCGTTAGGTCCCGTTCTATTCATGCATATGAAAAAAAAGTGAAGCTAAGACTAGGAACGTACTCATAGAGCGTCCCAACATATACAGTGGTATGGGTTGGTAATGCGATCACTTCTGCATATTTGAGAAATGACTCGAGGTCATGATGCAAATCGCTGGTTCGTATAGCACCCATAGCCTTGGGCGAGTACCTTTTGTTGGCGTTGGCGTTGGCGAGGAGGATAGGATGTGGGGTAAGACAGCGTCGAAGGGTGGCGCGCATCTTCTGTAGAATTGTCGGGGACTGTTCAGCTATCAGTGACTTGTGATAGCAGTTCTAAACAATGGCCGAGAGAATATGGCTGTTGCTCCTTTCCCCTTCTCCTTCTCCGACAAGTTAAGGTCGCGTGGCTTGCTACGTTGCTTGCATGGCTGTGAACCTGAGAAGAAAAAAACTGACTAGAGGGCTTTGACCTGACGAATTTTTGACTAACCCGTAGACGCCAAGACTACGCCTCAATGCCCAATCATAGAAGGTTGTGACAAGTAAAAAACGGGTTGTTCCATATTTCATACCACTCGACCAATGAGGAAATTTTAAAAGTTTAAAAAGGAAATCTTTTCATAAATCGGTTTAAGTGGGGTATTTTTTTTTCAGTGCCCCTCCTCGTTCCCACCACCGCCTCAAGGTCCTTTTTATCCCCCCTCCCATCTCATTTTCCATCATCACTCCTTCTTCCTTAACCTCCTCTTCCCAATTCCGCTGCTGTTTTCTGTTTAATCCTTTTTTCCCTCTTGCCCACGAAGTCGCTTGTATTCATATTTTCGTTCAAAATGGCCGATAATGATGAGCAGGTAAGGCCCCCCCTGGAAGTAGGAGGGAACTCCTTGTTTTTTTTTGTCCCCGTTTGCTTTCCTCGCCCCTACTGAAGACCTATGATTGCTTGGGCTTTCCTTGTTGCCCCTGAGGCTGCCTCTTCGTTCATGATGCCTATCGGGAGTTCGGCCACGGGAGAGAGGAGGAAAGAGTACCCTGTTGAATATTGTGATGTACAGCGCAGCCATTGATACTGACATTCTATAGCACAACCACACCTTTGAGTCGGCTTCGGCCGGTGCCTCCGCCACTTACCCCATGCAGTGCTCTGCGCTTCGAAAGAATGGGTACGTTCCTGCATTCCTAGTTCCTTTACCTCCAGAGCGTATCCGGCTATGATATGTATTCTCTTTTTCGGGGTGCACCTAACATCTCTCTCTATAAAGCCACGTCGTCATTAAGGGCCGCCCTTGCAAGATTGTCGAGATGAGCACCTCTAAGACCGGCAAGCATGGTCACGCTAAGGTCCACTTGGTCGCCATTGATATCTTTACCACAAAGAAGTTGGAAGAGCTTTGCCCTTCCACCCACAACATGGATGTCCCCAACGTCAGCCGTACTGAGTACCAATTCTCTTACATAGATGATGACTACCTTCATCTTATAAAGCAAGATGGAACTGAGAAGAATGATGTCAAGGTCCCTGACGGAGAGCTTGGTGATAGGATTAGAGGCTATGAGGATGATGGTACTGATATCTGTAAGACTGCACCCCCCAGAAATCCCACCCTCACGTGCTTGTCTCGGAAAATAACACTAATTATTGTTTTTCTCTTTCTCAGTGGTTACTATCATTGCCGCTATGGGGGAAGAGGCTGCCATTTCCGTTAAGGAGGCCCCGAAGACTGCTTGATCAGACCTATTGTGGATGGTTAATGTAGCTTTTTTTCTCCCCTTTCCCACTCCTTTTTTTGTTTCGTTTTCTTTCTCTCCGGGAGCGAGTTTGATCATTGGGTTTTCAATCGTGTCAATTGGAGCTTGGGCGGGAGGTTCATGAAAGTGCGATTTTTTTCCCCGGACCAAAAAAAAACAAACGAATCGTTCATCACCTTTTGTCTGAAAAAAAAAGCGGAATATCTACAGAGGAGGGAAACGGACGGAACTTGGGATATTATCATGGGATCTCAGTTTCGTCCCATGCTCCATTTGCGAATTGAAAGAAAAAAAATTTGTCCCCCATTTTTCCAATTTACCTTCTCCTCTTCGAATTTGAAAAAAAAAAAAAAAAAGAATGGGCTTCAAGTTCATGCTAGTGACCAGAATCGTATCATACCAAGAGGAAAGAGTAGAGCAAAAATAAGCAACCGAACTAAGACTTCGACCACAATGCCAAAGTAGTCGTCTTCCCCCTCCCCCTCTCCCTCCCAAAAAAAGGGCCGATAGGCTGTGATATTGTATTCTTTTGTACTGCAAGCACAATGCTTCCGGTACGGTATATACCGTGTGATAGCCCACAAAGTAAGCTCCTGGGACCCAGGGGACCGTCATGGGGAGCGAGTGTCTAAATTATCCGCACCGAAGCCCATCAATCAAATCCTCGTCCTGCGGGCTTACTCACTTGCACTCGCAGAGTGAGGCCACGAGTAGCGTATCGATATGCATAAGCTACATTAATATCTTGCGAGGCACAGCGATAAGAAAGAACGAATGAAGCCAGCGCTCCGGAGAAAAAGTGGGTAGCCCCGTTAGCAGTAGGGCGATATTTTGGTTCCTAATCAGTGGCAATTCTTTCCAGATTGTACTCGTGCTCGTATCATAGTTTGTTCTTCACGAATTGGAGCGGGCCTTGGGGCTCAATCCTAGCATCATATGCCGGTAACCCCACAAAGTGTCAAGTTGTGGTGTGTGTGGCCTTCCACCTTTGGTGGAGGGCGGGTACGGTACCAGTAGTCTACCGTACTCGTACAAACATTGTACGGCACAAGTAGGGTAGGTTCGCAGGCTGGAACCTCCTAGACTACTCGAGTACCGGTACCGGTAGCTGGTTGGTAGGGAGGTGGGGGGGAAAGAAGAACAAACTGGGTTTCGCAGGCTTTTGCACTGCTGGTCGCAACGGGGCGAGGGTGATAATTTAGCATCCGTTTCTGCCCATCCTTCAATCTATCTTCGCACTACCCGAGTGCTCCCCAGTGCTTGCGACGGTACGGTACTCGTACATGATCGTGCAATCTGAACGCGAGCACTGGAGCTACCGTATCGTACGATATCTCCCGTAAAAGTTGGACTCGCCCTGGGCAGAGTCCGCCCAATTGCCTTCCGCTACCGGTATCTGCTCAAGGTGTGGTGATTTCGGCGTCTCCCTGCCCTCGGCTGACCCGGCTGGCCTTACCGCAGCTCCAATCCGACACTTGTGGGGAAAAAAATACATGACACATTTGCGGTACCGTTGGATTTGGCAATGGAGTACAAACGCCTTTCGCGCTGTGGTGTCGATGGGTGCAAGCAGACACTCTTTTACCTGGATGATGGACAGTGGTTTTGCAAGAATGATCACTTGAGAGAGGTATGGTGCTGTGGTGGTGGGTGTGGGGTGTTATGAGTATGATGATAGCTAATGGGGATCATCGACTCAGGGAGAGCTCGAAGTAGCTGCCGACGATGAAGGCTTTGGCACGCAGGGATCCAGAGCAGCCAAAGCGACGCGGGAAAAGGAAAAAAAGGGAAAAGGTATGGTGAATTGTCGTGGAATAAACGGACTGCTGTACCAGTACTCCTCCTCTCATCGTCAGTGGCTAGACTGGTCGGCTGGTTGACCAAAAAATTTTCCATTGTAGTGCTCCGTGGTCGAAAGGGCTTCGAGCTATTCCTTCAATGCTATCAATTAATCCTCAGGAAACAAGTTCACTGGCTAGTATCTGAGAAGCACTTCCCGAGAGAACTCGAGGTATTTTTTATTTTTTTTTGCTGCGGCCCCTTTTGTGACAGTATTCCCCCCCCCCCTTCTTTTTCTAAGGGGAGCAGCGGCAACCAAACCAAACGGGTAGGGCTGACTGACTGGGCGTAGATCGTCGTCCGGGATCTATGGGTTCTGCAACTGAAAAAGGTCTCTACTACAATCCCTGCGACCGCAGATGATTCACCGAAAGACAGAGATGAGTATGATGATGAATACGGTGATGGTGGTGGTGATGATGCTAGAGACCTGGACGGGGCGGGTGACGTTGGATCTTCATCGGCGGGGTATTCTTCCCAATCTTCGTATTTGTACACGAGTGACGACTCGCAGTCTACGGCTCAGAGTAGGAATTCACAGGGTACGCAGCGGAAGAGGAGGAAGAGGAGGGTGCCAAGAGCTGCGGATAGGCCAAAGTTGATTGGATCTGTGGGGATTTGCTATCTAGGTTTGATCGTGCTTGGAGTTTCGGTATCACTGGGGGATATTCATCGGTGGGTCGAGGAGCAGGGGATTGTCTATCTGAGGGCCATCAATGAGATTCCCAGTGAGATGAAGCAAAGGCTTGATGCAGAGTACTACGTCGCTTTGGATCCAAGGGTATGTCTCCCCTCCTCCCCCCCCCTCCCTCTCCCGTGGGGGTGTTTTCCCCCCACCCCGAGCGAGCAAGCGGGGAGGGGCTGATGTGAGTGAGTGGATAGGTTCGTCCGACACTGGGATTACTTCATTCAACGGTTCAAGGACTGGTAATTATGTATCAGGTCACTTTCGGAATGACATTTCCTCCCTTGAACACCACCTTACTTGTATTCAAATTCTTGAAAGCACTAGGTCTTCCCCGTACGCTAGCTTTTCCCTCCCCTCCCCTCTTCCAAAAATATCCTACGCGGAAATAATTCAAGGAAGCCCTAACACGGTACAATGTTGAAGTGGAAATATACCACGGCTTCAAACGTCTCGCAAACCTGATCTCTCTCCCGTTCACATGGAACGGCCTAAGGCACCGCAAGCGAGTCACCAACTGGCCCGAAGCCCGTTTAATGGCCCTCTTGATCATATCGACAAAGCTGTTATACGGCCTCGACGGAGTAAGACGTGTACCCAAATCTGTAGCCGAGCCGGCAGCTGCAGGGTTGAAATGGGAAGCATGGGATGGATACCTACGAGCCGGCAATGCCGAGCGTCGAGGACTTCTAAACGAGAGCGTTGCACTAGGAAGTGAAGGAGGGGGGGGGGGAGAGGGAAAGACCTGGAAGTCGACGTAGAGGAGAAGGATGTATTCGACATGACCGGCGAGGAACTGGATAGATATATGGATTGGTTCGAAAAGAATTGGGCAGATGACTCTAATACACCCCGTACGTTATCATCCTGCTTTGATTTTCCCCAATTTGCTTTTTTCCTTCAAAAGTTCGAGAGCAACAACCAGCCGCAAGTGTTGCACGTTATTTTTTTTTCCTTTTTTTTTGTCCTCTCAAGTTTAAGCTTAGTGTACTTCTTTTTTCTGTGTGACGTTCGATGCATTAGCCCTTGTGGGGCAGGCTCACTTGCATTTGCATGGCCTGAGGCTGACCTTTCATCCGTTGCAACCCCATCAGTTACTAAACAGTTACTTGACCTATTCCCTGCCGGCCGCGCAGCGGCCGAGAGAGCTGGAGTCCACCAAGCCCACGATCGACCCCGGAGTGGGGCCCCCGCGGATGAACCAGTGCAACATGAGCTTACTGATGAAAGACTGCGAGAGCTGAATTCTCAAATCGAGATATACCCCACCCGGCAGCAGGAGCAGCCAGAAGAGGAGGAGGAGGAGGAGGAGGAAGACCAGCAACAGGAGGAGGAGGAAGAGGAGAATTACACACCACCACAGCCACATCAAGGAGAGCTTATGACCAGGCCGGGAGATCAGTACCTTTGGCACTCGATTCAAGCCGAGTTGCCTGTTGAGCAGCAGACTCTGCTACAGGCTGGAGCGGATCTGCTGGCTATCACCAGGGATGATTTGGCTAGGATTATTAAGACTCTAGAAACCCAATTCAGGGGCTTGGTTAAAAACCAAAGGAGGAAGGAGATGCGAGAGGGGAGAATGGATGTTGATTGATGGACCATACCCTAACTGATCGGAGGCGGAAGGTATAGAACATGCAGCATGTTTTATTTACCGTACTACATGTATTATCATAGTGTGCAGTAATTTTTCCCCACTTTATGGCACACTGTAATCTACCGTATATCAGTTTCCGGTAAACTTCCCGGCCCTTCGTTTGTGACCCTCTGGTTTTGCGCTGCAACGGGTCCGCATCTACCATCGTACCGTACAAGTACTAGTACATAATCCAAGGTCAGACCATGTGCTCTTCCTTGGGATATTATGTCATAACCTAGCGGCTCTCTCCATACAGAAGTTGTACCGGTACTTGTATCCCTGAACAATTAAGGGATTCGACGAAGGGGAAAAAAAGGAAAGGAGGGGAGGAAAACAAAAAAAAAAAAAAAAAAAACTTTACATATTCTCCCCAGTAAGTCGGCTCGGTGCCGGATTGGTAATCACTTCTCGGCGACTGGAAAAACATCCGAATTTTTGGTTGGGCGAGCATCGCCAGCTTCTTGATTCTAAAGGGCCTCAGGTGGAAAAGTATGTGAAACGCAGTGCACCCCATTCTACTCCTCCATTTCCTCATCCCCACCCCCCTCCATGCTCTCTTTGGCGAGTCTCTCGGCCTCGGCAACCAACTCCTTTGGGACCTCCTCATGTTTCCCCCATCCTTTGGCAGCGACGCCCTCCTCGAGTCCCTCAGCCGTACCCTCCTCGAGTCTAACCCACGTCATCTCCAACTCGAAATCCTTGTCTTTTGAGTTGTCGTCGTGGGCAAAGTAGATGATCCTAGCCGCCTGTTTAACAGCCTCCTCAACGGTGATGTTGGGCAGGGGCAGTTTCTCCAACTCGGCCTTAGCAGCTTGGCGACCTCGACCGGTTGCGGCTCCAAAGTAGCCCTGTGTTAGAACGGGTGTCAGTATTGTGAGATGGGTGTGACCTTGGGCATCAATTTGGGAGCCCAAGGCTGTTGAGTAGATTTAAACAGGGAAATGTCTCGTACCCAGCCAACGCCGCTCGGCTCTACCATCCACAATCCCGGCCCCCCAGCTTCATCCATGCCACCAATGATGGCAGTAACACCAAACGGTCTCACACTAGAGTAAAGAGTATATGCCTGGGCATAACCACCCATTGCGTCCGCCATGCTGGGGATCGGAATCGGGCTACGGTAGAGCTTGCGCCAATTGGATGCTTCGCTGCGAGCACGAGAGGTAAAGTGACGAGCATCTGGGACAAGACCAGAACAAGCCTGTGGGATTTCGTTCGTCAGTTCTGACGGGAGGCTGGCGGGGAAAGGGGAGGTCTCACAATTCCGATATGGTTATCAACACTGGCGATCCTCTTGTTGCTTCCCGGAACCAAAAGTTTGCTCCCAATTAATTTCTCAACAGCCAGGACGACACCATCTTTACAACGGATTCCGATAGCTGTTCCACCATTTTCTACAGCTTTCGTAGCATATTCTACCTACAGCAATCCCTCCAAAGGTAAGTAGGGAGCTCTGGTTAGGTGTTTGGTGGGAGGAGATATAGAGCTGCACTAACTTGAAAGTTTCTTCCATCGGGGCTAAAGACGGAGTTGGATAAATCATAACCGGTACCGATGGATGTCTGTGAATGTCAGCAGCAAAAAACACCCCGCAGTACAAGCACTACCAGTTGCTGCATCAACAGACGGCAACAGAGTAATACTCGTGGGCAGTGAAAGGATAATAATTACCATGACGAGGAAATGATGAATGCCTGATTAGATGGGTAGGTGGTGGTGATGATGATGATGATGATGATGCTGACGATGAATGTGAGGGTGGGGTTTTCCAGAGGGCGATGGAGATAGCAAGTACCAGTAGTTGTTCAGTTCTGAGACTTTCCTGAACGGGCTGCGGTTGCTATGATAGCCGTGGGCAGAAGAGGGCATGCGAGTTGTGACGCAGTGGTCCAGACCAAATTAGGGGATGGAGGGGCAAGCACGATATCTGTACCGGACTCGTACCAGTACGGTACAGTAAGCCAGGCTTGGAGATTACGGCTGGCTTAGCGATGTGTTCCTCCGCCAGGCCCAAGGCAACGCCTGAAATTCGGTAGGGTTACAAGTATGATACAAGACTGGATGCCAACACGCAGTGCAAACCGTCCAGCCACAGAGCCGCTTCCTGGATGACCGCCGTGAAATATTCTTGATTGGCAATCGCTGCCCAATTGGGCCCGCTTTTATTCTGTTTCCTCCACCGTATTGCTCGAAGATGCTGGGCCAGACAGATGAGCAGCAATTATCATGCTGCACGAGCGCATTACCGGTATAGCACACAAGTACGGTACTCGAGCACCGGTACCCTCCAGGTACGGCTCGTGGTTATAGC